AATACTTCAGTGTAACTTAATTTAAGGGCCCTAATGGAGCATTATGTGAATATTCAAAGATGGATAGCAGGGTTCTGGCTTCTAGTCTTCTGACTGAATTCTATCTCAGATTAAACCAGGGGGAGAGGCACTGCTGATGGCTCAGTTGTCCAAACCCTGACACACTCGGCTTCCCCAAATAAAGGTGTTCCACCAGGAATTTGGCTGAAAACAAAAATATTCCAAAACATCTGCAGCTATTTAAAAACAACCCTGGGGAGGAAAGTCAGGAAATTTAGTACAAGCTGGTTGGAAAACCCCAGAATCAAAATCACAGATAAAATAAAAATATACTATAGTGTTTACACTACTAAAAGTCATTGTGTTATATATGGTTATGAACAACTACAGATCAGGAACTGAGACTATTGTTTAGCAAAAACAGAATAACTGAAAAAGTAGACCAAGTTTGTTATCTACCTGAAGTGTCCTGTTTTAGGGATGTCTATTCAGTTTGCAAGCTGTTTGTAATAGGAACATAAGTTATTTTTGGCTTTTGATGTGCACACCTTGCAAAAAAAGAGAGAGAGAAGTGGATAAGAATAGTCACATATCAACCTTCATAAGAATACTCTCATTGTGTTTAGTACAGCCTTGAACAGGACTGCATTATGATAGTCTTCTTGTTATGGCCCATCAAGTCAATCCCGACTCCTGGTGGCTAGAGGAACAAGTCCCTGCAGTTTTCTTGGCAACGTTTTCAGAAGTGGCGTGCCAGGACTTTCTTCCTAGGGCTCTAAGAGAATGAGTGGCTCCCAGTATAATAATCCAAAATTCCTTTCCTTAATGTATCGTTTAATATCAGAGCATTGCAGTAAGTTATGCATGTGCACTTTTAAAGGTTAAGAACGGTTTGGAAAAATGGAGTCGATGTTTCAGCCGTATTTAATTAAGAGGAGAGAGAGAGAATTTTAACTCCTAGCAGCAATTCCAGCAATGATGAAGGATTTTGTAGTTCAGCAATGAATGAAGAGTCTATATTTTATTCCTGTGAAGTGCTGCTAAAAGTGTTAGGTGATATCAGCCAGTATTCTCCAAAGCAGAAGATTAAATATAAAACTCATACAACTATCAGTATTTACTTTGTAAATTATTTTGTGTTGTGGTGGTCACGTGTCATACACTTTTCCTATTACAAGATAATTAGAACTCATAGGGGAGGAATAAGCCAACCTGGCATGCATTACTGAAGCCTGGCTGACACCAGAAGGGGGAGTTTCTCTCTTGGGAATGTGTCCAGCTGGGTTTAGGGAAGTGGCTCTCAACCTGTGGGTCGGGACCCCATTTGGGATCGAATGACCATTTCACGGGGGTCACCAAATAACGCAGTCCGCCATTTTTTCCCCCTTTTCCTTAGTTGTGCTACTCCCTTTTATTCTATTGGCTTTTGAAAGCCAATAGAATAGACTCTCTTGAATAGAGTCTAATTCTATTGGCTTTCAAAAGCCAATAGGAATTGTCCAGGCTGTCTCTGCCCTGCTGAGCCCGCCAAAAGTCCCATTCTGCAAACGGTGCTGCACCAGTTAAGTAGTCCTCGACTTACGACTGGTTGAGTAGTCCTCGACTTACGACCGGTTGGGGGTCACGGCATTTAAAAGGTTGAGAACCACTGGTTTAGGGTCTGCAACCAGCCAAGGCCTTAGGGAAGAGAATCTTTTTGGGTTTTCAGGCATCATGCTCCACAGGTTTCTGGGTGTGAGACCCTGTTGGTCTCACAGGATCAGTTGGAAATGCTGCTGCTGCTGCTGTCCCAGCCTCTGTGTTGCCTCCCTGCCTGAACTGCTGGAGGCCATCTCGGAATCAGCAGGGGAGTTCCTCTAGCTTATGGTCCAGACTTCAATCTGGTTTGGTCTCGGAGGCAGCTCAGGAGTTCATGGGGACCTTGGATTCCTAGTGCATAATCACTTAAATATGAGCAGCAATATGGTGCAGCTGCCAAAAAGGCCAACTCATGCTGGGCTGCATTAATAGAGGGATAGAATCAAGATCATGTGAAGTATTAATACTACTTTACAATGCCTTGGTAAGGCCACACTTGGAATACTGCATCCAGTTTTGGTCACCACGATATAAAAAAGATGTTGAGACTCTAGAAAGAGTACAGAGAAGAGCAACAAAGATGATGGAGGCTAAAACATATGAGGAATGGTTGCTGGAATTGGGTATGTCTAGTTTAACGAAGAGAAGGATGAGGGGGGACATGATAGGAGTGTTCCAATATCTCAGGGGCTGCCACAAAGAAGAGGGAGTCAAGCTATTCTCCAAAGCACCTGAGGACAAGACAAGAAGCAACGGATGGAAACTAATCAAGGAGAGAAGCAACTTAGAACTAAGGAGAAACTTCCTGACAGTTAGAACAATTAACCAACGGAACAACCTGCCTCCAGAAGCGGTGAATGCTCCAACACTGGAAGTTTTTAAGAAGAGATTAGACAGCCAGCTGTCTGAAATGGTGTAGGGTTTCCTGCCTGAGCAGGGGGTTGGACTTGATGACCTCCAAGGTTCCTTCCAACTTTATTATTATTATTATTATTATTATTATTATTATTATTATTATTATTATTATTGTTGTTGTTATTGTTGTTGTTATTGTTATTGTTATTATTATTATTATTATTATCATCATCATTATCATCATCATCATCATTATTATCCAAGGTCCAAATCAGGACTGTGGTCATACTCCGGATATGATTGTTTTGTTGGCAACCTGATCTGGTAGGGAATCTGTCATTAAAAGAGCCAAGGTGGCACAGCAGTTAGAGTGCAGTACTGCAGGCCACTTTAGTTGACTGTGTTCAACAGGTCAGCGGTTCAAATCTCACCAGCTCAAGGTTGACTCAGCCTTCCATCCTTCCGGGGTAGGTAAAATGAGAACCCAGATTGTTGGGGGCAATGTAAATATATATATACATTGCTTACTGGTGTACACCGCTTAGAGAGTGCTTGCACTTAAAGTGATATATAAGTCTCATAAATAAATAAATAAATAAATAAATTATCCCCTCTAGCATGATCAGACCATGCCCTGGTGGCTGTAAGAATCTCCAATGCTGCTTCCTTCTGCAAGGAGAGAAGACTTATTTGAATGTTACTCTCTCGGTGACTAGACCCACTTAGGCTAGGCCGCAGGGGAAGGCAATTTTGGCTCTTTTATGACTTGTGGACTTCAACTACCAGAATTCCTGAGCCAGCAGGAATTCTGGGAGTTGAAGTCCATGAGTCATAAAAGAGACAAAGTTGCCTACCCCTGGGCTAGGGAATGTTCTGGGGGTTCTGCAGGACTGGCCTATGGAGGCTTTGGCCACAACCTGGAATCAGAAAGCAGCCAAGGCACTGGAGAGGATCACACCCATGTGCTCTCTTCTGGCCCATCACTCCCAAAACTCTCTATGGTTTGTGGAGGAGCTGAATTTACTGGAAAGGGCCAAAAGATGCATAGAACACTGCTGGAGGAAAACTTAAGAACGCATCTGACTGGACACAAGTCAGAGCCATTGTTAAGCTCTACATCAGGGGTGTCAAACTCAATTTCATTGAGGGCCGCATCAGCATTGCAGGTGTGTGGCCAGGGTGGGTACGGCCTACTGAGTGGGTGTGGATGGAGTGGGTGTGGCCTACTGGGTGGGCATGGCCAGCTCTACATTGTTCGCATCAAGGGTACCTGTGGAGGCCTGGGCAGGAGTGGGACAGATCTGAGATTCTCTGGCAGAAGGGGGTGGAACTGGGGCAAGCACCAAGGCATGGTCCATTTCTTCATTCCTCACAAAGGGTGACACCTCCCCAGTATGCACCCAGGGGGCGGGGCCGACATAGCAGGGGCTAGTGCCTCAATGTTTCTAGACGGCCTTGTGGAGCTAAGACTGAATGCGTTTCAGCATAATAGCCACCACAAAATTGTACATTGGCTCCCAGCTGGCCTGGGCCAGGGCCAAGGCAGCGGGGGCTGTTCCCTCACTGTTTCCAGGATGACTTTGCAGGCCACGTGAAACCACTTCGCGGGCCGCATCCGGCCCCCGGGCTTTGTGTTTGACATGTCTGCTCTACATCATGGCAGTAAGAGCAACAAAATGTCACTATTTCTTGGGTCTTATTGCATCCCTAGAGTGTCGCCCGACGGCCCTATTCAAAATCACCTGGTCTCTCACTGGGAAGGAGGGCTCAGATGATCATTTACAGGGCCATGCAGAAGTATTTATCAAACACCTGACAGATAAAACCACTCAGGTCTCTTCTCGGTTTGAGACCAAGCATGGAGCCCTTTGTTGCTGGATTATTTTTACCCTCTATGGCAGTGATTCTCAACCTGTGGGTCGGGACCCCATTTGGGATCGAACAACCATTTCACGGGGGTCGCCAAATAACGCGGTCCGCCATTTTTTTCCCCTTTTCCTTAGCTGTGCTACTCTCTTTTATTCTATTGGCTTTTGAAAGCCAATAGAATAGACTCTCTTGAATAGAGTTTAATTCTATTGGCTTTCAAAAGCCAATAGGAATTGTCCAGGCTGTCTCTGCCCTGCTGAGCCCACCAAAAGTCCCAGTCTGCAAACGGGGCTGCACCAGTTGAGTAGTCCTCGACTTACGACCGGTTGAGTAGTCCTCGACTTACGACCGGTTGGGGGTCGCGGCATTAAAAAGGTTGAGAACCACTGCTCTATGGGTTACCTCTCTATGATGCTGATAGACTATTGTGGCTAGTGACAGGCAGCAGATTTTCCACATTTTGCTACTAGTTTAAGGTGGAAAACACTACTCTGAAAGTAGAACAGCTACGGATAGCAAGTTCATCCCACTTATGGGTACCAGATGAAATGAACGCAATGTCATGAGTCCATAACAGAACAAAAAAATTGCCAAGATACATTTACCCTGTAATAGAATAAAATGGGGGAAGGGTTGTAATTTTATTTAAATTTCTAATCTGTATATTTTATTCCTTATCTGGGTCCTCTTTTATTATTAGTACTGTTTGCCTTATTACAATCTTCCAGAAATGTTAAAAAATTGGCACTTTACTTATGCTGTTGTAACCTTGAATGCTGAAGTAGCTGCTCCAGAGGAAATGTCTTAATTTCCATGTAGTGAATGAAAGATGATCCTGACACCCTCTAGTTTAATGATTTGTAGAAGTCAGCTTTTTTTAAAAGAGGAAAAATAAGATGGAACTGAGTTGAAATCCAAGATGAAGCCTGTTCATATAGCTTAAGTGAAGTAAGTGTGCAATTGTGAATTGTTTGAAGTTAGGTACGTGGGAATCCTGAACATGGTGTTCCCAACCTCAAAGTCTCTACAAGGCATCAAGTTGTGGAAAGTATGAGTTGTCTTAAGAAATTTTCTTGTGTTTTTAATGCCAGCTTCGGCCCCTAAACCCACAAGGTTTCGAGCACCCTGTAATGGACATTTAATCAAAGGCAAATTCCACGAAGTTCAGCTGAGCTGAGAGAAACGCGGACAGTACAGGGTCGCAGTCCTGGGCGAAGCCTTAATCTGATCTGCAGCCAGCAAAGAGTGACGCGTTTCCTCAGTCCTCGCCTCACTTACGCCGGACTGGCGCTCCCGGCTAACCGAAGCAAGCGCCGGGTCGTTGTTAGAGCTGCAGGTGTTTCTCTCTGCCGAGATCGTTCCGGGGGTCACCACACCGCCTTCGCCTCCTTGGGGCCCACGTAGTCCGATCTCCTCTCCCTGTGGCGCTGGGCGGCGTTTTCCCTCGTGATCCCGCGAAAGTGGCAGCGGAGCAGCAGGAGGTGTCTTTGCCTCCTCCTCCTCCTCCTCCCCTTCGCTTTCTTTTCGGTGCCCTCCGAGCTAATCAGAGCACAAAGGGGCACCGGAGGGGCGGAGGCAGGCCGTCCCTCTCGGCTCACTAATCCCGCGGACGGCGTAAACACATCCAGTGAAGGGGCGCGAAGATGGCGAGGATCCGGGTGGCGGCATCTCTCTTGACTTCTCGAGCGCCGCCGGGCGCAGGCTTGGCCGGGCTGGTCTTGGCAATCTGGTCCTGCTGCCAGCTCGCGGGCTCTCTCCCGGCTTCTTCCCTGGGCGCCGGGGAGCCGGCGCTTAGTCTCCACCCGCCTTACTTCAACCTGGCGGAGACAACCCGCATTTGGGCAACTGCCACCTGCGGGCAGGACGAGAGCGGGAGGCCCCGCCTAGAGCTCTTCTGCAAGCTCGTGGGGGGACCCGCTGCATCCCCCGCTGGACAAACCATCCAGGTGAGAGAAATGACCGTGGGGGAGGGGGAGGGGCGAGTGGGGGATAGAGAGATTGGGAAGAAGAAGAACGGAAAGAGCAGCAGCGCTTATAAAACTTCGAAATTGGATTAATTACTTCTCTTGTGATAGTAACTATCACGGTTGCAGTTGGGGCTCAGGTCCATGAATCTCAGACTTTTTTTCTGGATGGGCATGCATAAAATCACTTCTGAGTAATAGCTGTCTTCATCAAGACAAGGTAATATAGAACCTCTCTTTCTTCTAATACCAGTGGCACTGATCCAGTGTGATCATATATGTATATAGTTCAAATGTACATCAACGGGAAGCTTCTAAATGTCAACAAGGAGGAGAGCATCTTTAACTTGGAAAGCAAAACTATTCCACAAACTGAGGCAGCAACAGAAAAGCCACGTTATGTGAGCCTCACCCCAGTGTACCGCTATACTGTACTTCTGTTGTGAACTTATCTTTTGAACTTTTCATAGATTTTTGTCCATAAATGTGGCCAAGAAAAATTAAAATAAATAAAAGCTCAAAGGGTCTTCAGTGCAGGTTATAGATTATGAATGCAGAGCTAGGATACCATCCTGCTCTGATTATCAAATCTTCTATTAGAAGGGATGCTAAACTACATCTCTCAAAAAGGAAAATAACTGAGCATTGTTATGGAGAATTTTAAAATCTGTAATAGTTGCTGGTCTGCCTTCCCTTGGAGCCTACCTTCCGTGGAAGAAGTTTCCATTTGCCGGTGAATAAATATGTGATTAAACTATTTACAAATTCTTGCTTTGTTTCATCTCTGCCTCTCTTTTCTAATGATCATCATTGTGGCTGTTTCTAGTAAAAATGATTAAAACCAGATTTTTTAAATGAGTGTTCTTCTTTGATGCTTAGATATTTTTTTTCATGTTCAAGTACTTTGTTCATCAAATGCTGCCTAGTATAAAGAAGGCAAGTCAGTGTTCCCAAACTAGATGCCCTGTTGACGTGTTTAGCTACATTTCTCATTATTCCTAGCATGTCAACTTATCATTATGGCTAACATAGAGAGATGAAATCCAATGGTTTTAGAAAGCATTTGGCTGAGAAAGATTGTCATGTACTGCATAATCATCTTCCTTATTAAAGGAAACATGTGTATTCTTTCAATCTTAACTTCTGGTTTCCTTTTGTGTATGATAAAGCAATGCTACATCACAATCTACTCAGCTGCTGTGCCAAAAGGGTTTAAACAAATGGGCCTCTTTTTAACCAATACAGAAACTTATGTTAGCCAACATAAAAGTACTACTTGAGAAATTTCTTGCTCAAAGCTCCTAGGCCAATGTGATAACCAAAGCAGTGTCTCTGGGCAACAACATTGTGGCATTACCAGCCTCTTTTTATTATAGTGAAAAGAAGAATTCACCAACAACTTTTCAGGGTTGGGTTAAAGAAAATAAATTCCCTTCAGGTGTTTTGGCAGCAACTTGTAGGATCTTGTCTGTCAGGAGTCAGAAGAAGAATAAAATCCAACACAAGTGATCCACTATTACACAACATCAATTCTGCATATGCACTGAAAATAGCTTAAGGTGTTTGTCCTGAAAATTAGCTACTAGTCCCCTTCTAAATCAACTAATTGTTTGTCATGTATGTATTTGAGCCTCATGCATTTTAGCTGAGTGCTGATAAATGTATATGAATATATTTGTGTGTCTCTGCATGAAGACACACAAAAAGGATTCAGTTCTTTTTCTTATAATATCTATTGGATATAATATACCAGAAAATACTTGTATGGACAATAGGATGTTTGAGAAAGTAATAGTATCTTGAAGAATACATTTAGAGTTACAGATTTACCATATATAATAGTACAGTTGCATTTTTATACTCAGAATCCTGGAATAAGCGCCATTACATTCAAGAAAATTTACTTATGAATGGACAGCCTGATAGTAGCATTGTCCATGAGCAGCAAGGTACCTAAGCATAATATTTTATGGGCTTCTTGAAAATACTTTCAGAGCATACAGTGGTTCTGTATCCGTGCTCTGTGAATACTAACCTGGTTTTGCATAAATGTTTTAAAAACATTTGCAAATTTAGTCACTTTAAAATAATCCATGTTAGATGATCCAAAAGACAACTAGACTTTCTTTGTTTTTCCCTGAAGATGTTTTGCTTCTCATCTAAGAAACTTCTTCAGTTCTGAGAACTGAGAATTTAAAAAGCTTTTTGGATGAAAAGTGAAACATCTTCAGGGAAAAACAAAGAAAGTCCAGTTGGCTTTTGAAAAAGCATCTTTGGGACAACCATGACCTGGATGACTGAGAATTTCCATAAATCCATGTTAGACTTTCCCAATCTGGGGAAACTGAACTAACACTACATCTCCCAGAATTCTTGTCTAACGTGGCCAATTATCTTAGAAGTTGTTGTCCAGAACATTTGAATGGCATCAGGTTGGTCAAGAGTAATCTAACCAAAGGAAAAAATACAGGTGCTTCTTTGCCAATATATGAAATGAAAGCTCTGGGGTTTATTCATTAATGTAGCCATAGACTTGACCAACATTAGAACAAAAAAGAATAGAGTTTTCCTTATTTAATATTTGACTTGGAGATTTTGGGTAGAAGTCAGATATGATTTGTGCTATGTCCAAGATTTTAGTAGGACTTCCTGGCACAAGAAAACATGCCATTCTGCTTGCATATTTGATTTAATGGGAAGCCATCAAAGTTCTTCTCTGCAGTTTTAGCAACGCCTCATTGAGACACATAGCAAGAATACTTCTGTAGTTTACCTCTTACTGTGGTTCAAGAGGGCTTCTACATTCTTTCAAAAGATTGGGAAATCACCACAGCAATGCATATATTGTCATACTGTTTCAACTTAAATTACTAGAATTATTTTAACATAAAATTGGGTACCATGCATAAATAGCTTAAACTAAAGGTTTAAGCGAACATGTCCACATACATACAGATATAGCCATGTGAAAGGGACAGATGGGGAAAATAGCACAATCCAGATAATCAGAAAGCTAAGGTAGACAACATATAGAATTGGAGATTTATCTGAGATTTGTTTATTTTATTACTTATTTGTTCAATTTATCTGTTACACACCAATCTGCATAGGCTTTATGCAGTTTACAGATAATGATGATGATGATGATAATAATAGTAATAATAATAGTAGTAGTAATAATAATAAAAATTGGAAGGGACCTTGGAGGTCTTCTAGTCCAACCCTCTGCTCAGCCAGGAAACCCTAAACCATTTCAGAGAAATAGTTGTCCAGTTTCTTCTTAAAAACTTCCAGTGATGGAGCACCCACAACTTCTGGAGGCAAGCCGTTCCACTGGGTAATTGTCCTCACTGTTAGGAAATTTCTCCTTAGTTCTAGGTTGCTTTTCTCTTTGATTAGTTTCCATCCATTGCTTCTTGTCCTGCCTTAAGTATAGCTTGATAAGATGTTCTTTTTCAAGATTTTGTCCAAAGTGATTGCTGACAGTGCTATGTGTCTACAGGGTAACACTGTATAAACACCCAGGATCCTGGGTAATGTTTAATTGTTCTCTTAATTCAACTTTAGCCAGTGGCATTGTATCTGCATTGATATTTAATTATGCATTCTTAGAACATTCATGTATACATGATTTCTGGGAATAATCCATAATTTATGGGACTCCACAGGATTTAAATGAGACTAAACATGTGTCTAGTTGTGAAGTTCTTCTGGGATGAGGCAGAAGAATCATATTCCAACAAAGCAACATACATGGGAGCAAAAAGGGAGAACTATATATCCAAAACATTTGCACGTTGCAAGTAAAATGTAATTCCTGGCTTCCATCCTTATCTTTATACAGATATTGATAAAAATAATGAAAAACTTTACCCTGCCTAAGGTGAGAGAACCATTCCTGGCTAGAATAGGCAATTTTTAATTAGCTCTCCAATATCCCCATAACATTTTCCTTGCAAATCTTCACTGTAGAAATTTGGCATTTCCTCAGTTTCTAATGAGTTTCATAGGATAAAGCAGAGAGGCAATTTAAGATAATGCTTAAATGAATTCAAATAGTATACTTTATAGTAGGCATTTTTCTATGAATTAATATTGAAGATCATGATCCAGCAATGATCAGGATAATCCACTTTCTCTCACCAACACAGGCAGCTTCCGTTTATTTGCCCCATTCAGATGCTTTCTGAAAATACAAATTTTCAATATACTTGTTAATTTCAGTAGAATAAATACTTCAGGTTATTCATGTGACCTGAAAATGTTGTTTTTAAAATGTCCACTTTTGCCTTTCTATGAGATTTTTGGGACCTTGTCCCTTGAATTTGCCCTTTGGCCTAGAGATTCCTCATCACTGCTTTAAAAGGGCACGTACGGTATATATTGTTTTGACCTATGTGACTTATAGTTATTAGTGCTTTACTTTTGGAGTTTCTAATGGTTACATTTGGGCAGATCTTTTTTCTTATATGCCCTGCATAATGTCAATCTAATACAAACAATGCAGGTAATCCTTGACTTATGACCACAACTGGGACTAGAGTGTCAATCACTTAAGTGAGTCACTCCCAATTTTAAGACCTTTTTTTGTTATGTTCATTAAGTGAATCCAGTGCTTTTTTTCTAAAAAAAAAAAAAAAAGTGCCAGAACTCATTCACGTCATACAACCCGCCTTGCCTACCCTACAAGGTTCCATCCAAAAAGGGTGCCGGAACTTCGTTCTGGGCGTTCTATGAGGAAAAAAGCCCTGAGTGAATCACTCAAATTTTTATCACTTGACTAACTTGAAGTGCAAGGACCAGTTAACAAAAATAACAGAATAACAGAGTTGGAAGGGACCTTGGAGGTCTTCTAGTCCAACCCCCTGCTCAAGCAGGAGAACTTATACTATTCAAGACAAGTGGCTGTCCAGTCTCTTTTTAAAAACCTCGAGTGATGAAGCACCTACAGCTTCTGAAGGCAAGCCGTTCCACTGGGCAATTGTCCTCACTGTTAGGAAGTATCTCCTTAGTTCCAGGTTGCTTCTCTCCTCGTTTAGTTTCCATTCATTGTTTCTTGTCTTGTCTTCTGGTGCTTTAGAAATTAGGTTGTTACTCCAATCTGTGCAATGTTAGGAGGTGAAGCACTGTGAAGGCTTTTAGATTAACTGGACCTTTCCTTTTGCTTCTGTTCTTTGTTCCTTATTTAGTATGGTGCTGATGGAGTTTAGTAATCAGTTAGACTCAGTAGTGATATTCAGCCAGTTTGCACCACTTCGGCAGAACTGGTAGGTAATTTTTTGTTGTCCAGGCCCAGAATGGCATCCGCACCGAGAACCAGTTGTTCACATATTTGAATCCCAACACTGGTTAGACTCAATTAGTCAGCGAGTATCTGAAAGGTTTCTAGTTATTTTAATATTAATTTTCCTACTTAGAGGCTCAAGTTAGCGAATTTTGGCTGTAAAACATTGCTGACTATTTAGAATATGTTGCCATTTGGAATCACACTTTAATTCTGCTTTAAGTAACTGCAGTAATGCAAGAATTTTACTCTGGAAGAATCTGTTTTTATCTCTGTTTCTGAATTAGGCTGTTTTAGGCCTTTATGGGAAATGACCGTACAACTTCTGAATCTTTCAATACACTAAAATTTGAATGATAATTGTTATAGCTTTTTGTTTGCCTGTTTGTTTCAGGGCCAGTTTTGCGACTATTGCAATGCTGCTGATCCTAATAAGGCTCATCCAATAGATTATGCTATAGATGGAACAGAACGTTGGTGGCAGAGTCCTTCTCTTTCCTTAGGTTTTAAGTATGATGAAGTGAATGTTACTTTGGATCTAGGACAGGTAAGTACAGATTCTGCTTACCTTGTTGCTGATTTAGTATGGATTGGTTAAAGTTCTGTGTATGTGGTTCAATATGGAACATGGAAGCATCTTGTTGTAAGGTGGCATGCATAAACCTTACCAGCCTCTCGCAGCATGACATCCTTCAAGTACATAGGATCAAAATTTATATATTTCCCCATTGATATGATAAAAAAAAAATCCCCTTCAGTTTTGCAACGAGAGGCAAATGAAAGACTATGTCTAGGTTTTATTTATTTATTAAATTTATATGCTGGCCATCTCACTGTCCCAGATGTCTCTTGGTGGCTTACAATAGACTAAAAACATAGCTATAAAACATTAAAATTAATATTAGTTACAGTTAAGGAAAGGGTTAAAACAAGAGCATGGACAGTCAGATGGGAACTTTTATCTCTCATTCAATCAACCACCTTCCTCATAGCATGCTCCCATCAGAGCGATCGAAAAGGAGGGGTGCCTCGTCGATCACAGAGAGACGGTGGTCTTTCTGTTTGATCTGAGGTAAGCCCTCCAAACTGGTAGGGGAAAGACTTGCTACATTCCTGTGGCCAGTCATTAGCTGCTGACAACCGAAGAAGAAAAGCACCAATTAGCATCATAAACAGCATGTTTGGAGCTGGATGAGAACATTGATCCTTTCTTTACTATTTTACAATTGAATTTCCTGGGAAAGGCTCCCAAGAAGCTAAAACCTCTGAACGTGAACGGAAGCGGCGTTTTAATTTATTTTATGGGGGACATAATACTGAAGTGGAAGTAACATAAAGCTACAGCTTTGATAAATTTGAGAACTGAGATAATTGTTAAGATTTTCTCTTTGGAAAAAAAACATTGAGGTGAAATATAAGAAATCAATCCTTTGTCTTAAGAGTGGAAAATGGATTTTGAATGACATCTAGTGGTGGATTTGAGTATAGGATTGATTGGTGACTCCTAGCTTAATGGAGAACAGCTGGCAACAAAGGAAAATATTTTGGCATTACTTATCAACCTGACCTTCTTGGACTATAAACACCTACTGAGCTTGGACTTTTAATCTCAAGAACTACTGCGTGACAAAGAAAAAATTGACTTTTGAGTACATCTGGCTGGGAGAGACTTTTGAGCTGTTTTCAGGGTGGTTGAACATTTTGAACACTTTGAACATTGTGGATTACAACCTTGCCTGACCCACAATTCTTGGACACCTGAGACAAAAGATGACTACAAAATATTGCTTTTAGGACTGGACCCATATTTTGGAACTATTGGATTATAAAGGCTAAACATAAAGACCAGAAAACTAGATGAAACTTTGTTCTACTATTATTGAGATTGGTGATACTAGAGGATCTCCAGGAATGATGGCTCAAGAAAAAATAAACACCTTTTAGAAGGAAATATACTGTATGCTACAATTAATTCACCAAACAATTGTCGTACACAAAGAGGATACAAAAAGAAACCATAATGAGACTAAAAATAATTTAGATAATATAAATGAGCAAATCTCCGAACTAAATCTACAACTAGAAAATTCCCAGGCAACGACTACAAAGTATGAACAAATAAATCAGAAATCAGAAGATGAAGCAGAAGAAATGGACCTAGAGAGGAAGAGATAAAAGGGAAATATAAACTACTGTATACATATAAAATACTGCAAGACTTAGCCATAACAACGAAAATGGAAAAGATCCCTTAGGTCTGCAAAATATACCTGATGATAAGGAAGAAGATTTTAAAAAATGGAATATAGAATATAGAGTCAGGGGAAATGTTACAACTTGGGAGACAAAAAATGAAAAGAGAAATTGAGGGAGAAGGGAAGTGGGAGTTGCTTAAGGAATATAAATGGGCGGAATTTCCCCCCCAAAATACTCTACCTAAACTGTCTTCCTCATGCCAAGCAACTTTTACAGAAATAGAAAGAAAATTCCTGGGTGATTTAATTGCCTTGGCTTGGAAAGCTACTTGGCAAAGAAAGAAAGCAAGAGTTAGATTTAAAAAACATAAGATTTGACCTGTTAGAAGGGGCATTACATGTTTAAATATTTGTTTGAATATCATTAAAAGAATGGATGACCCTTAGATATATTTAGACTTTTATAATGAAAGATATGATTTAGAATTAAAATAGCATTCTTTTTTTGATATGGGAAATATGAAAATAAGAGGATGGCTGGTACAAATAAAACTTTTAGCTATATAAATGTAATTAATATTGAGAAAATATTGTCATATCAGACAAAGATATTTCAAATATTGATGGGAAATCAAACCTTAATAAGAACATGAAAAACAAGATATTAATTTATGAATTGATATTATTATTTGTATAATATTAGTAAAATATGATGAGGATGTTTACATCTAACTTTGTATACATCAAAAGTAACAAGAATTGTAACTGTGTAATGAGGGGAAAATGGAAAAAATATGGGGAAGAAAGGAGGATCAGGGAAAAAATACTGGATTTTGCAGTACTGAACAGATTTATATTGAAGAAGTTAATGTTAAATATGTGAACCCAGACAACATGTTGTTTATTAAGCACTAAAGATTGTAATTTTTAAAAATCAATAAAACATTTTTTTTAAAAAAGACATCAAAGTCCTTAACCCCTTTCTCAGCTGTTCCTGCTGCTGTTTCTATTATGCAGGTGGAGCTCATATTGGGGTTTAATCCAGTTAGCTTGTTTGTTCTTTTTTCTTCCTAGGGAAACGTGCACTGCATTGTTAGGAAACATTAGTTCTACTGTATGGTAAGCCGTTCATTAAAATACACACAATTAGAGGAAAAGTGTTGCAAACAAATCCAAATACTTTTTGAAATATGCCATGTTCCCCTTATTCTCTCTGTGAATAATTCCCTTTCCTATATGATAAATATAGGATTTCAGACTTCATTAAGGTGGGACAAAATCTTCTCATGTTTTCTCTTCCGCAGAGTAAAAAACCTAAATGTGTATTTGGCTTGCATGCAAAAAGGAGATTCTTGGTGCTCATATTCATAAAGGATATTGTTTAACATTCTTCCTAGGCCATAATAATGGTTGAAGCTGGTTTTGTTTATAAAGTCTAACCAGAAAGCATGAAAGGAATAGATACTTATAAAATTCTGCAGCCCTATTTAAAATGAGATTCATAGTGAAGTCCATAACCCAAAGGAAATTTAACCACAGCTAATTCACAGCTCCTTTTCTCTGTGGCTAAATTCATACATCACACCAAGCTATGTATATACTCACGGATAAGCCCATCTTTGATTTTTTTAAAAACTAAAATGCCATTAAAACTCAGGTCAGCTTATCCATGGGTGGTACACATTTCATAATATTTTTGTTAAAAAATTCAAAGGTTTGCCAATACATGAGTATATATGTATATATTTTTGCCTCTTTTCTTTTCACATTGCCAAAGGCTCTTTTTCCTTTCGCCTGCAGAGGCAAAGAGGATTGAGAGGTGAGTGAAATCAACAAAGTGAGACTTGTGAAGGATTCCTGGGTTCTTACATTGTGAAATTTTAATCTAAGTCTTCCAGAGTCACCATGCTATATATGAGTTGGGCAACTATATACAATTGTTGGATAAATAATAATAAAAGTACTCTCTGTTGAAGTCACAAATGTAGTGACTCAGAATACTCCTGGTTTTCAATCCTCCCTCTAAGTTGCCCCTAATTTTCAGCAGCACATTCATAAAATCTTATGAAGTATGATGATGAAGTTCCCAGTCTCTTCTCTCTCTCTCTCTCCCTCCCTCTCTCTCTCTCTCTCCTCCCCCCTCTCTCTCCAAAATATCGTTCAATATGTCCAATGTTAAAAAGTTTTGCTCATCTTCTTTAATTGAAATCTTTAGTTTGTCTAGCTCTCTCTAGTGTCCAACCATTAGAGTCACGTCCTATCATTTTTTAAAAGAGAATTCAAGATAAAAGCATTTTCCTATGGGAAGGATTTTTATAATTAGTTCCAAAATTTTATTTTAAATTCATCTGGACCCCCTAGTCTGTTTGTAAATTTCCAGAATCAAAGTCACAACTCCTCTTTTGTAGATTATCCAAGAGAATTTTTCGTTGCCTTAAATTTAAATGTAAAACTTCTTTCACTATGACTGAAGGAAAATCCACCCACCAGAGACAGCTGCCATTCAGTCTCCTTAGGAAAAGCAACTGAAGGAAGCATTTGTGAATGATCTCAGGTCTTATCCTTGTCCGGAGAGGAATTATGAAAAGCCATTCCACTTGCTTTGCATGATTTCTTCATTCTGTCGCAGTTGTCAGATCTGCTTTTAGGGGAAATATCTCCAGTCTATCATTTCTTCCCTGGAAGTCCAAATAAGATGATTTTTTTTTTTAAAAAAAAAATTGCCTGTAGTTCCTATACAGTAGAATCCTTTTCAGTTCTGAAACATTGGTACCTAGAAAGATGCATGAAATAACTAACTATTCTAAACATAATGCAGAACAGCAAACTACTTTAATACCAAAACTAATTCTTTTCCCTAGCTAGAATGATTTTTGATTCAAGATCCAAGTGGAGAAAAATAGACCTTATGGCCTTGTGAAATTCTTTATCAGAAGAACAGACTGACTGAAGAAAGTTGAAACAACTTCCTGTCTACAACGTGTCCCTTGAAAATCAAACCACACCCCTTGGTGCTCTTTTTTCCAGGGAATTAAAGTTCCTGCTTGTTTCCAGATTTTTAAAAAAAAAAAAATATAAAAAAAATAAAACCCCTCTACCCTTACTTAATATTCCTTTATTATTTATTTGCAGATCAATGTCCTACTCAAATTGCACAGACTGCAAGGATCTTGGAAAAAAGTTATATTATCTTTTTTACTGTGTTGCAATATAATTATTTCTGAGTTCATCACTGCACCAATAAGCAACTAGCTAAAGGGGTCAAGAAATGTCCCTATTTTTTTTATGTGGATTGCTAACTTCTACATTCAGGTCAGCCTTGCCTGCCTGATGACAAAACTTCTCTGAAGCATTTCCCTCCTTCCTTTTCTCTGCGTTATAGATAAAAGCAGGAAAGTGCTATGTGCAGTCAGGCTTTCAGAATGATAAGCTTTAGGAATAGTAGAAGAAATGACAGCATCCTAAAAAGTATTACAAGTACCGCAAAAATATGGCCTGGTTAATATAAGTCACTTATCACTGGTGTATTACAAAATAAAGGAAGGTCAGAGAAGGTCAACAAAAGTATTTGAGGATTTGCCCTTTAAAGGTAGACTGAAGGAACTTAGGATGTTTAGTCTGGGGAAAGAAGAGCTAGGTGAAACTTGCTAACTATGTCTAGGCATGTAAAGGGAAACTATAGTGGAAATGATCAAATTTTTGGTTTTATATTGCTGGCCCACTGGATAGAGAAGATTGGCAGGAAAAATTACTTATACTTGTATTCAGCAAACTAGCAGATTTATTTATAATACCTCTATTTTGAAGGCATAATCCAAGCAACCCCAACATATCACAAGATCAGCATCTATTATTTTTCCTGTCCGTTGGGAGAAGTTGCTGTTCTATTTATAGCTTTGACTATAGAAGATGATCAGCCTAAGCCTGAGGGAGCGGTCAAATGTGTCATCAGTTATGAATCCCTTTGCACCCACAAGTGATCTACGTTCAGCCCACCATGAATTCCTTTGATCCTTATCTATTGCCAATTTGTTCTATAGTAGTTCAGATTCTTGTAGAGAACTTAAAGCTTGCAATAAATATTTATATTCACTTGAACTGTCTGGATTTTCTGATTTCCCTGGGACCTGACATTGACTCTGTTTAGATTTTATGGAAAGACAACTGAACAGCTTTTAAAAATAAGTAAAAAATCCAGGACCAGAAGGTAAAAGCTATCTAGTATTCCATTATCTTAATGTACTAGTTCATCTTCATCAAATACACTGTGGGCTTACCTACTTTAATAAATTTGGTTAATATTAAAGAGTAAACAATCCAAATTTTATGACAATGTTCCAAGCAAAATAACATAAAAATTAATGTTAACAGAAGGTTTAAGAGAAGTGAAACTGAACGTTTGTGTGATAAAAATTGCTTACTCTAGATCAGAAGTGTCAAACTCACAACGTCACGTGACATGTTGCGACGTATCGTGATTTTTTTGCCATTGCCGACAATGGGATGGGCATGGTTTTGTTACGATGCATCCGGCCTGCGGGCCAGCAGTTTGATACCCCTACTCTAGATGAATTTAAATATATCCTTGATTCAAAGTCTAGTTACATTATCTTTGGAAATCAAATTTTGTTTTATTAAAATATTTTTATATTTGGTTGGTATATCATACTGATGAAATGTCCCTTAGTTTATGATGACATATCCAACATTAATATTTTGGACACAATAACTTATCTTTGCTAAGGTGAGAAGGCAGCATGAGACATGGATATGATATATACAGTTAATCCAATTCTTCTCATCCTTTTCACGTTTTTAAACTGTATCTTGCTTTTGGGAGGTATATGTTTTGCTCAGAGAAACATGCAGGTCTCACATTTGGCATCTTCGCCACTGAGGTTTTTTTTCTTCTTAATTGTAACACCAGAACACCAGTCTTAATGAAGACCCCAGATGGGAAATGGGCAAGCATAAGGCATTGTATTATCTGAAATGCAGCAGCAAATGAAGATCTACTCCCAGGCCAATAGCACAATATCCAAAAGAATACTGCTATAATTACTTTGAAATAGGAATCTGTAAAATCCCACAGAATCCCATTTCCTCATCTGGATAGTACCATATTTAAAATACAGTAATAACCATAGTTTCCCTTCAGTAAGTTTCTCTAATGGTTCTAATGGAAAATGGGATCACCTGTCTTCCAGCATCTTTCTGTCCTGGAAAAAAAGACACCATAAATTTACTGATAAATAAACCAAAATACAATTAGCCGTGATACATTTAAATAATGTTGTGCAACATGTTACATCTTAATATAATTAGTATATTGTGAAAACTCAGACAATGTTATTTTATTGTATAATCTATATTTAAGCAAGTTATAGTTGAGTGAATTGCAGATTTATAAACATATCCTTAAACGCTAAAAATATTTATCCAATTTTGACTCATCATCAGCAGTGGGTACATTATAGAATAAATAATATAGAGCAGACTCACTAATGTGGGTCCCTGTCAGGTATCCAAATGTGTGAATTTCAGTCTCCATCATTGCAGCTAGCTTGGCCGCTCCTCAGATTAGATGTCAATCAGTAAAGTTGTAGTACAATATCCTTAAAGTAACAAAGTTAGAGAAGGCTAACCATACTGTGATGATATTGTAGATTGCTTACACTGCTGTTTCAGGTTTTCCTACTAATGATAATTAAGAGGGTAATAAAAATACAATTGTTGGATAAAAGTAGAATAATTTAAAAAAAGATCAAATCTAAAGTAAAACTAAAGTGCTTAAACTATTACATGAATTCATGTAAAATCAATTACATTTTTTAACCAATCACCTGAGAAACCAAAGGCACAGTTACTAAAATAAATATAGTGGCTTTTAAACATTAATGGTAGACAAAACTCTCAGTGGTTACTTCCCATATGAAAACCAGTATGCTTTTCAATGTCGTATGCTGGGAAACAGGTGCATTTATGACCTGCTTATGGATTTCCTATAGGCAGAGATAGTCCACTGTGGAGATACAATAGAAGCCTACTAGCCAAGTTAAGGAGTTCTTTGCTCTGCTTTAGCATAAATAATCTTACACATTTATGGCATTTTTCTCATACTAGATTAAACTATGCAACCATTTAAATCACACAACCACCTGTTTTGACTGGCAGTGGTTCTCCAAGCATCAAGCCAAGAAAGAGTTTTCACATATCTGTTAGCTATTCCTTCTTGCCAGGGTTTGAACTTGAGAGCTTTGGCATGCAAAACATGCTTCCTGAGGGTTTTTCTTTTTTTTTTAAAAAAAAGAGTCTGAGATTCTGAGGCAATAAAATAGTCATATGAATCCACATCACCTTTCTTGTCAGTTCTTTGTTTGCCCACATAATTTTTGTTCAGCTGAATCTCAATGATCTAGTAAAAGGAATTTTAAGTTGAGAAATTCAAAATATTGTAAAATGGGATGATATTTTAATGACAAGTCTTGAATGAGTATGCTTGATTCATCAATTCTTTCAGATATTAAACTGTACTTTGGATGGTACGGTCTCTGTATACTTCCCCCAGGGCAACTGTCCTATTGACAAAGTCCACATACATTCCTTTCTATTGAATTATCCAACAGTAACATTATTTTCTCTGAAATTCTTTGTTTTTTTAGTCTGTTCAATGAAGTCTGACTAGAGGAACCTTGAACTATATTGATAAATAGAAAAGCACAGCGTTTTAGGAACAAAGGCCCATAGCTAACCTTTGATTTGCACACTGTAAATAAAAAAGAAATGGATGGTTCACATCAGAAATAAAATGAAATTTAAATTCATCCTATTTATAGTTAAATGTAATTATAATTTAATTTAGTTAACATATAACATATTCATGTACTCATGTATAACTTTTCTCTGTTGTCAAACACTAGTTTTTAATTTGCTAATAATTTTTGAAAATCTCTTGAGGTTGCCCTCAAAGGTATTTCTCATGTCTAATGTAATCATTGTTTTCAACCCTTAAGATAGTAAATATCAAATGATCACTAGCTAATTCATACATAACATCAAACAGCAATAGCAATAGCACTTAGACATATACTGCTTGGTAGTGCTTTACAGAACTCTCTGAACAATTTACAATATCAGCATATTACTCCCAACAATCTGGGTACTAATTTTACTAACCTCAGAAGGATGAAAGGCTATATCAACTTCAAGCCTATCAGGATCAAACTCCAGGCTGTGGGCAGAGTTAGCCTGCAATACTGCCTTCTAACCAAAGGCCCAGGGCAGTATTAATCTTATGCTAATGGTTCCTCTAAAAGTACATACGATACCTAGAAATGGATGCCAGCTCACTACCAATAAAAAAACTTAGCTTACTCATTCTACTTTATAGTATCATAATGCTGTCAGATATATTCTAATGTTCCTTTATATATTTTATTACCAGTTGTTCCATGTGGCTTATGTCCTTATCAAATTTGCAAATTCTCCTCGTCCAGATTTGTGGGTATTAGAGAGATCAATAGACTTTGGAAGAACATATACACCATGGCAATATTTTGCTTGTGAGTATCAACCACAGAGCTCTTTCAGTGTTTATAGTACTTTTTTTCTTAAAAGAAAAGAAATGAATTCAAGCTAATTGAATTTTATAGAGTTAGTCATGTTGAATTGTACACAGAATGAGTCTAAAATGCTGTTCCCTGATTCATAGTTAAGGTAAACAATAAAGCCAGGTAATAGTAGTGAGACCAAGATATGTTCTGGTTCATGCCTATGGTGACCCAAAATGTTTATTACTGTTTAAAAGAATTCATAAGGTGGCTTTATTCTTTTCAGAACTGATGTGGAGGTTCTGCTACTTCTATGTAGATTACTGTTTACCTTCCTTTTGTTTCATTCTGTTCCCTGATTCAGATTCATTAAACATTAATATTTTAGTGAGCCAAGAATACTTTGATACAGCTTTGCGAGAATGTCCATCAACTTTGGAAAACTGAAGGGCAAGGAGCAGGACTTGAAAACACCAAAGCTGCTTCAGCATGAACTCTTGTGCTTTGATGATATCATTTGTCTTACTTATAAGTGTTAGTATCGAGACTAGGAGACACAATTAAAACATATCAGAGACTGAACTAAAAGTGACTTTCTTTTTTAAAAAATTAGATTCTAAGGCAGACTGTTGGGAACGTTTCAGAAAAGAAGCTAATAGTCCTCTCAAAAAGGATAATGATGTCATTTGCACAACAGAATATTCTCGGATAGTGCCTTTAGAAAATGGAGAGGTAAGCTGAAGACATCCATGTTCTAAATGCTTTGTTCAAATGTTATTGCATGTATTCTTTCAGTACTTCTAGAATCATAAATTCTAGGAACTTGGTTTGCAATTATCAGTGAATATTCCTCCTCAAATTTATGGTCACATTTGCTGCCTTACTTCAGATTATCCTCCTTTCCTACTTTATTGTGAATTGGATTCAGTAATAACCGATTTAAAGAAAAACCCACTTTGATGACAACCTCCTTCTTCCAGATATCCCTTCTTGTTTCTCTAGTCCAGGAGTCTTCAAATTTGGCCCTTTTATGACTTGTGGACTTCAACTTCCAGAATTCCTCAACCAGCATGCCTGGCTGAGGAATTCTGGGAGTTGAAGTCCACAAGTCATAAAAGGGCCAAGTTTGAAGACCCCCCTGCTCTAGTCCAATGTTTCTCAACCTTTAAGATGTTAAGATATTTGTGAGCTCCCAGAATTCCCACATCCCATAGCATGGCTGGCTGTGGAATTCTGAAAGTTGACCTCCGCGCATCTTAAAGTTGCCAAGGTTGAGAAAAGCTGCTCAGTTTATTCTAAGTTACACTACTGACCATTCATTGCTTTATTGTGTGACCACCTTTTTCTGGTCATTTTGAGGCTATTATTTTCTTTTTTATGCACAGTTGTTTTTATATAACAACCAAAGAGAGATGAAACAAATACCCTAGTTTGGAATTAGGACCATCAAAATAAAGATAGACTTGTTTCCCATAAAAGTCAATTTTGTTAAACCAATAAATTTTTACTGCTTTGAATAAAGTTTCCAGTTTGTTCATAAAATAGAGTTGTTCCATGAACTGAATTCTGAGTTAGCAATGAGCTTTTGTTAAAAAGAACTTTAAACCTGCTTTTGCTGATGGGGAAGTTCCATAAGAATATTGTGTATGTTCTTGTTGCTATAAAAGCCTTTGATTAAAAGACCCCTTTTTTTGCTTATTTACAATATTTCTTGATTGTTTATGCTACAGCAGGAAATAAATACACATTGATCAGGGTTAACAGTATTCAATCCTCTAGTGATGTATAGGTATCTATTAGTGATATTTGTAAAAATTGCAATTCTTTTGAATATGTTATTTATTCAATTTTTATCCTAGTCAGATGAGCTTTTGTTAAAAAGAACTTTAAACCTGCTTTTGCTGATGAGGAAGTTCCATAAGAACATTGTGTATATTCTTGTTGCTATAAAAGCCTTTGATTAAAAGACCCCTTTTTTTTGCTTATTTACAATATTTCTTGATTGTTTATGCTACAGCAGGAAATAAATACACATTGATCAGGGTTAACAGTATTCAATCCTCTAGTGATGTACAGATATCTATTAGTGATATTTGTAAAAATTGCAATTCTTTTGAACATGTTATTTATTCAGTTTTTATCCTAGACAGATGAGCAATCAATGTTTCCAACAACAGTAAAAAGATTAAAACATAAAGATGAATGTTATAATCATTTATAGATGTATTCTTATAATTTTTAAAAACATTGAGAGTAAAGCAGATGCTATTGATTTATCCATCTCTCTTTTTTGAATCAGATTGTGATATCCTTGGTAAATGGCCGTCCAGGAGCAAATTATTTCAGCCCTTCTTCCATACTTGGAGAGTTTACTAAAGCCACAAATATTCGTTTACATTTCCTCAGAACCAACACTCTACTTGGACACTTGATTTCTAAAGCTCAGCGGGATCCAACTGTGACACGCAGAGTGAGTTCTTGTTCTTTTTGACAGAGGAAATCCAATAGATAATAATGGCATTATTCTACAAAACCTTTGACCAATTTTTAACCAGCTTGTACTTATTATTGATAATTTAGGGTATAACATTCTATGTAAATTTTCCATATTATACATTATGTTGTGGTCTATTGCTTGAAATTCAGATAGATAGCAAGAGCAACAAACTGAAAACCCTTTCTGTTTGCATGTTCTCATATGTGGGTAATTTTTTTTATTGAGTAAGAATATTGTCCATTGAGTTTAGCTCTGTCTAAACCAGGAAAACCTTTACAGAATGCTAGGCAAAGTGGTTGTATGCACATTTCTTGTACCTGAGAGCCTTTCTAAAAAAACTCAGATGGCAAAGGAAGGTACAATATTTGTATTTGGAAACATCACCACTTCAGCAACATAGTTATTCAAATAGGCTTTTTATCTGTCACTAAAATATGGTTAATTTCTGTACATGGATAAATTTACCTTTGCAACCTAAAAGCTTGTTTCTTTATGCCCCCTAAACCACAATTTTCCTCTTGAATATATTATGATTAAATTCCTGCAGACTGTTAATGCAGAAGACCTGCATTGATTTAAGAGAATAGTATTTCATTTCATTAGTGCATTTTTGTGACAATTGGAATTGTTTAGTAAGAAAGAGGATGTTAAAGCAAATATATTTTATAGACAGAAAGAAGATTGCTGTATCATTAAGCATTCATATCTAATGAACTGCTTCTCTCCACAGAAGTCTACATGGATACTGGTAAAAGTGGTATCAGGGTAGAGTTAGCCAGCCGTTAGTTGCAAAGTTTTTATAACTGTGCTGTGATCCCCTGAAAATTGGAAAGTCCCTATTTTGGACATTCTTAAAGAAACATGAATCCTGGAGGCAAAACATAACTCAGATTTCCTTTTTCTTGAAGGATATGTATTTTGTTTAAAGCTACTTTTTTTTGCTAGCAAAGATGTGATGCATATTTTCAATATTTTTCAGGGACAGAATAAAATGCAGGCAAGTGATCTAAGAAGAAAATTTGCTTCACAATCCAACATGATAGAACTATTAGAAAATATGAAGCATTTTTTATATAATGAGGAATATATAAACCAGATTTATAGATATAGATACAAATAGAATTTTTAAGATAATCCATTTTTCTTTTTCTGGTCACTGAGTAAAGCAGCAAATTTGGTTCATTTTCACCTTCTTGAACTAGGCATCAGTACATTGCTGGTAGGGTAAAGAATATCTCTCTTTCTTATATATACATATATATCATTCGTATTGACATTTTCAGTGAGTCAGCCCAGACAGGATATAACTTTATCATCAAATAACCTGATGGTAGGGAGTAGTAGCAAAATAATAAACTGTTAATTCTTTGAGTACCATTTTGATTACTAATGACTTCTAACCTAATCCGATGTGTATTTACTCTGAATAAATGAGTGAATGTACTAATTTACTTGGAATTATTTGGGTCCAATGAGTCTGATTCAAATTGTAGCATATAGGAATTCAGTGCCACTCTTTATTAATCTATTCACAAATTCCACTTAATTCAGGAAAATTTGTTCCAATGTGAATTTTTATAAGCTTGAAGCCTTGATTTTAATTTAGCTCAAAGCATCTCTAGAAACAGTAACGGAAAAGAATTGGTTAAATAATATTGAAGAAAGACCAAGTGTTTGAATTAATAGTGTAAAGGACATTATACTGATTATTAAAAGAATAATGAAGGGAAAATGATTTTTTAAATATTCCCCCTTAGTCTTCTATAGATCTGTAATATAATAGAGTTTGTTCTAAGGACTGATGTGCCATCAAGTTATTGTTCACTTTTGGCAACCACACCAATAGATTTTTTTCCATGATGATTTATACCCAACCTGATATTTTAGTTAGATTTCAGCCTTCCATTCATGCCTGTAGTCTTGTATTGCTGCAACTTTTCTGTGGGGAAGCCTGTAACATGTCTTTTTTTTCTTTCCCGTAGGTACAGCTTTTTATCTCTTTACCTGTTTATTATCAGTATTAATACAATTCCCTTCCTTTCCTTCCACTGTTTCTTGTTTTTTGTCTCTTTCATCTGTGAAAAAACATTAAAATATAGAAAGTGTAGAAAACAAAACAAATGCATGATTTATTAGCATTGTAGTAGGAAAGCCATTATAGCCAAGAGGCAAAAAAACCAGAAGTCTGGTAACATCTCTTCTGATTAACAAATGTTACTAAAAGGCTTTTGCTCTTATGGAAAGTTGCTACCAGTCTCTTTCTAATGATTTACATTAAGTAATACATGTTTGGAGAATATACTTGGGCTAAATCTATAATTCATAACAAATAATTAGTATCCAATTTGCATCCATAAAAGTATCTAACTTTTTGAAAATAGATTGCTTCTGTTATTTTTCTACAAATCTTATTTCTTCTGTTATCTAGTACTACTATAGTATAAAAGACATCAGCATTGGTGGACAGTGTGTTTGCCATGGACATGCTGATGTGTGTGCTGCGAAAACTGACCCAGATTCCTACAGGTAAAGTAACCAACAGTGCAATCAAAAGAACAGTTCTTACAAATGATTTTAGTTTATGTTTATAAAATGATGGGGGTGATTTAGGAACTCTCCTTGCCCCAAAATCTCAGATAATGGTAAAGGTTATTCATTCATCCATCCCCATGGCTATGATAGAATGAGTTTGGTTTGAAAAAGCTATTAGTTTCCTGTATGGACTTTTACATACAAACGTGGGATATACATTTCATAAACAAATATGTTAACATTTGAATTTGTATTATCATTGGATTAGGACAAGGGTCTCCAAACATGTCAACTTTAGGACTTGTGGATTTCAACTCCCAGAATTCCCCAGCCTGCATAGCTGACTGGGGAATTCTGGGTGCTGAGTCCACAAGTCTTAAAGTTGACAAGTTTGGATAGACCTGGTTTAAGACATAATCTATAAATTATATTATTTTTAAAAAGCATCTCATAAAAAAATAAAATATGAATCATACAAGTGCACATACAAAGAATGTGCAAAGCAGCAGAACCACAGCAGTAGAATGAGATTTTTTTAAAAAAGGTCTCAGTAAGTAAGGAAAAGTCTTTAGTTCCAAAAAGAACATGAGATTTGATACTGTATAGGTGAACCTCATTGGACAGTGCACTCTGTAGACAGAATTGTATACAGAGAATACACATACATATTCAAATTGTACAACCGCTGCAAAAAAGGTTGTAAAGTACAACAAAAATCATGAAAAGTGCAACAGGGGAAATTTAACTGAGAATTACTTAATACTTACAGGTACCAATGTGAATGTCAACACAATACTTGTGGGGAAACCTGTGATCATTGCTGTCCAGGGTATAATCAAAAAAGCTGGCAACCTGCAACAGCCACTAGCCCAAATCTCTGTGAACGTAAGTCATGCGGAAAGACAAATGTTGCTTTAATGTAAACACAGGTCACATTTGCAAGGTTTACATTGTATAATAATAATTAATAACTATGTAAATGGTAAGTAATACAAACATATATGAATCCCATAGTAGCTCTGTATTTCTTTAGATTTGAACTGTGATTCTGCAGTTTTGTAGAGCAATTAAATGGCCTTTTTAAATCTCTTGTGTCAAGCCAACTTGATTAAAGTTGGTAGGTGGGAATGCTTCTTGTTTCAAGCTGAGCACATATTATCTGCCTTCTGCTGATTGTGAAAAAGTCACTGCACGTTCTCTGTGCAATTTGTGATGCTATTTTTTTTTTAAAAAAATCAGAGTTCCCTTGCTCATTTTCTTTCTTTTTTGTTAAAAATAATTTTAACCCACCATCTTTTTCAGCCTGCAATTGTCATGGCCACGCCCTTGACTGCTATTATGATCGTGAGGTTGAACGACGTAAAGAAAGTTTAAATCTTCATGGACAGTATCAAGGGGGAGGAGTCTGCATTGACTGTCAGGTAAACCCCCTGTAACACCTTTTGTAGATTGATAAGTACATGAACGTTGCAAATAGCATGCTGAACTTCAATTTTTCTGAGCTAGAGAAGAGAGTAATTTTCTTTCACTCAAAGATTTATTCAATTTTGATTGCAAAATATGCAGGACTATTCTGTAGAATTGAACTATTTTACCTTAGTAGAGCAATATCTAAGATTACATGGTTTAGATAGCGGTTGGGCCATCTCTGCAGTCATGTGACTGAATTTCAAGTGCTCAGCAACACATTTGCATTTACAACTGTCCCATGGTCATGTGATCACATTTTATGATGGTGTTGCTGAAATCTGGCACTTTCAGTTTTCAACAAAACCCTCCCTATAAAGAACCTTTGGTTTGCTTAATGACTGCAGTTTTCACTTAATGACCACTGTAGAAAAGGTTGTAAAATGTTACCACCATTACGATATACGAATGTAATGGGCAGGCTCCAATACAGTCTGAATTTGAAGATTATGTAGAGTCTGTTCCATCAATTAACAGCTTTAACAGGTAGAAAATTCCTCCTGATGCCTAGTTTGAGCTACCTTCCTTGAGGTTTTAGCCCACTGGTTCTGGCCCTTTCCTTTGGGCAATAGAAAATATGTCTACTCCCATTTCTGTATAACAGTCCTTAAGATATTTGAATGCTATTACAATTCTCTTCAGTTGTCCTTTCATTAGGCTAGATCCTTTTAACTGTTCCTCATGGGGCTTGTTTTCCAGACTACTAACCATCTTGGTTGTCCTCCTCTGAGCTTGAATAGTTGTTACTGCCCTTTTGAAATAGGGTGCCTAGAACTGAATTCATCTTCCATATAAGGTTGAATTTATTACAGTTGATATTTTTAAGTTTATGTTTTATACCGGTATCAATGCTATGTTGGATATGTGGCCATGTATATTAAGTTTGAGTCACAAGAGAAATCCATTTTGTGTTAGGAAAACAACAGAAAGAATAGAAACAAGAATTAATACCAAGAAACAAATCAAAAGTCAAACAATATGTTAAAGGAGAGTTAAAGTGCATTATGGATTTGGTTATTTATATAGTTGGTAATGTTAGTTAGATTATGATTATCATATTTGTAACCCTATATTCAGCTCTGGGAAATGGGGGAAGGAGGGGGGGTTGGGTGGGTTAATATTGTAATTTTTATAAAACTTTTTAATTAAAAAAAAGTCAAACACAAAAAATAAGTCATATATTAGAAAGAGCTAGGAAAAGCTATAATTGGTTAGACAAAGTTGCACCTTCAATTCCTTGATGGTCCTTGCAGTTGATCAAATTGAGTGGTTAATCTTGGTAATTCCAGTTATCTGTGAAGTACCAACACCACATTGCTCAAAGAGATGTTTCATGATGGTATTCTGCTTGTTTACCATATAAATAGTTGAACCTTGGAAGCTGGCAGCGCAATACCTATAATACAATCAGGTGGCACCCACAAAACCTCATCATCATACTGCAATAAAATTAAAAATAGAAATGCCCCAAATCTGATGAGATCTCATATGAAAATTCAGATATTTCATGATAATGTAAGCATTTTTAATTTTATTTGCCTTTTTCCTTAAACTTGATGCCCTATGATATTATATAAAATCATGTGATGGCACTCACCATCAGAAAATATTACCAATCCCTGATGAACCTAAAGTTACTATTTCCTGGTTCAGCCTGCATTCCTGATACATTGACAGAAATCACAAGTCATAGTACTGTTACATCAACCTTTTTCTTAATTGTGAAAACAAACTTAAAGTTGCCAAAACTTAAATTGTTTATCTCTTCTTCTGATTGTATTTCTCTTATGCCAATTTCTCCTTTATTTTATCTCATATAGCACAATACAGCTGGTATAAATTGTGAGAAATGTTTGAAGGGTTACTATCGTCCATATGGTATTCCAATCACAGCAGTGCATGGATGTATACGTATGTCAATTTTTCTATTATTTTTACTAGCCCCTTCCCCTCAATATATTTTAATAAGAAAAAATAATTTAATATATTTTACCATGTGAAGTTTATTTATACTACGAATAATGCTTTTTATTTTAGATCACATGGGAAAAGTTCCCTGTTAGGATGGCAAATGCCAAGCCTGTTGGATAATTATACATTTTGTCTGTTTTAGTCTGTCTGATATTGTATATATCTCCTATAAGGCTATATACCTATGCCTCACAATGTACAGTCTCTGAAGTAGGATAATTTGAATCTGGTCATTTGTGCTGCAAGTGAGGTCATATTATTTAATGGTCTGCCATTTTATTCTTAAAGGAACTTCATGAGGAGGTGAAGTTCTTTTGAAGAACAATTCTGTCTACAGAGTGCACTGTCCAGTGAGGTTCACCTGTACAGTATCAAATCTCATGTTCTTTTAGGAACTAAAAACCATTCCTTATTTACTGAGAGCTTTTTTGGGGGGGGGAATTAAATCTGCTGCTATGGTTCTGCTGCTTTGCACATTCTTTGTGTGAGCACTTGTATGATTTAAACAATGTTTTACTTTGTTTTAACGGTTTTTGGTAAGCTGCCATGGAAGCAGAATACAAATGCCAAAATAAAGGGAAACATTGTATCACGGGCTCCATTGACAGTATGGTCATACAATTCCATTACAAGAATCCTTAAAATATGGGAGCTAATGGGAGTGAATACAAAATTGAACTCTGTGTGATACATGATAAATGATTCAGATCACTGTATTAACCTTCTAGAATGTAGTTGTAGCTGATTTCACACAAAATAAATGTATTTCCATTGTGAAGTAATAATTGCTTAGGTTTTTGTACTTAAAAAGGATATTGATGTGATAGGCTTCACACAGCATTTCAAGATAAAAAGTAATATAATTATTAAATCTATTGCTGCCAAAGCAAAGTAGCAATTTGGTATACAATAGGAATTCCTGTTATTATAATTACAGTAAACTTAGTAAACTTCAGGAAATAAATGTGTTTGAAGAAAGCTTTTGATGATGTCATTTCCTGTAGCCTGCAGGTGTAGCCCTGAACATTCCAATGGCTGTGAAGAAGGATCAGGTCACTGTTATTGTAAGCTGAACTATCAGGGTGAAGCCTGTGATCGGTGTGCTGATGGATACCATAGTTTTCCTTTCTGTTACCGTGAGTGTAACAGCATGTCCAGTGAATCTCTAAATTAATATCCATTGTTTTATTCCAGATTCTCTTATACTAATTTTTATCAGAATGCTACCTCTAAGCATTCCTAAGTCATGCTTCTAAATAAGTCAAGGAGGTAAATATTTTAGTTTATTGCCATGCAATAGTCTTTTCTGAAATATGAGCTAAAGCTGAACTTCCACAAGCATCTGGAATTATATCTCTTTGACAGATTAATTATCTAGATTGGAATCAGGCAACTCTATTTTTAATCACACTTCCTGTCTGGATGAATTTGCTCTCCCCTGACTTCTAATTTTTTTCTTTCTCTGTTTGATGTTCCAATGCTATAATTGTTTTTCAGTCTAGTGCCACTATAGCACTTATGGAATGTGGTCACTAAAAATTATAATAGAAGAATAATTGTTTCAAAGTCTTGCTATAAATATCAAGATGCAGATATTTGCTAACATGGAGATATTGCAGGAGCTGAAACATGGAGAAAATGGGACAAAAGAGGATCTGAAATAGAAATATATTACCTTGGTAGAAAAAAATAGGAAGAAGGAAGTTCTATTCTATTAAATTTTATGACTGCATAAAAACTACAGGGTATCCTTCAACAGCCAGTCTTCTTTCTTTCTCACTTTGTGAGAGAGAAAATTCTTATTGGAAGGAAAGAATAAATCAAGGTAAGAGAAGATGAATATTGAGCAAGAGATGGATAAGATAAGTTCATCTAATCTTTTTCATAACCTGGACTAGTCAGTTTTCCAATTAGTTTGGGAACTTGTTGTTTTGAGTTTCCTTAGTTATTGGTTGGCAGTGAAGTTTGGACAATATTGCAATAGTCATTGGGAGTTGGGCAGTGTATAAATTGTGTTAATAAATAATCCTACTTATTTTGAAGTTTAGCTGACTTCAAAAAAGAGTTGGACCAATTCATGGAAGTCATGCAAATCAATGGCTATTAGTCTTGAAGGCAGTCTGCTGGTATCTGAAGGCTATTTGTTGGGACTCTAGTGGGTTTCCTTATGCAGTTGATTGGCAACTATGAGAACAGACTACTGGGCTAAGTGGGCAGGAGTCTGATCCAGCAAGGCCATGCTCACATTCTTGTGCTAGTTTTCCCTCAATATTGTAATTGAATGATAGAATACAATGCTTTCCAGAGGTTGAACCTCTGTTATTCCATTACAATACTGTACCTACCATGGGAGCAAGTGATGTGAAATAATCTGCCTGAGATTCTGGAGACCCAAACAGAAGCAGATGGATAAATAGTCTATCTAATTCTCTATATTCTTTTCATTTTGGCAAGTAGTAGGAGTGGTCTCAGCCAGAATGAGGAGCTGAGAAGAATGGACTTTTCATGTGAATTTTAAAAGAGTATCATACAGACATATATTTAAAAAGGCATATGTAAGTACTGTACACCTACACCAGCAGACACCTGCAGAGGGTGTCAACCTTTGCTGATTAAGAGTTTATCCATCACAGGGCCCTCTGGCATAGGAAGCTTCTTAGCACAGGAAATCTTTAACTGGAAGCTATTTGACATCTGTTTCTGCACCTGGATTATTGCTCTGTAATTCCCTTAGTTATTTAGAGCTTTGTCTAGGCAGCATCAACCTTTCCCAACCTTGCAACTTCAATCAAGATATTCTTGGCAAATGCTGTTACACTGTCATGCTCTTCTCTCTTCCAGTATTAGGCAGCCGTTGCAGACCAGGATATTTTGGAACACATTGTCAGCGTAAGTTTTGCTATTCTTCTGGGAAATGCCAAAGATAACTGCAGGGCAATATCACTAGGAGACTCCCCCCCCCCGCTCCTGTTGTGCTTGAAACTCGAGGCTATTGTTAACATTTTTAATTCATTTCTTTTAAATACAGCCTGTCAATGTTATGGCTCAGGGATGTTCAATAATGATATTTGTTATCGCGGTACAGGTTCATTATCAATGCCAGACTGGATTTCAGGGTATTCTCTGTGACAGATATGCGACTGGGTATTTCCATTACTCTTTCTGTCGAAGTAGGTCATGATTTGTTTTTATATTTTAAGCATTTATAAATGGCGTTCATCAAATGAAAAGGCAGGTTATAAAGTTTAAAAATGAACACATGTTCAACAGTCACTGAGGTGTCATAATAATATATTGAGAACTGAATTTTGTTCTAATTCAGAGTTCTCCAATTTCTAAAAATTAAAAGATTGTTTTTTAAAATTAAAACTGGGGCACATTTATTTATGTACACAGAAATATTTGTGCTTTAAAAAAAGCTTTTAAATCAAAAGGTAAGATAATTACATTTTACCTACAGACAGAATCAACTATCCATTAAATCAGGGGTAACTCGTGGACTTCAGCTTAGCTGGCTCAGGAATTCTGGGAATTGAAGTCCACGAGTCATAAAAGAGCCAAGGTTGACTACCCCAGCTGACTAAATCAAAACTTGGAGGTGATAGAATTGCTATGCTGATATTATCAGTTTTCTGTGCTTCACATTAGATGTCTCCCACGTGGAGGGCAGTGTCTCTAAATTAACAAACACCAGAGAAAAAGATATAGGAATGTTTCAGGAGGTCTCCCAGTTTCCAGTTAGTTAAAAAATACCCTGCATGTATTAATATACTGGGACCTGGGGGGAGGAAAAAGCATAAGAAACTTTTTGTGTAGTATATTGGTACCTATTTCATTGGTTCAAATGACAGAGATAAATAAGAATTGTTTTTTTAAAAAATATAAACATTAATACAAAGAAAAAATATTACTCCTTTTTTTAAATTCAGCATATATTTTCAGGGGAGGAAACAATCCCCTCACCCACAGAAATTAGGTTTCATTGATTTCTTTGAATTTTGCTTTGGAGAGACAAAAGGCAATTAAAGATTTAAACAGAATACCATGGTAAATTAATTTCTTATTTTTCTTATCTAGAATGCAACTAGGCATTCTAGATAAGGTTTATGGACAACACATATGGCCTTTAGGGCAATTGTCTTTGCCATCCAAATTATGCTGGGTCCAAATACAGCCAGTTATTCATGGTTATTAAGATCCCCCAGGTGCTGAGTAAACAATCAGCTTTATTTTTCTGCCTTTTCACTCAGACACTTCAATTTACAAGTAAATTTTAGCTGATTTACTGGTTTTTGGAATTTTTTTGTTTTTCCTAATAGGTATTGTTAGTTTTCTGAGTTTAAACTCTAATGCAGCTTCCTCAATACTTGAGATAAATTTAGTGTCATTCAAAAGTGGCTACTCTGTACGAAGAAGCACCGTAGTTATAGATCTAAACTTTTCTGAGATCCCTGGAATCCTCTCTGGTTCAGCTGCTTTGCTTAGCTCTGTTTATTGAAAAGTGTCTGGTAATTTCCTGCCATTTTGCATAGAAAGCATATTTAAATTGAAGTACAATCTTAAAATAAGCTTAGTATAGTGTTATTACAAACAAATAGGGTAAAAGGAGAACCTTAGTTGGTCCTACTCACTTTCCATCATCATTCTGTCTGATTCTTGTCTGCCTCCACATATGAATTTTTTTTATGTCGAACATGAATCTTTTTAGCTATTAAATATTCCTTTGTCATTCTTTGCAGATGTAGTTTCTTTGTCATGGCCCTTCATTGTTGAACTGTCTCATTTCTCATCTGGGATAAATGAGAAGTTCAGAGCCCTGCAAAGCAGCTTAGTATTGATCACATTTGCATGATTTTCTTCCTTTTGAACTCAACCCCAGCATTTCCAATGGTGACATTAATATGATAGGAACAGAGCTTTCCTTTCTTTCAAGAGCTTACTTGTGTAGGTAGGGATTACAATAAATGAACTCACCAAGTTACACACCTGTGCCCAAAAGAGAAATGTGGAATGCATTATCCCACAAAGAAGAAGTCATAGCTTGCTTGAGCAGTTGTAAATCTGCTGATCATGCTGGAGAAAGGTTTAATGCAATGATTTCCAAATTCTGACCTTTAGGTGATGGGAAATTAGAATTATGTAATCTTTAGACAGAGATGCCGACAACTGGGAAAGATGGGATTTGTAAATCAAAAAATGAGAATTGGGAGACAGCATATCACCCATCACATGGCTCCTTCATTCTTTCTAAGATTCATATCTTTTTGCAGCTTGTCAGTGTTCACGGTATGGCTCCTACCAAGACACATGCGATCCAACCACAGGCCAGTGTGATTGTCGACCTGGTTTCATAGGCCAGCAATGTGACAGATGTATCTCAACAAGTAAAACTTTTCCTCATTGCCAAGGTAAGAATTACAAGGACAGTTTTACTCATAGAAACATTGTACAATCAGCAGCTGGTATGGATTTGTCTGAGATCAGGAGATTTTGATCAGCTTAGCTCCCAACATACCTTGCAAAGAAGTTGATTGCTTTTGATAAAATGCTTGGCATCTTGAATTGAGTGGGTATTTTGGCCAGCCCTGACTCAGCACAGAGAAATGCTTTTTTGATTATAACTGATTATTCATATTCTGAAGGAAATCTGCTGTGGAGATAAACCGTGAGTCACTGTTGAGCAAGGTCAAATTCTTTGAACTTAAACTTCCTGTATAAATTGATAAAAGTAAAGTTTTGAGAATAATACTATCTTTTTTTTTAATTGTTAAAAAGGAGTCATCAATGAATGTGATCCTGCTGGAACCAGAGATTCTTTTTCTGTAAGTATTATATTATATAATTAGCAGAGTATTATATAAGTGGCATGAAGTGATAGCAGTTAAAAAAAAACCTGATCAAAGTAGTGTTGAATGTATAGTCAAAGAAGTCAGATATGTCAGAAAAGTGGGGAAGTTTAATCTGTGAGAGAGAATATAATTCATTTACAGGTGTCTAGATCATCCACAAGGAACTAATTAATAAATCCAATGGAAGAAAATGGTAAGGAAGTTTATTTCATTTCAATATTAGGAAAAAAAATTGTTACAGATAGTCCTTGGTCTATGACCACAATTGGGGCTAGAATTTCCATTTCTAAGAAGTGGTTGTTAAGTGAGTTGTGCCCAGGTTTACCACTTTCTTTGCCATGGTTTCTTAAGTGAATCGCTGCAGTTGTTGAATGAATCATGGTTTTAAGAATATCTGGCTCACCCATTAACTTGGCTTGTTGGAAGCTGGTGGAAAAGGTCACAAATGGCAATCACATAATCCCGAGATGCTGCAACCATCATAAATACATGTTGGTTGTCAAGCACCTCAATTTTGATCATGTGATCATGGGGATGCTGCAACGTTTGTAAGTGTGAAGACCAATTATTAGCCACTTTTTTCAGTGCCTTCGTAACTTTGGTGGTTGTAAGTCAAGGTCTACCTATACCATAAGAGATGCTTGATTGTGGAAGTGAAATATTCTGTTGCAATAATAGGAAGCTTTTTCATCAGAAGTATTTAAACAGAGGCTAAACATTCAGAAATGTCTAGGAATTTCAATTTTGTTGAGCTAGTAATCACATATGAAAGATCAAAAAAATGTTATGGATTCTTTGGCAAAATGGCTGTGTGGGATATTGGCCCATTCCCAAAATGGTTGCCTTGGGAGACATAAAACAGTTTTATCAGCCTTGAGTGCTTCTTTTTACCCTACTTGCTTTTCTTCAGACAAAAAAATGAGTTGCTCTTGCAATCATGTTTATTTTTTATATAAAACATGAAAAGATGAAGAGGACAAGGACCCATGTGACACTCTGTGGCACACACTAGTGTTTTTGGTGCCACGTGGAAAACTTTTGTCCTTGTTGGAAGAGTTCTATATTAAGTAAGGTATTTTTAAAAAATAATTTCTAAGATTGCCTCTGCTGTAAGATTTTCCACTTTTTGATATAAAGTCCTCATCTCTCCTTTCGAGTCCTGTAAATATCACAGTCAGTATAGTCTAATAGTTATGAACTAAGGTTCACTTGTGGATATAATTGACAGCTTGTTTGTTAAATCAGTTCTACACCTGTAAAATTGTTCCCTATTTCAGTTTTCTATATTGATCTGCATCCTTAGCCTGTGTGATGCTTAGTTTTTTTAAAATAACAAATTTGTTTTCCTCTTCATTGTTAGGGCTATTGTCAGTGCCTACAAAATGTAGAAGGCCCAACCTGTAGCATCTGTAAGCCACTTTATTGGAACCTGGCTAGTGCTAATCCTTATGGATGTATAGGTAACTGTTCATATAATAAAAATCAAGTCTATTTTCCTCCTATTATTTTCAGACCCTTCCAGTTTTTCCAAAATTATTTTCTGTTCATCAGCCTTGAAAGGAATAGAGTTGTGGTTCCATGCTACTGAAAGACAGGAGTGTTTGTCCTTTCAGTGTGTAACATGGAGTTTTTGCTTTTTTGTTTATGAGGCAAAACGCTAATGTATTTTACAAAATGCATACTATGCATTATATACAATATGCTGCAAATTGATGTGTACTGTATTTCTTCTCCCACAAATAATTACATCATCTATACAGCAATGTGCTTGCATTAATCAAAATAGAAATTAGTACTGAACTGATATTATTAATTAATGTAATGATCAATGCTGGACAAAGAAGTTTGATTAGGAAAAAGAAAACAATGTTTGCAGCAGACTCATTAGAAAAAAGAGTTGATATTTAGCATGACCAAGAATAAATGAGAGAGAGAGATTATGGTTCAATTGATTGCATCTCTCAGAATCCCAGTAAATATGGAAATTGCAGGGCAGATCTCAGGTTTATTTTTTGTACTTCTCCATGGCCACCATCTTGAAGTTAATTGTTGAAAGAGTAAATGCTATTTTCATTTAATATTTTTATTCAAATATTTTTATTCTGTTCTAATCTTTTGAGATCCTTGCTTCCTTATCTCCATGATTTTTAACATTGTGCTTGAAAGTAGGGGTTTGGAGAACTGGAAATCTAGTGTGCTCTGTGCATCATTGCTGGTATTTTTTTTTTTTTTTTAGTATTATGTAAAGAAAGTCAAGTCTGTCTATCAGTTGTACAAAACCACCAGAACCAAAATGTTAAGGATTTGTCATTTGATTAGTGAACTCCAGTATTATAATGAATTTCTCATTCAGATAGCTTTGTTTCCTTTTGCAGACTGCCAATGTGATACAGCTGGAGTACTAAGTGGAATTAGAGAATGTCAGCAGGTAAAAAGCATTTTATTTACTAACAGTTTATTTACATTCTGTTTACATTAAAAATTACAGAAGTCTTTTTATGAAATAAAAAAATACAAATTTATTTTATAATTTTTTTATTAAAGATTAAAATTACAACAGTGAAAATGAATACAAATTAAACAAAATAGAAGAATAAAAAGAAAAAAAATAGAAATTCCAAAAAAAGAAAGAAAAAATATTATAGTGAAGAAAAAAATGGGAATATGTAAATAAATGACTTCCCCCTTCATCAGAACTAGTATAAACAATTTTAATGACTTATTACTTTCTCTTATAATACAACAAATCTTCTTCCCATATCCTATCCGTTATCCAGAACAAATCCTTAAAGTCTTGTTGTTCAGTCATGATCAGCAAAAGTCATTAAGGTTACCAGATATAACAACATATTCATTTTAACCTTGATAAAATAAACCAACGTCATATTCATTCCATTTATTTTTAACAACCTTGATCTTTACTTCCTTCAATTTGTGTACTGGAATTATGTTTCTTCTCTTCTTTGTTCCTTCTCACAAAATTGTTCAAAACTTTAACAAGCCTTTTTTGTAAACCCAAGTTATGAAAATTATCCAGGTCATAGTCTTGATTTCTTATTTGTATATCCCTTTTTAATTATTAAGACATTAGCAGGTTTTACATGTTCAGCATAATATTGTATTAATGTCATTCTTGTAGCCTGTCATTTGTAAATCAATTTTCAACTCAGTTTCAATCTTGTCAGTTAGTGCATGTTGCTCTTCTGTAACATCTTTTAAACATAGTCTGTCCATAGACACAGACACTCTTAAAATTCGTGATACAGTTTAATATTTTGCTTAACTTTATTTTTGCCTCTGCTTTTTAATTTCTTTATCATACAGTAAATGTTCTGGAGAACACTAAAAACAACCTCCTGTGTTAAAAATAATGTAAGTTACTGCATTTCAAGTTGTAGATGATTTGTCAAGTTCAGTACTCCATAAATATTTTCTCACTCTTATTAGTAATGAAAAAGATCTTCCTTCATAATTCATTAGGAAGGATCACTAGTGGAAGACTCTCAGATTGTAACTCCTGAAATTTGTGGAAAAATGAGCTTAACAGAAATGTGAGCATATGTTCTGATGTTCTCAGGACAATTTCTGATATATTTCACCTTATAAGAGTGTCTGCAGTTGAAAGTTGGTTGAAATATGACAGATTACAAGATGTTTTCAGTCTGTTCTACTACCTGGAAATTGTTTTCTAAATTGTGGGAAGACTTAACACTTGTGCATTTCTAAGGAAGCAATCCAATAAAATATGCTGTTTGTGACTGTATGCCCATTTGCCACATAATGTCCAAAGTTTTCTTCTCTGCTACTGTTGGTATCAATGGAAAGGTTGAAATTGCCTTTGTTTTTTCCTTCCAACTCTCCTGTTATAGTTGGGTGGTGAATGTTACTGTAAACCTAATGTTTGTGGAGGCCCTTGTGATACTTGTGAAGCTGGTTATTATGGCCTGGAAACCAAGAATTATTTTGGATGTCAAGGTACAGTATGGCTTTTTAAGAGCAAAATTTGATACAGGATAATACATTTCTGAAAAGATTGTTTTTGTATATTATTGCTATATAACAGCTTTGTTGACGAACATTTTGGAATGCTTCTTATAAGTATGCAATTTTGAGCCTTCTATGTAAAACTTAGGAGGTTACATCTGCCTTAATAAACTTCAGTTATGGTAGTGAATAGATATTTCAAGAGAGGTAAGGGCAAGATGGAACAAGCAGTAAACACAGCTACCATTCATAGATTGGCTAAAGTATAATACAATCAAACTCATTTATAATTGTAGCCTTTGATAAATATTTTGCTTAAAAAAGACATATTTTAAAATAGATGGCCAATATAATAAATATTCAATGTTTTGTAAAATATTTTAGACTTTAGTATGAGAACCAGTTAGAAGATAATATTATCTTCTTCGGTCATGGCCCTCACGGAAAGATGGACAAACCGCTATTGGAAGTGTGTATGATCCAGACTCCTTGTAAATGAGATGGTCTTCAACGTTCCTTCTCATTCTGTGATTGGAAAACATTTTGTTCATCTTTCTTCCCACAGAGGCCTACAGTACTTCTAGTAGTGTGTTGTATTTGTTCTCTGACCAAAAGTTGATTTGATTCTATTTTTCATTTGCAGGATGCAAATGTGATGTGGGAGGGTCTGTAAGTCCTGTCTGCAATGACCTGTCAGGTGACTGCCAATGCAGAAAGCACATAATTGGGAAAACTTGTACGGAGTAAGTAAAATGGGAAGACTTGTTTTGTGACATCCCTCCTCAGTTATGCAAAGCAGGAAAATCACAATGTTTTCCCTCATGCTGTAACAAACCCACAAGGTTTAAGAAAAGAAAAACAGAATAACTACAAAGTGTCTTTTATTAGGCATTATTAGGCATTTTATATCTAGAAGCAATCTTCATGATTGATAATTTAGTATGAAATAAGATGTGGTTACATACAAAATTATAATATTTAAGTAGCCTGTACTATATTTCTCGATGGATTTCATGGGGCTGCATTTCAGTTGTGAATCTTACCCAACAAGCTACCTATTTGCTTCTTTCTTTTTAGTTTTATCTTTGGTGAAGGCAGTTCTGTTTAAGTCTGGAATTGATGCTAATTCTGATAGTTTGCTTATTAGGGCTGTGCTATTTCTCTTTGCTATTTTTATATTAATCTACAATGTACTTAAAATATCCATGTGTTACAGCATGATTTGAATTTTGGATCTGAAGTTATTTTTTGAGGCAAAGCAGAAAAATGGTACTTGAATAAATAATAAAATATATTGTTGATGTTAAATAAATTAAAGCTTGATGCAAAGGGACAGTGTACTTTGCTAGGGATCCTATGAGTTGAAGATAAGTTATTACCTTAAATGCAATAATGTGAAAAACTGAATGCTAAACAAATATTTGATCCAGTAGAGTTTTATGTTAATATAAAACACATTAATGTTCAAAAAGAAACCAAGACATTATTATTATCTCATTTATAAAAGGCCTGAAAAGAATTATTACTTACCTGATTTACATCACATGAAGTTTGAAATTGAGGATGGTATATCTCCTAATGGAAGAGGAGTCCGGTTTGGTTATAATCCTCAAGAATTTCCTGGCTTTAATTGGAGAGGTTATGTACAGATGTCTTCAATACAGGCATGTACTTTACTTTGGTCCAGATATGCTGTGTGAATTAATCTTGGTCTGACATCACCATCTCTTTAATCCTGCTGGAATTGTTTTCACAGATTTAAATCCCTTTCTTTAGATCTGCCTACTCCCTGTCTAGATTTGTTGGCTCAGGTCACCTTTCATTGTTAAGACAGGAAAGATGATAGTTATAATCTAACACATTTGAAGTGAACAAAGTTAGGAAAAACTGTTTTAGGTGGTGAAAGAGGAGATGGAAAACACAGCATCCTTCAATAAACTTTGGTCTCTTTATTACACAGTTTGCAGAAAGACCTAAGTGATGATTCCATTTCATTTTCTCAGCAGTAACTAAGATAACTTGGAACAGCATATATACCTATAACATTTTCATAACAATTATGTGCTTAAAGTTTATATAAACCTTTAGATCCCATGGTTCTTCTATAGCCATATAGAAACATTTGACGTCTCTCTTTCTGAGCAACAGTGTTGGGAATTAACATCATTCAACCCATTAAGAATGGTTGTGTGTTACAAAACCTGAATTTTTCTATGAAAAAAATTGGTACAGCCTAATTACCAAAAAGGAGAAATGTATTCAGAAATTAAATTAATTAGGTTTTGATTAATTAATCAAATTCCTTTTAGGATATTTGTTTATTTAGCATTGAGATTGATTAGAAATCCATGTCTCCCAAACACCAATTAAAATGTAATTTATATGTATAGTTAAACTGAAGGCAGCTTGTTGACGATGCTGGAAATTATTCTTGGCTATTTTCTGTGACATGATTTGTGAGACATGAGATTACAGCCCATCTGCTTCCACTGAACTGGTCAACATCATATTTGAAAATAAGAACAGTGAGAGTAGGACTAACTTTTTTGTAGACTTCTGAGAGAAAAATGGAAATAATATACCTCAGATCAAATTATTGCATTTCTATCAACATAATAAAAAGGATGATTTTGAAGAAAATGATTGTCTTCAAACAATTGTAAGAGGAGTAAGTATGGAACTCTTCCCAACTGTATCCCTTGCATTGTTAAAATTAAATTTGATTCTCTTGATAGTGAGCTATAACAAAATATTAACATATTAAAAGGAGAAACACCCTACTTTTCAAATATCTAATATAAAACTGATCAAAGAATGGCCATAACACAAAGTATATAATATTTGGTTGTTGGATGCAACATTTCACCGAATTAATATCAAAGTTAATTGGATAACAGTGCATGATACTACAGTCCCTCACTGATTCACTTGACAATTATATCAGAAATGAAGACCCTGAATTCAGTGGGGCTTACTCTCAGACAGGTGAATATAAGAAAGTTGATGAGGCTTGGAGATGAGTCTCAGATAATAGGCATTATTCTAAATATATCAGTTTATATACTTGATTGGATTTCATTGTGAAATGTTTTATTCTTTTTGGACCTACAGCAAAGTTTACCCATTGTGTTTGCATTTTCTAATGTTTCTAGATGTTTCCTGTCTTTCGGTGGTAGTTTTAAGTAATTTGCTTTCCTGTCCTCTTCTTTGCTTCTTATTTTCCCAGCCAGAGGTGGTAGTTCCTGTCACTGTGGCTTCTCCTAAGCTCTTCCATCTAGTACTGCACTATGTCAGCTTGGTTTCAAAACACTCTAAAGGGAAGATCTCAATTGCTGAGGGAAAACATTTTGACCCTCATAACACTTGTAAGTGAATTACATTTCTTGCTAGGTTTGCTCTTCTCTCTTCCTTACTTCAGGAAAGTCTTCTTTCTCTATGTATTCAGCTGCATATCTGTATCTATTTATAGAGAGAGAGGAAGGAGAGGGGTTCTCTCCCCAATAGACATTGAATATTTTGCTTGCATGGCTTACCCTTTTGGCACTTTATGGCTGTCTATCTTTTTCTTCTTTTATTAACTTCCATTTTACAGAATGAAGTCAGGATAACTTTGAGTGTGAAGAAACCAAAACCCTATTTATTTCATGTTATCTTGAGATATATAAATCCTGGAACTGCAGTAGTATCTGGCCACATAACAGCTTATCAATCCCGGACCCTAAAAGGTAGGTAAGCAGGACGGATGCAGAATTCAGTGAATGATGTGCAGTGATGTTCAGTGCAATTTAGTGTATATTTAATAAGGTTTGTTTACATAATCCAGTGAGTTTTGTGCATTTTGTAGTCTCTTACTTGATGCTTGATCTTGCCAACTTTCATTTTGGGCAGGCCTCTGATAGGTCTTGTATCAGACGTGCATTTTTTTTCCTGCATGCATGCTATAGGTATTTTTTTCTGTGCTTGTTCAACATGCTTAATTGGTTTTCTTAAAAACCATGAGTTGCTTGCTTTTGTGTAACATTGTGTGCTTCATTAGTGATAATTGTCCTTTTGTAAGTCTGTCTGTGTGCATTTGACTTAGTACACTATTCCAGCCTATTTACCTAGTTCAACATAGGAAGTAATCACAGAAAATAGAATAATTCTGTTATTAGTTAAGTGTTTTCTGTGATCATAGATGTGGATGTTCTGAGTGATCTATATCACAGGTTCCTTTGACCAAAGATATTTGAAAGTTCACATAACCAAATTCAAACAAAATTTCAGGCAAGTATATTGAACTGGCATCCTGACTCAGTTCAAGATAGATTTTGTGCATCTTCACTAGGCTATCGGTGATCTGTCTGCCCTTATTTATGGCTGCAGAGGTGACCTATAAGTACATAATGGCAGAAATGTCCTGTCTGGTCATAACTCCAGAATAAATTATTTTAATCACTCTGAATATAAGCAGGGTAAAGCTAAAGAAAAGTATAAAGCCCCCCAGCTACTCAGGTGTCCTGCTCTTCCTTGAAAAAAAAACTTTACTTATCTTTGAACAAGTGATTATGAAAACAGGCCCTATAACCCAGCAAGTTAAACAATTTTCAGTTGCTGTACCTTTCTAGTATCACAAAAGATGCCGACATGTGCATGTCATGCTAATGATCTTCATAATTAATCCATATTTCTCTATGCTTGCCTTTACTAGATCTGTAGTGCTGACAGATGTTTCTTAAGGTGCTTTTAGGAAAAAGTGATTTTGGCAGACTTGCTTTTGGCTTTAATTATGTGCCTTTAAAAGCTACCATTTCCAGCCTCTACGTAGCCAGCAATGTTATTTGACAGAGGGATTAGAACTTGAAATTTGGGTGCTTTGTCTGAGAGGTTAATACAATGTGAATGGTACCTGTACTGAGATTTGGTTAGATGAGTGTTTCTCAATTTGATAACTTTAAGATGTGTGGATTTCAACTCCCAGCATTCCCTAGCCAGCTTGTTTGTTAAACATTAGACTAGATGAATTATGTATCTTTAAAGCTGTGGGTTGTGAGTGTTATTAGGAGACAACTATAGCTGATGAACATCTTGTACTGCTAATAACTTTTTTGAACATTAAATTTACTAGAAAATTTAAGTTGGTTGCCATAAAGTAGATAAAGTTTGTTTTTGATGAGCTTCAGGGCTAAATTTAGGGTTCTTTTTGTTTGAATGAAGGTACCATAAACAGCAGATATATTTGAATTTATTTACCTGAGAATAGTCTCCATGATCTTGCCTAAATTGGTTTCCTCATTTTATGTGTCCAATTCTGGTACTTGCATCCCAACAGCCAACTTACTTCACACAACGTTCATATGGAAATTATATTTTAATCTTTGCTTACAGACCAAGATTTCATCTGTAAGCAGAGATTAACTAAAGGTGCTTGGTTCAGATATCACAACAAACTCCAGCTTTAATAAGGCAAAATGTGAGCTTCAAAGCTGGATACAGGAGGAAATATGGACACATGATTTGTTCTGTTCTTCTAAATCACACTTTATTTATATAAGCTCATTGCATTAGAATCAGGCTGCAGAGTCTCCAGGGAATGGTGTCCATGCTGGCAGATCATATAGGGAAATGTACTCTTCACTGGTTGACTGTCTAACTTGAATTAAGTAATGTTATTGTTAGCTGAATAATGTTCAATAAATTATTAATTTGATTTGTTTTCTGTCAGGGACTGATCAGAGTAAAGACATCTTCTTCCCACTCAGTAAAGAGCCAGCTTTTGTAACTGTTCCAGGAAAACGTTTTGCAGATTCATTTTTATTGGGACCTGGAACCTGGATGTTTAAAATCATGGTAGAGGGTGTCCTTCTGGTAAGAAGAAGATCTATCACAATAATATTTATATTTTTGGAAACTAATTCTTTTCTAGAGTATGATCTCACACTGGTGTATAGAATGAGTCAGTTACTCTCTTCAAGTGCTGCTACTAGAATTTGATTTATACTTGAGATTCATCCCTGTAAAAGCAGTAGGAATCTGATGGATATGGTGAACACAGACCTGTGCTTTTGAACTACAATTGCACATAGGATTATTTTGGAATGTGTTTCAATATGGGTAGATTACATATAGATTGATATCTGTTATGTGATATCTGAACTGTATAGTTAATCCTGAATGGACTCTAGCCTGAACCTTGTTTGCAAATGTATATTATAGCCTTCTCTAAATTGAGTATTCTCAGATGTATGAACTTTTACTTCCAGTTCCCCAGCCAACATTTCTGTTGTTGAGAATTCTGGAAATTGAAGTTCATATCTCTGGAGAATATAGAGGCTGGAGAAAGCTGGTTTATTAGGTAATTTTGTTGAAACTTTCATATAATATATTATTGGCTATTAATATGCTTATGCTAGTATTGTTTTGTCACTTCAGGATTACCTAGTCCTCTTACCGAGTGACTACTATGAAGCATCCATCTTGCAATTTCCAGTCGTACAGCCTTGCACATATTCAGGATATATCCCAACAGATAAGTTAGTATCTCAGGGACATTAATGGATCTTCTATTATGGTTATCTAAAATTTATGTTGATGATCCAGTTAAACACTTTCCTTTTTTTTATTTTCAAGTTGTTTGCAGTATGAATACTTGCCAGTAGATAAATATCGCTGTGTTTTTGGTACAGAAGTAACATTTTTCTTGCATGGGGGAGAATACCGAAAAACAACTTTCCAACAGCCAACAGTCAAACATCCAGTGATGTCTCATATTAATGGTCAGGAGGTAAGATATCCTTATAGGACAAAATTGGTTACATTGGTGCCTTCAGTATCTCTTGACAGTCTGTGTAACGGAAAACACCACACAGGATATATATTGTGTAAAAATACTGTAAAGACAGTTCTTGCTTTCTGCACGATGTCTGTGTGTATGTGGTTAGAATGCAGTATTGCAGGATAACTCTGCCCATTGTCAGGAGTTCAATTCTGACTGGCTGAAAGTTGACTCAGCCTTCCATCCTTCCGAGGTCGGTAAAATGAGGACCCAGATTGTTGGGGCAATATGTTGACTCTGTAAACTGCTTAGAGAGGGCTGTAAAACACGTGAAGCGGTATATAAGTCGAAGTGCTATTGCTATTGCTATATATAAGCATCCCCCTCCAAATGGGCATGGCAAAATGTAGCATCTGCATCTTTCTCCTCTGAATGCTTAAGGGAAGGTGAGCTATTGTTACCCCTCTGAAGTAAATCAGCCAGGGAAAACAATGATGTGAACTAATTCTACTTTATTGTAAGGCTACATCAATAGAATCATGCAAGTCTAAAAGTATAAACTTCCTACCACTACTAATAACTGCTTGATCAATTAGGGTTGGGTTCCTTCCTATATTTCTTTTCTTGATTGTTAAGCCATTGGGGGCTCCTGTTTCCCTTGTCTGATTGTTTCCTAGGCAACATCTCTTCCCCTCATTTCCCAAGATAATCCACACATTTCATTACAATTGTGTATACAATTCTGATAGCTTCCTTGTTAGCCTGTAGATTTGTCACAGTATGTGCCAGATTGATACATTTTAGTTTTATGCATATTCTTTCTGGATTCACATGCACATTGTAAATTTTGAGGGTATATTGTGGGGGCTCACAAAGCTATGGCCAACAAGGAGCTTATTTTATGACTGCCATTGTAGATGTGAATAATTTTGAAATACTTTTTATTAGAAGACAGACTGATGTGGTTGCTCTATTTATTTGTGCTTCAGGATATCTCATCCACTGTGCTTCTCTTTTCTTGGGCAGGTTGGTGAACCAGTGGATGCAGCCATCCACCATTTTTGTTTTTATGACTCATGTAAGCCCTAGAGGCCTTCTGAAATAGTGCATAAAGATGACACTGGATGCTAGAATTTTGTTTTATAGCACAGTACTAAAAATCTAATTAAAATAAAACAGATAGGGTAGAGATATCTGCAAGGACATGGACACCATGTTGGAAGCTAAATGTATAGGGAAAGTATTAACCCTGGAGAAAGCAGAAGAAAATAATTATCATTTTTCTCGCAAAAAAACATTGACAGGTTTACTTCCCTATTAGCTGAGGTTTAATCTGAGGGTTCAGGTAGTATTTGCTAAATTTAAAAAGTGTGAGAAAATACCTGGAACTGCCTGGAAACCCATCTGTTTGACCTGATATTTCTCTCCTTTATTTTAAAAAACTAGGTTGTTATTTAGTGTATGAAAGAAGAAGCCACCCTCCATTATTCTGATAACATCCAAGCATGATTTGAATCTTCTTTAGGTGAATCTACAGATCAAACTGAAGGTTCCCCAAGTTGGCCGCTATATAATCATCTTTGAGTATGTCACAGATCATGACCTAATGTATGTAGGTAAAATAAAGACTGAGAGTCTTGGGCAAGTGATGGAGGCTAAAATTAATATATACAGCTGCAAATATAGGTGAGAAAAATGTAATAAGTTCATGTTTTGGGCTTTCATCATCTAAATAAACCTGTCTTTTCTTTTTTCTTTCCTGGGATTCTTAGTTTCCAATGCATTCCTTTTCTTTATCTCCTTTATTTTTCCTGATAAAAATAGCGCTCTTAATAACATGTATGTTTCTCAGGCTCAATTCTTTGCCTCTGCTTTAAAAAAAAAACAGCTGTAGTTTCTTTCTCATGCAAATAGTTACATACTGTTAATTAAGGGGTTTTTCCCCCTTGTATAATTGAAGTGTGGATGATATGTAAAAACTGAAGATTGTTCCTATTACACTGAAATGAATATAGGAATATTTTTAAAATATTAAGCTAAGAAAGGGCAGAAGATGATTCAGATTCTACTTCTTGAGATTAATATTATTATATTTGCATCCTGCCTAAGGGGATGATTTCCAGAGGAATGAAAGGTATTTTGATTGCTATTTCTATTGTTGAACTATAGCAATAACTTAAATATTTCTTTGTATGGTCGGTCACTCATGAAGACTGGGAAATAAAACCAGGAATGGAATTATGGGCAGTTGTTTAAAAGCACAATTTGGTTTTTTAAAAATCCTATATTCCTAGATTAAATACATAACTGCAACATATCTTTTTTATTAGGTTTTGAATGCACATCTGCAGCACTTTTTGATACCATGGATTTAATTACTAGAATCCTGTTGTGTCCCACACAGTCCTAAAATCTGTCCACCTGGTTGTGACTCTGTTCAAATCAATCTTGTTTTAACATTTTTTTTGTCATGTTTTGTAAAGGCCTGTATTTGTAGAATACCCTTAGATATTTCATAGGCATAGAAGAACAAATTGAATGGAGAACTGAAATCTGTAATACTCATGTATTGATTGACAGCAGTGTTTTTTTTTCAATTCGTTCTGGGCTTCTTTGTTTAATTTAAACATGATATGCAATTCATGCATTGGGTAATAGCTTTATAGAGGAGAAGTTCAAGGCAGAAAAAAAGCAAAAAACTTCTTTAGAATTAGAGAATATTAGGACTTAGTTACTAACTACTTTTAAAACCTATTCCAGCTTCCTTTGTCGCAGTGTTGTGATTGATGATATGGCTCGTATTGCAGTTTTTGACCTTTTGGCTGATACCACATTACATCTCAAGTCATCAGCTATAGATTTTCTACTGGTAAGTTTATATATTTTCCTAAACAGAATATCAAGAAAATATGCCACTATTTTACATAGGAAATATAGGATGCTATCTTATTCCAGCTCAACCAATTATTCTTCCGCTCTATATATCAGAGTGAGCAGCTCCCTAGGGTCTCTGGCAAAATCCATTCTTATTGTTTGTTTAAGTGACATGCTCTGTCATTAAATTGTCATAATTAAGGTTTCTCCTAGATGCTAATGAATTCTTATCTATAAACCATCTAGATCAGGGGTAGGCAACCCAAAACACTCAAAGAACCACTTGGACCCGTTTCCCACCAAAAACAAAACACTGGGAGCCGCAAAACCCTTTTGATATCTAAAATGAAGATAACACTGCATATATCCTTTTTTACCTTTATTATAGGTGTGTGTATGTGTATGTATATGTGTATGTGTGTATGTTTGGGAATATCCATACTATTAAAACAATGATCACCAAGAGAATGCTTTAAGAGAATAAAATTACATACACACACAGGTAAAAAAAGGATATATGCAGTGTTATCTTCATTTTAGATGTCAAAAGAGTCTCTCCCTCCCTCTCTATCTGCCCTTGGTCTGCCACTCCTCTTCCCCACTCTCTCTCCCCCTCTCTCTCTCTTTCTCTCTCTCTCTTTCTCCCCCCCCCCTCCTATCTGCTGCTCACCTGGCAAGCTTCAAGCTGTTGTCCAACAACCTCCGGGGTAGGCAACCTCGTCTCTTTTATGACTCATGGACTTCAACTCCCAGAATTCCTGAGTCAGCCTAACTGGGCTAGCTAGCTCTCTCCTGTCCTTCCTGCTTCCTGCTTCCTTCAGAGACACAGCAAAGGGAGGAGCTCCGCCCAGAAAGCTTTTCAGCTCCTCCAGAACACTGTGAGTGCACTCTCTTTTACACATACACACACACACAAAACACACACACACACCCAGACACACACACACACACAGAGAGAGAGAGAGAGAGAGAGAGAGAGAGAGAGAGAGAGAAGCAGGGAAGTGCAATTGCCTCTCTCTGTCTCTGTCTCTCTCTGCAAAGGCAGAGGAGGCTGGGAGCCACAGGGGAAGGCTCAAAGAGCCGCATGCGGCTCTTGAGCAGCAGGTTGCCGACCTGTGATCTAGATCATTTCAGAGTGTTTTGCATGCTTATCTTTTATCTTGTTATGCAGCCAAAATCATCTTGTATGGGAATCATCTTGTTGGGACATTTCACAAGGAATTTTTAGATTCTCCAAAGTGTTAAGAGTTAAATTCTCAACAATTTGGCATTCATTTTTACAACTCAGGCTAGATTCCATATTTATCATTTGGGTCTGAAGCCCAAGACAATAAGATTTAAGGCAAGATCCTCGTCTATAATCCTTTACCTGGATTAGAAAGCATCTGGTTGGCCACTGTTGGATACAGAATACTGAATTAGATAGCCTCTTATCTGGTAGGACTCTCAAGGTTTTTTTTTTTTTTTAATTCATACATGGAAAAACCATAAAAGCTGCATGAAGGACCAAGTCACCTTCTGTTTGTTTGCTCATTACACTTTATGCTGTCCTAATTTAAAACATCTGAATCTAAGCAGTTAACAAAGCAGTATACAATAAAGTATAAAGTACATATAATATTAATAAATCAAAATTGCAAAATAAAATCACAATAACAAGAATACGGCTAGTCCTCGACTTACGACCATAATTGAGCTCAAAATTTCCATTGCTAAGCAAGACAGTTGTTAAGTGAGTATTGCCCCATTTTATGACCTTTTTTGCCACAGTTGTTAAGTGAATCATTGCAGTTGACAAGTTAGTAACACAGTTGTTAAGTGAATCTGGCTTCCCCATTGATTTTGCTCGTCAGAAGGTCACAAAAGGCGATCACATGACCCAGGGATACAGCAATTGTCAAATGTATGAACCAGTTGCCAAGTATCTGAATTCTGATCACATGATCATGGGGCTGCTACAAAGGTCATAAGAATAGCAAAGTTGGAAGGAACCTTGGATGTCTTCTAGTCCAACCCCCTGCTCGTATAAGAGACAAGTTGTCATACTTTTCAACTGCATCGCTTAGCAATGGGGTTGCTGGTCCTAGTCACCATCATTAACTGAGCACTTTCTGTATATAGGTATATGGTTCTATATATTGAGCGCTTCCTGTATATAGGTATATGATTGTATATACGTATTTTTATGACTGCAGAAGACAACTCAAAGGAATTAGTTTCAGAGCCTCACTTGACCATGTAATTTACTGAGTAGCTTTGGGCCAATTCTCTCTCTCAGCTTACCAAGAGGAAGCCCCCACATGAGCCACCTTGAGCACTCAGAAGAAAGTCAAGCTGTAAATGTATAAATAGTTTTTCTGGAACCATACAGTACACTAGATAAAACAATCACTTCTCTAGAGATTCCTCTCTTTGAAAGGTTCAAATATGGTAGTTTTATTCTAAAATCTTTACTGCCACCTTTTGGGTATATGAAGATTTAATCTTTCTGTGTCTTCCTTCTTTCCTTAACAAAAGCAAATGAGCTGTCTAAGACAATACAGTGAGTAAATGTTGGCCAAGTTAATCTCATGCATAGTACACTCACACATCCTTCTGCAAAAAAACTGTAGGCAAAGCTTTACACCAGGGGTCTTCAAACGTGGCCCTTTTATGACTTGTGGACTTCAACTCCCAGAATTCCTCAGCCAGCATGCCTGGCTGAGGAATTCTGGGAGTTGAAGTTCACAAGTCATAAAAGGGCCAATTTTGAAGATCCCTGCTTTACACCAACAAGTCCTGTGCTCACAAGTCTCAACAAACTGTGTTAGTTTTTAGCTAGAAAGCTTTCTTATCTTTACTTTTTCTAGACGCATAAATAGAAGTTTAAATAATATTCAGCCCCATTTTCACATGCTGCTGTTAATCCATTAATGGGGAAAAAGTTAACAAGCACATTGTCTTTTTTTTCCTAGCACAAAATTTGCATTATTCCAACTGAGGATTTTTCTCTGGACTATGTGGAACCTCAAGTTTATTGCATTGCAACATATAGTCATGGTTTAAGGTAAAATACTTCCTTCCCTTTTACTTTCCTCAGAAGTGAACTTTTAAGACTTAATAATGTTAATATTCTCAGTTTGCTCAGCAGTTTGCAACTAGTTACAATGCCCATCGTGCAACACAGCTGTCACTCCATTATTCTTAACTTAAGAAACATTGATTGAAGTAGTCAGACTTATTTAATCTTAAGACTTTCCAATACTGCTGGTACTTTTGATTAATAGGTAAATTATGCCATTTTGTCTATCAAAGGATTCATTTCAAAAAATAATTTTGCTATTTAAGTCACCACATGGTAAAAACCTTTGGTTGTGTCCTAAATGCTGACTGTACAGCTGAACTTGAGTTAATCCAATTCTCCTGATTCACACAGCACACTGAACTTGCAACTAACTATGTGACAAGGATTAGCACAACATGCTAGGGTAAATGTTACACTGGTTGGCAGTTTGATTGTTGTGGGAACAGAGTTATTGACTTCACAGTCTATATTTTGAGGCATATTTTATTCTGTTCAGTGAGCATTTTTAAAGCATGCCATATTTGACATTTATTTGGCATTTTTTTCTGTCTTTAAAGTGCCTCCTGTATACCATTGCAATATGAAAAGCCTCTTGAAGCTGTAGTTTTGGATGCTCGCAGGAACAGCGAAGTTGTAGAAGAGTCAAGACATGTGGTCTTCAGAGATTCATTGAGTTCTCCTTTATCCTCTTTTCCCTCAGCTAATGGTGTGACTCTATCTTCCTCACAGGTAATTTACCTTTTGCATTAAAGATAGAAAAAGTCCAATAGGGACCTTCAGCCTATTGGTTTGTAAATATTAATCTTACTTGCTATGAAATTGAAGACCTATAGCTGAAGTTAAGAGTACTTCCCTTAACTGATTTGCAAGAAGCTGACATCTAGTAAAGAGTTCCTTCTTGATGTAGTAGCTCAGATGACACTTGAAGCTCATATTCCATTTGGCTCTTTTTATAGATATTATGATTTGTGTATATGATCAAATTTAGCCATTTTATCACCTGAGTTTGGAGATGAATACCTCGTGACTTTCTGTTTATATCATTAGAAAGTCAGTATTTATTTATTTATTTATGTGTTTATTTATGTGTTTATTTATTTATTAACTTTATTTGCTGCCCATCTCATTTTGAAGCAAGTTTGGGCAGCTTACAGCATTAAAATTGATAAAAATGGAATTACAAAGATAAAAAATATAGTTGAAAGATGGGAAGATAAGGAGTAGGATGTGCGGGGTAGATCTGGAATTTCCTCTTCAGCCACCTCCAATGTGATGCTCCCCTGTTGCAGCCCCAAACCATCCAGCAGAGCTAAGTCTGCAGGGCCTTATGGAAGGTCAGATGGGTAAGAGCCAATCTCATCTCAGGGGATAGGATGTTCCAAAGGGCAGGAGCCACAGCAGAGAAGGCCTTCTGTTGGATCCCACCAGCTGAAAATACTTGTCTGATGGGGCCTGGTTGGGGCAGGTCAGTCCCATTGGGATGAGAGGGTTCCTCAAGTATCCTGGACCCATGCCATGCAGAGCTTTAAAGGTAATAACCAACACCTTGAATTGGACTTGGAAGCAAACCAGCAATCAGTGCAGTTCACAGAGCAGTGAGGTAACATGGGCCATCCTAGGGACCCCAAGAACTGCTCAGGCCACCACTCTGTTCTAATTGAAGCTTCTGGATGCCCTTCAAAGGTAGCCCCATGTACAGTGCATTGCAATAGTCCAAAAGTGAGATGACCAGGATTTGAATGACTGAGTGTAGAGACTCCCAATCCAGGAAAGGCCACAACTAGTGCACAACACAAAGTTGTGTTGTGACAGTCACCTACTCTGTGAGCAGGAATCATATCTCCAGGAGAACCCTGTAGATAGGGTCTATTTGGGGTAGTGCAACCCCATCCAGAATTAAGGTAGTTAAAGTCCTGAATCTTGAAGCTACGTGCATCCAAAGCCATTCAGACTTGCTAGGGTTCTGCCGAATCTGTTGTCCGCCCCCCAGGCCCACCACAGTTTCTATGCATCAAGAGAGGGAAGCATTACTTGGATCACTATGGTGGAGATGATACCTCAACCTCTGATGGTGAATGATCTCAGTCACCAGCTTCATGTAGATATTAAACAGGAGTGGAGAGAGTACTGAGTCATGCGACACATCACAAAAAATCGGCCATAGGCTGGACCTCTCACTTCTTATCAGTGCTGACTGAGCCATAAGAAGAGCAGGAGAAAAGGGCACCAAGCTGAAATTTCAGGAAGTGGAAAAAAGGACTATAATCTTCTGCCAGGAGACGATTGACTATTTAATATAGTTTATAATAAAATTTTACTATGAGCCACATTATATCAAATTTCTGGAAAAGTTTCAACCATGTTTACTAAAGGAAGAAGTTTGACAGAGGACAGAGAATGGAACTTTACCAGCAATCTGAGAATGCTCTGTATTGGTGTTTGATAGGTTGCTTTTATTTACAATGTGAGCTTCTATAGTCTGATAGAGAATTGTAAAAAGAAGAGTAGCAAATTGTTATTATGATTTTTCCTTCACAAGGTGCAACTATTTGAAGTCATTTACAGTTTCTAAAAATAGCAGAAGTACCATACAGTTGAAATATCACACTTGATAAGCAGGTTATTTTATTTCTGTTCCATTTAAGTTTTAAGTAATTTCCTGGGAAAGAGAAGGTTCAAACAAAAGTGGGTCAAAAAGTTTTTTTTATTAAAGTCTAAAGTTAAATGTCTTCCACTTCATTTTAGTATTAAATCAAGGAAACAGTGTGCAAACATAATGTTCAGTGTTCACTTTATGATGACCAATATATTAATTTCCACTTATTTATGTTGATAGAACCAAATTACCCTGAATGGGAGAGTCCCACATATAGGCCAACATGTGATCATTATACATTTTTATCAGCCAGAAAATCCAACATTTCTGGTGCAAGTATCAGTGGATGGAGGACAACTCTGGTCAGGTAACTCAGACTTAACAATGTTTTAGATTTTTTTAGGACACTTGAGTTTTCATCAATTAGATGTGTCCTCATCCCACTTCTTCTAACTGTTCTAGGTTCTTACAATGCTTCGTTTTGTCCACATACTTCTGGATGTCGAAGTCTGGTAATGTCAGAAAATCATATTGAATTTGATATCCTTAAACATGACTTTTCAATCACCATGAAAATTCCTAATGGAAGAACAATGGTATTGGTAAGTTTAAAATAAGCGTAATTTTGAACTGAGATAGAGACTATCCAATTACAGTTAGGTAAAGCTTTGACCAAAATATCTTGCAAATATGTAAAACTTCAATTAAGAGTTTCTAATCTTGATGTCAATAGCTGTGATAGCTGCAAATATAGGGACTTGTGATAGCTGCAAATCTAGGGACTTGTAATTCTATATTTCTGGAGGGTTCTGAGTTAGATAAAATTGATTTGAACTATTGCACTATGTTGTAAGATTGCTCAGAACTGTATTTTATTTGACCATGTATATACTACTAAAACTTTCATGTCTATTTGATTGTGTGTAACCTTTAATTGGACAATTTTGGAAAGTAAAGGGCAAGAATTATTAACCAGAGTAATTGAAATGGGTTAACTTACAACATACTGTGACCCATGACTCCTATGGGAATGAAATTTGGGAAAGTTGTTGCCACTTCAACATAGCCGAGGTGGCGCAGCAGTTAGAGTGCAGTACTGCAGGCCACTTTAGCTGACTGTATTCAACAGGTCAGCGGTTCAAATCTCACCGGCTCAAGGTTGACTCAGCCTTCCATCCTTCCGAGGTAGGTAAAATGAGGACCCAGATTGTTGGGGGCAATGTAAATATATATACATTGCTTACTGGTGTACACCGCTTAGAGAGTGCTCGCACTTAAAGCGGTATATAAGTCTCATAAATAAATAAATAAATAGCCATGCGATCCTCATTTTCAACATTCCCTGAAAGTTTCCCATAAATCAATGGGGAAGCCAAAAGGAACTAATGTGATTGCTGACACTCCTTGCCACCTTCCCACTAATGAAGTCTTTGCTTGCGGAAAGCTTGCAAAGAGAAAGTCAAGGGAGAACATGGTTGCAAGTTGTGTCCACTACTGGGCAGCAATCATTTACCTGCCTGCTGAGGAAGGAAGGAAGGAAGGAAGGAAGGAAGGAAGGAAGGAAGGAAGGTTTCTGAAATTCTCTACCAGCTTCCCACAAGTCAGTGGAGAAGCCTTCAGGAATTTGGAAGTTGCTTTTTGTCCCACGCAATTTAATTCCCTTTTCAAGATTTGCCCTGGGGAAGAGGTTTCCTAACAACTGGGGGGAAGTGGGGGTACCAGGGAGCTGTAAGAATGAGAGAGACTAAGGCAGGCCCCATTTAGGAATGGACATTCTCTCCATTCATAATTATACAAATATTTAATATAATTATATATTAAAGTTGCTTTAAATAAATATTAAATAAGTATTTTAATTTTTTTTTATCTTTTTAGAACTTAGGTGCAATGCAAGCACTTTTCAGATGTGTGCATACCCTTCAAATGCATGGAGACAGTCTGGAAACTGTGCTTCAATACTTTAGCTTTCTAAAATATGCAATTTAATTTTATCATTTTAAAGGAGCATATCCTGGTTGTTCCAGCACATAGCTACAGTTATTCACTTCTTCATAAAGACAGTGTGATGCGTTCAACAGATTTCATCAGCCAGTGTGGTGGAAACAGTTTTTACCTTGTGTAAGTCACAGAATATATATGAAAAGAAAGATGGATTATGAATTATGCTAAAAGCATACTAAATAAACACATATTATATAAATGTAAACGAAAGTGAGCATAGCGTTTTTAATAGCAGAACTCAGATGTGCTCTCCTTCTATTCCTCTGATAAACAGCCCGGGCAATTCTTCAGAATTTTGTCGAAATTCAGCTCGATCCCTTGTGGCTGCTTTTAATGATGGGGCACTGCCATGCAATTGTCACAGAAAGGGTGCCACCAGCCCTTCTTGCAACCCCGAGGGGGGGCAATGTAACTGCAGACCACACATCATCGGTCGCCAGTGTAGCAGGTGTCAGACAGGTTTCTATGGATTTCCATTCTGCAAACGTAAGTAGCAATTCCAAATGGGAGAGGTTATCCACTTTTTGGAATGTTGCCAGAAAAACTGGACATTTTATTTTGTTGTTGATTTCATTCTGAATTTAAGGATTTTGCTCAGAGTTGTTCATTAAAAACTTCCTGCTTTGTTTGGATGTAAAGAATGGATGAGGAAAACATTCATTCATACCTCAGCTTCTTAAACTGAGATATGATCATCTAGGTATATCAAAGTACTTGAGATTCATCTCTAATGTACTGTATTATTTCTTGCTCAGCTATGTTAATCACCTTTTTACGTGTTATTTAAATAACATTGGAGGGGGAGCCATGCATTTGATAAAAATGACTACTATTTGTTGAGCATACCTATATTCGGATCACGTTTTCATTTTTTAAAAATGAATTTTGGAATGAGATAAAATAAGTTCTAGTGGATTTTTGTTCCAACAAGACCAATGTATGTAATTCAAATATTCTTTGAATATGAAATAATTTGTATTCTTGTTCCCAGCTTGCAGCTGTGGAAGGCGTCTTTGTGATGATGTCACTGGGAAATGTCTTTGTCCTCCACAAACTGTTAAGCCTAGATGTGAAGTGTGTGTGAGGTTGCACTTTGGATACCATCCATTTATTGGCTGTGAAAAATGCAATTGCTCAAGCAAAGGAGTTATCAATGCTCTGAATCCTGAATGTAATAAAATTGATGGGCAGTGCAGGTAACTAATTTTTCTATGATGGAATGAATCTTGTTTTTGTTTTTGCACAGGAAGATGCTATAGTTAAAATATTGGACTTGGGAGTTCACTACTCAATCCCTTAGTCTCAGTCCTATCTCCTTCACATGATTTTTGAGAGTGGCTTACCAAGGATTTTACTCCAAGTTAATTCTTGAGATGTTCTGTATGAAACATGCGCTACGCTGCTTTTAAGGACAATGGCTAATGACTGGCCAGGCAGCCCAATAGTAAAGCTAGTGAGCCAGGTTTGCTCTCTTCCATTGTGAAAAGCAGCAGAAGTATTTTATTTCCCAGGGTAATACCATGCAATGAAAGAGGTAACATTGGAACAGCAAACAATGTTCATAGGCCATTTTGTTAGGACATGATTACTAACTGATTCTCTGTTTCAGCTATGCAGCTAGCTATGTATCTGTCTATAGATACATTCACTCTAGCTCAATGTTTCTCAAACTTGGCAACTTCAACATGTCTGGACTTCAACGCCTTGAATCCCCACCATGCTGGCTGGGGAATTCTCGGAATTGAAGTCCAGATATCTTAAAGTAGCCAAGAGTGAGAAACACAGCATTAGCTATATTCTTCTACTAACAAAATACCTGTGCCTTAGCATATTGCTATAATCCTGCTATAAAAAGAATTGGATTGCTCTTATCCTAAAGCTGAGAGTGACCTTTTAATAATCTTTTATTTTGTACTAACTAGTAATTATTTATAATTATAGGAAAACTTTATCTGACGAGGTTTTGTTTTAAACGGAAGGACAATTTGTTTATTAAGCAACAGATTGCTTATTTCAGTACTCTGGGTACCAAGTGGAGCAAAAAAGGGGCAATTCTTCCATGTAGTTATGCAAATTACTATAGAACATAAATGTGATTGGATACAGTAGCAATGTATTTGATTGGATATAGCAGAGTATTAGATATGTAGTTAGTTAGGGCCAAGTTATGAGATGGGAGCAGAACATAATGAGTAATTTGTGAACATTCTTTTTTGAATGTTTATCTATGGCAGGGGTCTTCAGACTTGGCCCTTTTATGACTTGTGGACTTCAACTCCCAGAATTCCTCAGCCAGCATGCCTGGCTGAAGAATTCTGGCAGTTGAAGTCCACAAGTCATAAAAGGGCCAAGTCTGAAGACCCCTGATCTATGGAGTTTATCTAAAACTATCCTTGGTTTCCAGAACCCTTCTAGTATTTTTTCCTATCCCATCAACATTCTTGATCTTTCTGAATGTTTTATGGCTAAGCTGACAACTGATTTTTCTCTGAGAAAATGTATTTGGAAAGGGAGCGGTGTACTTGTATATTCCAATGTCATTTTCCCAGCTACATGATGATGTAATACCTAAATCAATGTTAAGTTAGTTCCACAATCTTTATGTTCTCAGGTTATAATATTTTATTTTTGTTGCATCAAACCTTATCATCCAGTGTACCTTTCTGCTTCTCACTTTCAAATGATTTAGAATGATTCCATTTAAGTCGTTTGATACAATACAAAAATGATAAACCAGAGATCTCTAGCATCATATCTGTTTTTAGTTTGGGGCATAGAAAATAAAAGGAAATTTGCTAGCCACACTGGAAAAGAAATGCAAAATGTCATGCTTAGCAAGATAATGTCTTTAAGGAATAGAGATTCATTCAACATCTAGGGCAGGTTTATTTTTTACAGCCATAAATCTAACCCTGCATCTACTACTCTAATAAAATCTGTGCTATGTACCAATCGCATCTCCTGGGCGGGGGGAAACACATGTTTTTCAGAAGTGAATTTTGGCTTTTGTTTTGTTGTTCAAGATGTCGCTCAGGAATAGCAGGGCGGCGGTGTGATCATTGTGCTCCTGGTTCTTATGGCTTTCCCAACTGCAAACCTTGTAAATGTAACAGAGGAGGAACAGAACCAGACATCTGCAACCCACAAACAGGAGTTTGCCTCTGTAAGGTCAGATGTTTTGACATTTCAAAGTTTGTGTGATTATTTTATGTGCTCCTTCTTATTCAGTTGTAAACAATTCTCATTCTCATGATTATTTTTAAAAATAATATATCTAGACATTTGTTTCTAGAAGTTTTAGTGCAGTACATTGTATAATTAGGTGACACACATAAGAATATGGTTGATTTTTGAATACAGATTGCATCTCAGTTCTTCAACTGCATTTAGTAGGAATGTGGAAGAACTATTAAGAAAAGGTTGAATGGGTTTATTTATAGATTCTCTGTTATTGTAAACAAAATATTGCTAGGAAGTCCCCTAGAGCAGTGGTTCTCAACCTGTGGGTCGGGACCCCATTTGGGGTCGAATGACCATTTCACGGGGGTCACCAAACCACACTGTCTGCCATTTTTTTCCCTTTTCCCTAGCTGTCCCACTCCCTCTTATTGGTGGTCACACCCACTTGGGGGTCACCACAACATGGGGAACTGTATTATGGGGTCACGGCATTAGAAAGGTTGAGAACCACTGCCCTAGAGTTATTGACCAGATCATATACCTCTGTTTTTCCAGCAGTGCATGTGCTTGCCTAACCTATTTTGTGAATTGAATAAAGGAAAATATGTTGCATTGTTCATTCTAGATATGAATAGGGGCTCATTGAGTGTGGAATTAGGTTTTTGGGAACTGGCCAATCAATATTATTTAGCTGTGATCTCACATTTTAATAACATTTCTGGAATATATGAATTGTTCATTTGATGCCCTAACTATTGTCAAAATGTGATAATATTTACAGAAAAACTTTCAAAGAGTTACAGTGAATAGTGCTTAATTGGTAGTTAGTAATAGGATTAATGATTGGGTGTCAGGGAGCACCAGTGCTTTTTTTTAAAAAAAAAAAAGTTGCCGGAACTCACACATGTCATACAACCCGCCTTGCCTACCCTACAAGGTTCCATCCAAAAAAGGTGCCGGAATGCCGTTCTGGGCGTTCTATGAGAAAAAAAGGCCTGGTGAGCACTATATTTATTTCTCCTTATCAGCATACCCTGTCCACTTGTTTTAAATCAAAAAGGCTCTTGATGGATGCAGCATCAATTTTCTTCCTCTACTGATCAAATTCTTCAACTGTGTATAATACCAGTGTAAGACAATTTATTTTCCATTCAGATTCCTGTAACTGTTGCAATACGATCAGAATCAAAGCAAAATGCTGAAGTGCACATGCTGCAGTATTATTAATGCTCTGTGCTGTGCTTATTGAACATGTGAGGTGGGCAGGCTTCTTCACAACATTCTTTATAGTCTATATTTTTTTTTACTAGGAATGCAGGAAGGCTTTGGACTTTTAAAATTTTCTCATTAATTGAATGATCAGTCCTTTTTGAACTAAAGAGAAGAGAAGAATGTAATTACCAACCTTCATAATTTTTCAGAGTTCTCAGTTCAAAAAGCATTTGAGAATGTACTTATAAATATGTCTCAGGAGTAATATATTAGAAGGGTTTATCTACATGCAAATATGTGGTTTTTTTTAAAAAAAAACTAATGGTAGGATAATATGGAAACAGAAAAGAATAGATGCATTTATTAGGGCAGTTCAGAAACAGATTTTTGGTTTCTTATAATTTGATCAAGAATTTTAGGTGCATTCGGCGTGAATCATTTAAATCACACAGCAATAAAATTTGTGTCAACAGACTTCAAAGATGCCTGTCTGGAAGGCCCTTTATTTAAACTGATAACTGCATAATGGTGGTGGCAATGGCTGTTACATACTGAACAGACAAACATTTTCCTTGCAAAAGAGATAATTTTAGTAACATCTATGCTATTGAGTATTGAAAGACCAAGGACTGTCTTGAACATTTACAGCTATTTTTCTCTCTATATATTACTGCAAAGTTTTAAATGGAAACATTTAATGACTTATTCCAAATGACTTATAGGAGAATGTTGAAGGAGTGCAATGTGACATGTGCCGTTCAGGATCGTTTTATCTGGACCCTGCTAATCCCAAAGGTTGTACTACTTGCTTTTGTTTTGGAGCAACCGATATTTGCCACAGTACAAATAAACGTAGAGTCAAGGTATTCAATGTTACTTATATTTTTTTTTCCTTTGGAGGAGACTACTGTATCAGATAGATGAATATCTGTGATTGGAGTTTTGCTTTGTATGTTAAAAGTAGTGATGTGATTGAGACTGAAATGAGCAGCAGACCTCTGACTGTAGGGTGTCCAGGGGATTGAACTGGCTGCACACAAATCAGTGGTGGCTTTCCAGGTCCCATATCTGTTCATGCTAAGAGCATTACTTTTAATATTTAAAAAAAGCATGACAGAAATACATTTAGTTGTCATTAATACTGTTCTGTTTTCTCTCTTTGTTCTGAGGACTTTAAGATGCATTTTTCCTTTTCTTGTGTCTTTATGTCATTGCTGTTCCTTATACTGTATAGTCATTTCCATCCTGCTGAGTTTAAAGCTATTGTTTTTTCTTTAGCTTTCAGCAGGTTTTTGCAAAAACAGGTTGCCTTGTTTGTTTGCCGTGAGCAGAAGTGTTAACACCTGTCACAGTTGCAATGCCCAAAATGTATATTTGTCTCAGAGATCAGTGTCTCTCTGGAAATTTTCCTGCTTCCCTAGAAAAGCACCTCACTTGTGAAGCAGGGCAGTTGGCTTTCCAGCATTTACTCCATATTTCTGGGTAACCTGCAGAAGGAGTTAGTGAAATGTGTTATGTGACTGATTAGTATGCTCTGTGCCAGTGCCTTATGATACTGCTTGTGTATTGATAAGTGGACAATTTCATTACTGTGATGTTGGAAGCAGATCCCTATAAGTAATTTTTATACAGCCAACATTTTGTAATGGCAAGAAAATCATACAGATTTTGTTGGTGGTAGGAATCAGAAAACCTTCTCATACAAGCCAGAGAAGAAAAGGTTTCTACCAAATACGACTCCATCTTGCAAATTAACTTTTGTGTTGTGCAAAAACCTTACTTTAAAACAAAACTTTGTATCTCTCCTCTGTTTTATTATTAGTCCACCGACATGAGAAACTGGCATCTGGAAGCAGTGGGTAATGCCATGAGTATTCCTACAACTTTCAATCCTATTAGCAACAGTGTTGTTGCTGATGTCCAGGAATTACCCCCCTTTCTACACAATTTATATTGGGTGGCACCATCATCTTACTTGGGGAATAAGGTGAATGATCCTTTCTGTAATATCTGTTAAAATTCTCCCATTATCAGCCCCAAACACTATTTTCTCTTATCTTTTTTATTCTATTTATAATAGCCAAATACAGGTGGGGCTCCCAGGTAGCAGACTATGAAGCATAGTTTATGAATTATAGTAGCTGGATTCATACAACATGCTAAGCCAAAACCAAACAAGTCATAGTATCATTTAGAACAAAGTAAATTCAGGCAAAATGACAATCTGATACATCAATAAAAAGCCTTTTAATGACAAAGGTTTTTTTTTTTAATTTTCTTGACCTCTCTGTACCAATATTGGAAATGCAGTTGAAGATATTGTGAAGACTAAATATCAGAATTATCTTAAAGTATAAAATCCAATTTCTATATTTCCTGTAATTTGTTATTTAGCTTTCTTCATATGGAGGATATTTAAGCTATCAGCTGAAATCCTTTGGTTTACCTAGTGAAGGCATGGCTCTCCTGGAAAAAAGACCAGATGTACAGCTAATTGTAAGTCAAATAATATATATAAACATGAATGCATCATCTTAGCTTTAAAAAATATTTATCCTTTATCAGCACATTTTCTGTGTTTATGTGGTGCTTACTGCACAACCACAATGTGAAAATATGAAAGTTTGAGAGGTCTTTATTTAAATATGCCATTTTGATGACTCTTATTCTTTAAGTTTTCTTAATTGTCATGAAAATGCCTTACTAACCATTTTTAGAGGACATGGACTCATGATATGTGCTTGTCTCATCAACCCACTATAGTAGCAATCTAACTGTGTTCTTTATCCTAGTTTTTCTGGTTTCTTTGACCATAGGTCTTGGCATATTTATAATTTCTGATGCCCCATTAATGATCTTGATTATGATAGCCCAGTGGTTAGGGCTAGTATCTGATAAGCTCCTACAGTCTAGTTAATGCTGTTCATGCTTCCTTTCTTACATTGGCACTGCTCTCCATGGGCTTTTTAGTAGGGCTGTAATAGAAACTGGACATGGAGTTTCTGTGGAGGTACATGTAAGCCTAGTGCTGTTAACCAAGTGCTGTGAACACATTATACAGGTTATTTAAATGCATTAATTAATTGGTTATGTGACATCATGACAATCTGTCCTTAGACAGATGAAAGACTGTCCTGGTCTTTCAAGTCTTCCGTCAGTGCACCCACCACTACTGTAACTGATACTATCTAAGTTGTCTCTTCTCTTTCCTTTTCCGTTTCCCAGCATACAAACTTTCCCCAAAGTAATACATGTTGGAATGGTGGTTTTCTTGAAGACCACTAGATTTGTTTTTAAAGACATGTTCCATAGTCTTTCAAAAGACAGTAGACTCTGTAGACTGCCTGTTGATTTTAACTGATAGAGCTTAGTTGCTGGTTCTGTCAAAATTAGTGGGTTATAGGCTTTCGGTTGCTTTGGCTGACAAGTAATTTTGGCCACACTTTCTATTTTTTTATTACTTTGGTGTGATGCCATTTTGCCCACTGTACCTTAATAACATTTTACATACTGCATAGATATCTCCTGTTAGTGTTGACTATGACCACTTGCTGCTGGTATTCTTTCTTTTGCAGTACTTTGAAATATTTATAAGCTGAGATGGTGCTGACCAGAATTCTGCCAGTTTTCCCCTTTAACCCAAATGACAGACAAGTAAACCTCTTTCAAATAAACTAGAAATAGTAGAGTAACAAATCAAGGAGGTGCAGGATTAGCACAAATGAAGGGGAAGGAAACGCTCTCAGAGCACCATATGAATTCCCCCCACCTCTTTAGTCAGTTTTCCTTGTCTGTCCCATCAATCTGTCAACTAAGCTATTTTTGGACACAGGTCTACTGTCTTCCAGAAAGCTGGCAGAGCCGTGTTCATAAATAGCATGAACGAGAAGTTACCAATGCAGATCACCTCCAGGTTGAAGAGGGACATATATGGTCAATAAAGAAATGAATATGTGAACTAAGAGTTTCCTCTCATTTTGAGTTTCCCCAGCCTGGTAGCTTCCAGATACATTGATTGTTATAATTTCTGTTATAATTTCTAGCCAGCATACCATAAACTATCCAAGTTCATCTCTGTCTAAACAAAGCCTTCACATTATTTATACTACTATAGATCTGGCTATCAATCTGATGTAACACTAAATTACTATGCTATGTTTATTCTCTTATTTTTGATTGTTGAGATTTATTAATACTGAAACTATTTCTAAAGTTAATACAATACTAAGAGTAAAAAACATTTCTGATACCACAAAGGTTAATACATTGTTAGTTACATGCATTTCCATTGGCAAGTAGTCAATAATCACGCAGAAAGCATTATCCTAAGTTGCAGATATTTAGGTACATGATTTGCTGGGAGAAAGAGAATTGTCAATAATGATGTCAATGCATGATGAAATTCAAAAGTGATAATTATTTACCACATATACAAGTAATTATATTGTTTCAATATTTTGTTTCATGTGGCTATCACTGTTGGCCTAGCATTAAAAAGCTCACATTTTGAATCACATGATAAATCCATTTGGCAAGAAGATGGTGGGATATAAATTTTGAGCTAGTAACTTTAATGATGCTGGGAAGCAAGCTAATTTGGTACATTGGTACAATATTGTACTGACATTGGATTTGAACTATTTTTGTACAGGGAAGGGAGATGAAAATGTCCTATATAGATCCTAATAATCCTTTGCCAGACAAAATGTATTATGGATCAGTTCAATTAGTTGAGGTAAGAATGATGTTAACTCACTTTTGATAAGCTATGTCATCAAATCTTTGCCTATTTTGATCTACAACAGAAAAATCAAATGTACATGTTCCTGCTCTAAGGATAATTTCCAAGACTGCTTTTCTGAATATTCCATTGTCTACTGGGGGAAAAAGCTTATAAGCATGCATTAATTGTGCAATAAATATTTCTTTGACATGGTACATAATGAATCTTTATAGCGAGCTTATTATTCAGTAAATAATAGAGAATATTTTCTCAGTGGGGAAAAAATAGCGGTGTGGATCCCAAAATTAGTTTTCATGTGCTACAGAAAAAGATAGCAAGTTTATACTTGGAAGGGAGAACAGCATTTTTAATCAGCATTTGGCAAGAGGGACAGCGTCCCTGGATGCAGTGGGTCTTTGGGACTCTGGTGGAGGATTATCAGCTGTGCTGCATATTGGCTCAAATCCTAATCCTTCCACTTGCTTTGTTTCTATGTTGTAATTAATCAAAGCTTTTAAAGACACTATATGTATCCACAGGGCTTTTTTTCTCATAGAACGCCCAGAACAGAGTTCTGGCACCTTTTTTGGATGGAACCTTGTAGGGTAGGCAAGGCAGGTTGTATGAAGTGTGTGAGTTCTGGCACCTTGTTTTTTTTTTTACAAAAAAAGTACTGTGTATTCAGTGCTTTATCTATTTACGAAAATATGCCTGTTGTGCTACCACGGAACTTTTCATGCCAGAAGACTTTCGGGGGAATATTGCCAGGAGTTAGATTGTAAAGATAGTTTGCTTGGTTACTTAGGTTGATACATTTCTTCCTTCAAAATAGAAGAGCAGCATCAGATTATTCTGGCATCCAATAATTTTGTAATATGGTACAATACCGTATTGCCTTGCAGTTAAGCAACTACTTGCACTAGTTACCTGAATAGTCAAGCCGAGTTCTTGGCTGATTCATGTTTAGACTTGAAAAATAAAGATATTTGGCATCATACTCTACCTTCAATTACAGATGTACTTGAAGATTGAGGCCATTCCAAACTGACATTTTGATGTACGAGGCTGAGTTAAGCATTAGAACTTAAGATAGGAATTTGAATCTTGCTCCAAAGCACCCTAGAAATGGTCTAACAAATGCCTTTTATTGTAGTATAAGTAAAGAATGAATAGCATTTAGTGCAGTTTGCTATTCAAAATGAATAAGAATGGAACCTGTGGATAATATATGCATAGCATCATGCTATATAATATTTTAATATGTTGGAAATGAAAGATTATATACAGTTTTATTTTCCCTTGATATACCCAATGTATTTGATTCTCTCTGACTGATATGATAGAGAATAACCTAATAAGATGTCAAAAAACGTTTCTGTTAAAGAACATTGTCTTCCAGGGCAGAAGCTTGATAAGTTAATTAGAGAAGAAATTTTTTGAGAATTTAGTGATGGGTGAATGTGTGAGTGGATTATTACCTTAGAGTGGGAGGGGTTTATGTCTTTTCATCTTTTGGAGGATATATTGGTGCAGGAGAGATATGAGTACATGAGACAAATGTGGAAGGTGCTTAGGAAGATGGAGATTATGGTATAACAGAAATAGCAGTTTGTGTACCATTCTTAGGCCAGTTTACCAGTCAAGGCAAGGAAGACTCCCAACAATTTTCCTTCTGCCTCTTTTCTCCTACTTACATATTGTATTTCCTGGGAGATTTGATCTAGGGCAAAAACTGTACTGGGCAAACTGTATAATGTCATCAGGACTAGGTTCTTCCCACCAGCTTTCTAAGTTTATGAGCAGAGACTTGAAGGGATTTGGAGAGGGCAGTTACAATTGGCAATCATGGGCCTGCCCTAAGTCCTCAGGATAGCAGAGTAGCAAGGAATACCTATTTCCAATTGTAAATGATTTATCAACTATACCTCTTTTTGGAAAAGACCAGCTTGGCCACTACATCTCACATGCTGGTTCCCTCATGAATAGATTGTTATAATACAGGGAACCAATCTTCAATCATTTATATCCCAGTGGGAGCAAGTGGATTCCCCTCCTCTTGTTTTCTGAAGTAAAATCAAGATGTTTATGTTGACATATATATCTCCAATTGGTTTGCATAAACCAGGGGATTTCAAACTTGGCCCTTTTATGACTTGTGGACTCCCAGAATTCCTTAGCCAGGCATGTGGGCTGAGGAATTCTAGGAGTTGAAGTCTACAAGTCATAAAAGGGCCATGTTTGAAGACCTGTGGCATAAATGAAAGAGCTGTTGCTGCTTGACAACAGAATATTTTCTATATATCGATCTATCTATATCTATATCTATATCTATCTATCTATCTATCTATCTATCTATCTATCTATCTATCTATCTATCTATCTGTCTATCTATATGCTGTTTATTTTGCTCCCAATTTTCTGTTATTATTTGTTGATTGTACATATTGATTCTACCTTCCATATCATTCCTTTAATTATCTCTTGCCTGATTTTAGTTCTTTGTTGATACAATTATTTGCTAGCAACTTTTCCCCTAGACTCCCAGCATCTGATTTTCATGCTGTCTTTCTTTGAAAATTGATGTCCCTTTTTTCCTGTGCTGTAGGAGATTATTGCAATGTATTCCAAACCCAAATTTCATTTGTATCTTGAATGTGCAGGGGAACTTCAGGCATACCAGCAGCAATAACTTAGTATCTCGAGAGGAGCTGATGATGGTCCTGTCTAGACTTAATGGATTACAAATCAGAGGTCTTTACTTCACAGAAACTCAGCGGTTAACCTTGGGCGATGTTGGTCTGGAAGAAGCCACCAGTACAGGAAATGGTAATATCGCTTATGCTGTAGAGACGTGTTCCTGCCCTCCTGAATATATGGGTGATTCATGTGAGGTAGGAATTGTCTTTCTTTTTATTCTGCATCACCCATGAGACATTGCTCAGATTAACAACATTGATTTGGCTCTAGCAAAAAGAAAAGATTATTCACAATGCTTTGACTTAAAAGTGCCGCAGAGACCTATTTTTGAACCGTCTTAGCAGTTCAGTGAAAAACTGTAATGTATCCATATAAACTCATGTAGAAAATACATTTATTCAAAGACATGGTAAAAAACCAAGGTACGCAAATGTACAAAAAATAGATAAATAAAAATAAAATGTAAGACCAACATAATGTAACCCAGTTAATGTATAACTCTAAACTAAGATTTGCTTAATCAGAGGGTATAAATCTCTGTAATTTATTAAAGGATGCTAAATGCACAAGACTTTCCTTATTTTTATAGGCAACTAACATTTAAGGTGCAGTTTGTCAGGTTAGAGTGAAAAAAGCTGCACCCCTATGCAGCTTTCTATGCAGCTTCTTCTACCTTTCTGATTACCCTGCTTATTTTTCGATATTATTTCACTACTGATTTGGCAGCATTGTAACCTTATGCAAAGCAAATATTTTTAAGATTAGCCTGTACCCGTCTCAGTTTTCTCCTCAAGTTACAATACTGGGCTTGTTGAAAGTCATTTTGAAAACATTTTCAGTTTTATTTTTAAGTGATTTTATAATCTGTGATATAAAATATTCAACCGATCAATGAGCGTGCATTTAAACCCTTCTCATTGCTTTCTTTATTCTTTATTCCCTAAGCACACCTTGTCAGGTTTGTGGGTTTGTTTTCTCTAGCCTAGTGAAAATACATAGCTAAAAGCTAGACTTAGACACACTCCAGGAAGGAACACACCCTCTCAACATATTTCGTAAGAATTACTCAGCCTGTGATTTACAAGCTGCTTCATCGTCTAGTACTGTCTCACTATGTTCGGGAGGGAAAAGGTGATGCCTGCCACACCTTAATTCAGTGATACGCTCATTTTCAGAAATTGCAATGTGGTCATTAACATCAGGCATTGCCCTATATTGCACAACCTGACTCACGTACAAAGTTTAAAGGAGGAGCAGAGCCTGGCATACGGATAGAGCCAAGAGGAGAACAATACAAAGTAGCATAAGGGGAAAGTGCTGTATAATAACAAGTGCTGTGCAAGGGAGCAGCTCAGCTTAAGGCTCAGCAAAATGAGGGCTGCAGGATGGAAGCTGGGCAGCCTTGGGTGGCTGGCCTTCTGCATAGACCTGATGGTCTGTCTGGGACATGTTTCGCAACAGAGGATAGCATTTCCACGGCTCTCTGGCCGAGGGCAACAGCAACAAGGTCACTGGGATTTTAAACCAAGACAGGTAACCACTCTTCTCTTTCTCTACTCTCACCCACCTATTCTTTCATTCTGAATTTTTAAAAAAATCCTTATATGAAAGCGTGTTAAGTAGACCCTTGGGGCCAAACTGATTTCTTTCTTGATAGCCATAATCTACACTAGACTCTACCGGTGGAGGAGGTCAGTAAATGGTTAGTTTGCTTCCTTTTATACTGAAGATTGTAATCCTTGTTCTAAACATGGAAAAATAAAACTGTTTAAAGCCATTTTTCCCACCGTGGGGTTGAAATGTGGACTGCAAACATGTTAATATTCATTTGGGTGTGGTGCTTTGCTACACGTAACAAGTTCAATACCTAAGAAATCTGTTTAAAAAGACAGTTCCTATTATATGTATATGATTTTTGTCTTTTATACAAAAATGAAAAATAATGTTTTATTAAGGCTTTAAATAGTTTTTTTTTTGCCAATTTCACACCAAAAACTTGACCACTCAGTTTAAAATGATTAATTCCTACTTAATTGTCCCTAACAGTTTCCTGTGTCTTTATTGATAATTTAGCCAAATATCTTTGCAATGACCTTCATCTTAAATGTCCATTGTACTGGCTTTGCCTAGTATACTGATGCACAGAGAATTACTAATTTGCAAAAGCTTTGTACTGTTATTGTGTCTTGTGAGGGAGTTCATTAGCCCAATATTTACAAATTGGGAATTTGGATTGTTGCATATAACTTTGTTCAGTGTTAAATGGTCATTGGGTTAAGCCAGAACATGATTGGTTTGATTTTGTCATAGTATAATGGAACACCTAACAATCCGGTGGTGGATTATGTCTTGAGATATGTGAATCTAGTCAATCTGGCCAAGTGGGAAATGGCTTTTAGACAAATATCAGATCTATCCCTAATTGCAACTATTAAATGAATCACATTCACTCTCCATTGAATTTAGCATTGATTGATGAATACCAGTGAGCATTTGTGGATCTCCAAATGCTCCTGAATTGCAGCTTCTAGCATCGTTGAGCATATTGGTTGAGGCTATTGAGATTTGCATTTAAGAAATATCTGGCTGGCTATAGACTTACCACTGCTTTATTATATCACATTTATACCCATAGATTCCATTCATTAAACACGTTACCAAATGTTTATATACCATTAATTTAATGCACCAAGGTTAATATAATCTAATCAGTTACTAGTGGAAGTCTCATTATACTAGAAGGATTAATTATTTTTTAATCAAAGAGTTTCACTAATATTCAAGGTAATCTCATAAACTAATAAGTTTAAGATCTCTTTTTGCATAAGTTCACACATGTAAATAGGTACATCTGTAAGTATATTCCATTGCTCAACTAATTCGTTATGTGATTTTCTACATACTGGTTTGTAAAGATGGAAGTATATATTACCTGTCAACACATTAATTAAACTCCAATAGGAATATCTAATTGGTGAATTATTTCAGTGGAGATGGTTTGCAGCAGAGATGTTGAAAGGAGAGGTTCTTAACTACTGCTTTTCCTGCAGCTTTCCCTCTAAAATTGTCTTCTACACAGCTTTATCACTTTCTTTAGTATCCAGTTGCTTACTAAACATGTGCTTAGACACTTGTGGAGTAGAATTATAGGCAAGGCAGAGGCTGCAAAGAGAATACATGAATCTATGATGCAGTTTCTTGCCTTTTTTGATGAGAATAGTGTCGCAAAAACTATGGAGATGATGACAAAAAATTCTTCTGAATTGTTTCTACCAGTTTTCATTCAATTTATGAAAGACATTTAGTTTTAGAAATTATTACTAGATTATAATGTATACATTATCAAAGATATTTTAATTAATGGATGTGGCATTCTTGCATGAGATGACTAAGGTGTGTGTGTGTGTGTGTGTGTGTGTGTGTGTGTGTGTGTGTGTGTGTGAATGACCTATCTTTCTCTGGGACAATCCTCAGTCCACTGATCTGCAACCTTTGTGGCTTTTGGCACTTTAGCTAAATCCCATAATTAGTCAGAGGTCAGAGACAAGTCCAATGGGAGGTGACACTGAGGTCTTTCTCCCATGTATGTATGTACAGAGAGAACATGGATTCATGTAGTATTTAATATGGTTTAGTGCACTGTCTATCAGTTTAGGCTGGATTTGCATTATAATTATTTTCATCCATCTTTTCTCCACAAGCTGAAAAATAAGTCTACAATTTTCCCCAAAGTTTTTCAGTCCAAGATAGTAATCAATATACTGCCATCATCGCAATACTTTGAAAATTAATTGTTGTATGCTTGAAAGATATTAATGAATAGTGCACATATATCTCAGAGTATTCTGAATAGCAAATGAAATATACAGTATGCAATCAAATCATCAATGCAGTAACAGAATTCATAAAATGTTTTTTTGACAAACCTCTGTAATTTAATATGTACAATTACATTTTCAGTGTTCAAGTAGTTCATGGGCTTTGAAATTAATATTACTTGTGTTCAATCATATCTTATATAATAAGTAGCGATATAAATAAGCTTTGGCTATGCATACAATCCCTTCCTGGGAGCAATCAAGCAAACTAAAAAGTCTTCCACTGACTTTGTAAGTCTTCCACTGACAGTTCTTTGTAAGATTTGCTTAATAGCCTAAATTATCCAGTGGTTATGATTAATATCTGGATGAAAAGGGACATAGTAGAACAGAGGTCCCAAACCTTTGGGCACCAGGGACTGGTTACATGGATTTTTTTCCACGGAACAGAGAGGGCGTGGTTTTGTGTGCTGCCTGTATCCTGCAGATGGGGCTTTGCTTGTTTGTGCAGCCCGGTTGCTGGCATGCCACGGCCCAGAACCGGCCCATGGACCAGGGATTGGGGGCCCCTCTTGTAGAAATTAGAAGATTTCCTGACTTGTTCACCAGCTTGGGTGAAGAAAATATGGCAGAATTTGTATGCAGAACCATAAAAAGTCTCATTATCTTATCTTATTAAGCCAAGATATTGTAATTTATTATGACTTGTCTGTATTCATTATGTAATATGTACTAATATGTCAGTGATCCTGTACCATAATTAAATTTCTTCTACCTTCCAATATCTACTTTAAAAAAATTAATTTTCTAATCTTATCAAATCACTATTCAACTTTTCCTTTTTTCTCTATGCACCAGGAATGCAGTCCAGGATTCTATCGTGAGAGTGTGGGTCTATTTACAGGAAGGTGTGTTTCGTGCAATTGTAATGGAAATTCAGATAAATGCCTGGATGGTTCTGGAATTTGTATTGTAAGTATTTACAACAAATGCTGCTGCAGGTGCTCTTATTAATTTCTTTTGCTTCAGGCCAGTAATAACTTTGAGAGAAACTGCTTGTGCCTGCAAAAATAGAAATGTCTTTGAGGTACAGTGAAAACTGACATATCTATTACAGCAAAAATGTCCACAGAAGTTTGTTAGCTTTGAAACATGAATTGTCTTCACGTGATATGCTTGCATGCATTTCATATTTTTTTCTCTTTCAACAAGAGTTACCAAGGTTGCACTTGTGCACAGTTAACTTAGCTTACAAGCTGAGATATGATCAGATGCTAGATCACTTCACTCTTTTCTTCCTGTGAAGTCATGTTAATTATGGGTTTCGTAATATATCTGAGCAATGAATAATGAAATAAACCAGGATGTTAAGCCAGCTTTAAAACTTGTTTCATTTTACTTGTTTTGCTCATTAAGCTGCAGTCATTCATATGCAGCTATGGAATGTAATAGCAGTTCTCACCAAGGAGTAAACATTAGCATTTATAAACATTTATTTATAAGCACAGGTAAAGGAACTTTAAATTAATCTACCCAAACATGTGATCTTTACACAGCAATGTTGTTTTTTGGTATAATTTCCTTTTGAAATTAGTTAATCAAAGCAAATATGTATAAAGGAGCATGATTGACAATGCTTTTTGAATAAAAGTTCTAAGGCTTGCATTTTTTTTTTGCATACTAGATTTGTAAAATATTTCATTGCCTTTTTTTCTATAGTATACTATACTGAAAAATATTAAGTTCTTTTTTTGAGTAAATACATTTACAGCCTAGCCTTTCTTTGCCCACATTTTTTTGCTCATACTTACTCATTATTCATTGCCCGCATAGAGTTCTTTGAAATTGCACGATACTTTTTTTGACTTTGTTTTTGACAAACCCTTTTGAGTTTAAATGTAGGAGCTGTTCGCCAAATCAGCCTGTTCCAAATAGGTGTGAATCATAAGGCATTTCAATTGAGGAACAGGCCATAACAAGCAAATACAACCAGCAAGAGCTAGATAGTGTACATTGCCCTAAGACAAGAATTTTCTAAATATTAACTTTTTCAGTCTTGTTCTAATTATCATTTATGTCCATCAGAGCTACCAGATTGGGTGGCACAAGTCCACATGACTCCTAAATGGTAGCATAGAGTAGTAATCTAGTAATTGTCTGTTTTTTATTTTGCAATCCAGATTTGGTAGCTCCAATGGTTATTCATACTGCGTATCAGATAAATATTTGCAATCAGTTTTTATAGCATGCATTCTATTTGGGTAGCTAGTTAGCATTGTTAATTAAGTCTTCCTTTCCATTCAGAAATGCAACACTGAATGAGATTTTAAAATAATTTATAAGGTGTTATTATATTTTCCTCTAGATAAAAAGCAATAATAAATTTAGGATCACAGGTAAATAATTTAATCAACTAGTAGCAGGTCGACTAAGAACTGTTCATATGGGTAGAAAACACATGGATCCAGAAGATAGGGAGTCATATAGTTTTAAACACCATAAAGTTCCTTGCTGCCCAGTGCCTAATACTGGTGTATTATGACAGAGGAATGATATTAGTATCAGAAGAGTAGGACTGATGATTAATACCGTAATAGGGTTTAATTTCCATGTTGGTGGGGCAGCTTTTCATTTTTCCAGTCCTTCTAAGCCAGGGGTGTCAAATTTGCAACATGATGTGTCGCAACGTATCACAACTTTTTTTCCATTGTCGGCAGTGGGGTGGGTGCGGTTTCAGCATGATGCATCTGGCCCGCCGGCTGGCAGTTTGACACCCCTGTTCTAAGCTATCATATAACAACTAGTTTGGTCTAATAGTTAAGGCACTGAACAATAAAATGGGAGATAGTGACTTTAAGTCCCACTTTAACCATGAAAGCCAGATGCTACTTTAAATTAATAATGTGTGACCCTCCGTGTAATTAATATTATGCTATTACTTCTGCAACTAACCAGAAAACAATTGTATGCACATCCTTTAGCCAGATACTAACTGGGTCTAATTTATTTGTTCAGTCTTGCAATAAGGTAAATTTGTGGTGGCTTGGAGCATATCAATTGTCATTTTCTCACATTGGTATTAATAATAAACTTGAAAAACAAGACAACTGCTAACCTTCTGGTTTTTATATATATATATTTTAAAAAGAACTGTCAACATAATACTGCTGGAGAAAAGTGTGAGCGCTGTAAAGAAGGATACTTTCGAGATGCCAGTCAAGGACTTTGTAAGGAATGTCACTGCCCTTACACAAACAGGTACTCTGTTGGGCTGAGAATGGGAAGCTGTATTTATTGTGCTTTGCTCAAAGTTGCCCTGGTGGAAATTCTGTGTTTTTATGACAGTAAAAACAGCTATTAGATAATTCTATCATTTGTGCAATAATGTTATGAAGCACAAATGATAAAATTTTGGTGTCATTGCAGCTTGTTATGCATGGATGGTAAGATGACAATGGTCACTCATCTTGCACATCTTCATAAAAAATAAAATAAGAAATTCCCTGTAAAGAAAAAAATCATAAAGCAATTTCCACAAATTCTAATTTTAAGTGCATTTACCACAAATGAGATATTGATGACCTTGGATCAGATCTCCTATTGGATTATATTTTTTAAAAGCTCTATTGCAGTGTGACTCATGACCTTCATAAAGCCTTTACTAAATTGGTACCCTATAGATGTGCTGGGCATCAATCCCCATAATTACCATAATTGCTAACTAACATCCTAAGTGGGCATTGTTGAAATGTAAATCTGCACTTTTGGAGGAATTTAACTTGAGGAGGAGACCGGAGAGAACACATCTTTTCTGCATCATCGCAGCTACAGTCCACTTTAAAAGAAATTCATGGTGCAAAAGACTTGGACTACAATTTGTCAACTAGTTTGGCCTAAAATATATTTTATTTAGTTGGTATTAATTTAAAATATATTTAAAGCAAGTTCATTGCTTTTACTCATTTATTTTGCCAAATACAACGAACATTTCTTGTGTGTCTTCTACTTTGAATATGATGAGTGCATTAAAAAATAATAGAAATAAAAAAAATGAATATTGAAGCAATTTTCTGAAAGTTTGCCATATTAGTTCATTTCAATAAAACCAAAGTAAGGTTGTGATACCTTAAAGGCTAATTTCCCCATTGTTACAAGCACGTAAAAGACTTGATTGTATTTGCTACATACTGTAATGAGCAATACCTTCATTTTTTTTAGGGAAGGCCTAGATTTGCTTGATTAGCATAGAGCACCACGTCTTTGCTGCTGAGTTCTCCCTGATTCCATGCTGTTGATTTCAAAAAAAGAAAGGAACTGGGGCAATAACAGAGATGGCTAGATGATGACTTTCCAGATGTTATTTGAACTCTAGTTGCTAAAATCTCCAGCTAGTTATAACTGATGGGGAACAATTGTGGGGGTTGTAATGCAGCCATTTCAGGAAGGCCACAGATCGTCCTGATAATATTGAAGACTAGGAATAGAATAGAATAGAATAGAATAGAATAGAATAGAATAGAATAGAATAGAATAGAACATTTGAGGTCTTCTAGTCCAGCCCCCTGGTCAAGCAGGAGAACCTTGGTATTTCAGTTAAGTGACTGTTTAGTCTGTTCTTAAAAACCTCCAGTGATGGAGCGCCCATGATTTCTGGAGGCAAGCTGTTCCACTGGTTAATTGTCATCACTGTTAGGAAGTTTCTCCTTAATTCCAGGTTGCTTCTCTCTTTGATTAGTTTCCAACTATTGTTTCTTGTTCTGCCTTCTGGGTGCTTTGGAGCATAATTTGACCCCCTCTTCTTTGTGACAGCTCGTCAACTACTGGAATACTGCTATCATGTCACCCCTATTTCTTCTTTTTTTTAGACTAGCCAAACCCAAGTCCTGCAGCTATTCTTCATATATTTTATTCTCCAAGCCTTTGATCATCTTAGATGTTCTTCTCTGAACTTTTTCCAAAGTCTCAACATCTTTTTTGTAGTATGGTGACCAAAATTGGTTGCAGTATTGGTCATACTAGGGTTTTTATAAAGCGGTACTAATACTTCACATGATCTTGATTCTATGCCTATGTTTATACCACCCAGAATAGTATTAGCTTTTTTGGCTGCTGCTGCACACTGCTGGCTCATAGTCAAGTCCAAGATCCCTCTCATAGTTATTGTTTTTGAGTCAGATCTCACCTAATCTGTACTTATAACTTTGATTTTCCTGCCTAAATGTAAAACTTTGCTTTTCTCCACATTAAAGTGGAGTAACATTAAAGTAAAGAAAAGTAATAATTTTCTTTATTAGATATAGACACCATTTTATTTATTGTTCAATGATCTAATGAACATGGAAATTATCCTTCAACTTATAAACTTATAAAAGGGAGATATTTAGATTTCTCAGGTAAACATGCAGATTCAGCTACTGTTCAGTAATAAAATATAATCAAGCTGTCTTTTTTATTCCCTAATTTGTTATTGAATATTTTGCAATATGCTTTCAGGATTGTAGGACTGCATTCTGATTTTGCAAAAAAAAAAAAAAAGGTAATAGGGAATGATGTATGAGCAAAAATAGTTGCAACTTGTCTGAGACTGAAATTATTTTTGTTAGCCTTTTATTTGATGTTCAGACAGTAACATAGCCCTTACATTTTTTCCTTTCCCCATAAGCTGTATAAATATGTCTTAAAAGAAAAAAAAAGCTATTTTCAGATTTTTCATGTTTCCTGTATTTTTTACCATGTAGTTTTGCTTCTGGCTGTCTGGAAGATAATGGAGAAATTCAATGTTTTTGCAAAGAAGGCTATTCAGGAAAGCATTGTGAAAGGTATATGACTTGTCTCAATACTGATTTACTATGTAGAAAGTTAAAACAGATCTCAACTGGAAACTACTAACATATTGGAAAAGATTGTTTTCTAAACAGAGACCATATTTTCATGATTGGGCTGGAGTCCAAAGTGCTACAAGGATTCATGTGCACACAATGCTCTCTTTAGTAAGCATAAGCTGCTCTCCTTGATTCAGAATTTCAGAATACTCTGTTCATCCCGTTTAGGACTATTTAATTTCATGTTCATTGAAATAAATTGCATTAGTGCCCAATTATGCATTAGATGCAGATACTGTATTCACTGATGTTTTTAAATCTGAAGAGTTGTATGAAGTATTGATGCAGCCCACAGAAAGCTAAATGTGCTCAGATTCTTATGATATCAAATAATCAAATTTCTTTTTGGACTGCACTGTCTCTGTATAGGGCTTATCAAATTAGAGATATAATTAAAATCTAAAAAGCAATATCTATTATTTGGTCAGTTAGACAATTGTAACACAAATTGTTAAAATTTATGGATGTGATACAGATTTTTAAGCCAGCAGAAACCTTTTCAGTGTCAGGTGATTTATATTACTTGTGTGTTTTATTTGTTCATTAATTTATTTTGCAGCTGTGCTCCTGGTTATTTTGGAAATCCATTGAAATACAGATACTGTCAAAAATGTAATTGCCTGGAGAATGGCCAGCTCACAAAATGCGATCGCTTGACTGGGGGTATGTAAAGTGACATAAATATTTCTGAATAATATTAAAAAGGAAACCATGGAATATTTGAAAATAGTCTACCAGGGAGACTCCTATGCAAATAAAAATTATATTTTTTCAATTCTGTGCTTATAGCTGTTCATTCTTACTACAAATCCTTACTAGTATAAGGATGAGAAAAGTCTAGCTCTTCAGATGTTGCTGAAGTACAAGTCCCAAGACCCACTGGCTGCTGCTGTAATTCCTCTGTATTTGAAAAAACTGCTTTATACATTTGTGGTTTTAATGAAGTAATTAAATGTGTTAGTTAATGTTTAAACAGCATGATCCAGATTTATGTGTCCTACATCCTACAGATTTCATTGCTGATTGCCTTCAGGTAATTTAGAGATCTACATGAATTATGAATGTCTTCTATACAATGTTAATGTTGATTGTTTCAAAGTTTCAAGAAAGATAAACTTGAACAATAGGCACTGGGAATATATTCAGATATTGTTGAGCTACAACTTCCAGCAGCGTCAACCTACATGGCCAGTAATGAAAGATGCTGAAGGTTTTAATTTGAATTTCCAAATGTAAAATTGCCTAATTCTGTGGGTCTTTTTTTAACAACACAACTACCAGCAGAATTAAAGCAATTTTAAATGCATTCTATGATTATGTATAGCATCAATTATTCCAGTTGATTTCAGTTGATTTCAATAATGTGTCTCTCTTTAGCTTTGTTTAGTTATTTCTGAATCAGAATAAAGTTTGATATAAAAAATCATTTAATGGATGATAATAGAAAAAAAATAACCATTTTATAATATATATATATCTGAAAAACTAATTAAAAATATATAATTTTATCTAAAAGAAAATATTAGTCTATCAACAATATTCTTATAATGTCACTTTAATGTATCCCTTTATGTAGGGTATGTGGGAATGACCATTCCCTAGACAGCGACTCTGGGCCCAGACTCCCAAAGTCATTCCCACATACCATTACAGATTTGTGGTTCACTTACTTAGTGCTTGCTAATTAATATATATACAGGTATTATAGAGTTTGATGTTTGCACTTTGATTTTTGAATTCAATTTGCTGGGTTGGCGCTCTTATTTCTATGTAGGATGTTGTATTTTGGCAACATTTAAAGATCCACAGATTTGCTACTCAGCATGCATTGTATGCACTCTGTATTACTGAGAGGAGATGTCAGACTTGGAGCCCATATAACGATGCAGGAGGACTTACATTTCAAGTCTGAGTCAAAGGCTTACATTTCAAGTGTGAGTCAAAGTTAGAGATGAACAAGAAAGCAGGGAGCTGAATCACGAAACCCAAAAGAACAAGAATATATAAGAGCTACTGGAACTTGTTTCCCAACCAACAAAAAACTTTCCTCAATCAGAGCCAAAGGCAAGGCCAAGGATAGATGGCCAGGCCTGTGTCTGAGAAAATTTCACTTGCCAAGGACACATATCTGACTTTCGTTTTGAGACTTGCAGATATTTCTCAGTTCTAGTCTCTGAAATGTTTGAAATATATATGTTTTATTTGAATATATTATGCTTTCCATCTCAAGGCAATGTTATTTTCCTAATTCTTTTATGTAAACTACTAGAATTACATATGTAGGTACATATATTTCAAACAACATATTTTAAAGTGCTGTTCTGCTGCTTAAACTAACAGTTGCTAGAACAAGTTCAGTCTAGATGCAACTGCTTTAGCAAATCCTGATGTCATTGTGGTTTTGCTATAGTGTATTGAGTCTTGGTTTGATTGTGGTCATGCAGTAGCTTATTGAATTCTATAATTATATAGAATTACATAGATGTTCTCATTCCTATTAGCCAATGACATAACATATTTAATTGGCACTCTTCTTTATGTGTCAAGAGATAAAAGTGATTAAAAGTGATAGAGTACTTCAATATTCAGTCTGGCTGGGGAAATTTGATAGTTCAAGGTCACACATCTTAAAATTACTGAGGTTGAGAAAACTGGTCTACTTAATCTTCAGTAGCAATATTTGCAGGATAGGCCTCAAATTTTGTATTTGCTTGTCCTGCAAAACTGCATTAGCTTGGAGCAGTGGTTCTCAACCTTTCTAATGCCGTGACCCCATAATACAGTTCCCCATGTTGTGGTGACCCCCAAGTGGGTGTGGCCACCAATAAGAGGGAGTAGGACAGCTAGGGAAAAGGGAACGAAATGGTGGATAGCATGGTTTGGCGACCCCCATGAAATGGTCGTTCGACCCCAAATGGGGTCCCGACCCACAGGTTGAGAACCACTGGCTTGGAGGTTGAAGTTAATGAGATGAGGTGATATTCGAAGTCGGAAGAAATAACAAGATATAAGTATTGTGCTGCATATATAGATAGTCCTTGATTTATAACAGTTTGTTTAGTGACTGTTCAGAGTTACAACAGCACTGAAAAAATGACTTATGACTTTTTCACACTTATGACCGTTGCAGCATCCCCATGGTCACGTGATCAAAATTCAGATGCTTGGCTACTGGTTCATATTTATGACTGTGGCAGTGTCCTGTGGTCACATGATCACCTTTTAGAACTTTCTGACAAGCAAAGTCAATGGGAAAGCCAGATTCACTTAAGAACCATGTTACTAACTTAACAACTGCAGTGATTCACTTAACAACGGTGGCAAGAAAGGTCATAAAATGGGGCAAAACTCACTTAACAAATGTCTTGCTTAGCAACATAAATTTTGGGCTCAATTGTGGTTGTGAGTACCTTTATTATATTTTATAGTATTTCATCACTGTATCATGCTATGGACTGAATTGGTTTATAGGAAGAGGAGTCTGTTTTGAAAAGGTCTTTTAAAGATTTGGCAGCCAGCAGTCTTTTGACAGCATGACTCCTTTAGAGGCCAGTATTCCTCCTCTTGGGATAATAGAATTATACTGGCATAAGAGGCAGCCACAATATGGATACCTGCATTAATCCAAACCCTTCCTTGATTAATAAGGGAAGGAGTTGTACAGGAATAGCTCAAAACATTGCTAAATTAATGTTACCAAGAATCATAAATACGGTTGTTTTGATTGAATGTTTTGATTATATTTTACCATAAATATGGTTGTTTTGATTGAATGTTTTGATTATATTTTACCATTTAATGCCACATCTTTTGTTTCTGAACTCAACAAGTTAAATCAGAGGACGAGTTCAGGAGTCCTTGAATTACCTTGCTTTCCTCCCTGCTAAGAGATTTAGTAAATAATGCCTTGGATTTCTGAAGAGCCCAGCAGGGTGATCCAATGTCATGGTAGAATTTGTTCACATTAGTTGAAGTTGTTATTTGAGAAAAAACAAGAAAGCAATGTGTAAATTTAACTTTGGGGAGAACCCTACAAGATCCTGTAAACTTCCTTTCTAATGTATTTTTATTGTAAGCTTCCCACTGTGGAGAGTGAGATGGGAGGCATATAAATTAAGTAAAGAAAGAAAATAGTTAAAAAATACAATATTGATTCTAGGGAACTTGTTACCTATCTTTTTACCTGCTTAACAATGTGCAGCTTTCAATGGAGTGTGCAGGGCATCAGTAACACAATGCTTTCTGACATTTCAGAACGTCACATCTTATAATTGTTGCATCCTTAATTCTACTTTTTTCCCTCTCTTTTTTTTCTTTTAATTTCCAGAATGCATCAGCCAAGAACCAAAAGACATAGATCCAAATGAAGATTGTAATTGTAAGTTTTAAACCTTATTTCGTCTGAAAGCTTGCTTATATACCGTGTTTCTCTGAAAGTAAGACCTACCCTTAGCTCTAGCTTGATTTTGGGGGGTGGGCCTAATATAAGCCGTATCCCCAAAATAAGCCCTAGTTTAGGGGCAAGGCACACACTTAAAAATCAAGCTGGGGTGGGGGTGGGGGTATACATCTGCTTACCTTGCAGCCGGGCCTCTCCTCACCAGCCCACTTCTTCTGAGGCATCTTCTGCAGCCATGCCTGCATTTCTGAGTCACAGGACTTTCTGGAAGGCCTGTGCAGCCAAGAACCGAGCCATGGATTCACTCTGCAAGGTACTCGGCTGCAGAGGCCCGACTGCAAAATGCAGGCTAGAATGCAGCAAGGAGTTCTAGAACCTGTTGACTCCAGTCCCTGGGAAACCCCCATTGTCACACCTCTCAAGGCAAATGGGGACATTCGCATTTGTGCCGATTACAAATGCACTCTGAATAGGGCATTGCAGCAACATGCCTATCCTGTTCCTGTGGTCAGTCATATTCTGGCCTCCCTCAAGGGGGGGCGTGTTTTTGCAAAGCTTGACCTAGCTCAGGCGTATCAACAGCTGCCTGTTGATGATGATGCTGCTGTAGCTCAGCCCATTGTGACCCACAGAGGAGCATTCAAGGTGAAGAGGCTACAATTTGGAGTAAATGTCGCTCCTGGAATTTTCCAAAGCATAATGGAAAACACACTACGGGGTATACCAGGGGTTTGCCCCTATTTTGACGATGTCTTAATTGTAGGAGACTCTACACACAATTTAGCTGAGAGATTAAGGGCTGTCCTGTTAAGGTTCAGGAAAACGGGCCTCAAGCTTAAGAAGGACAAGTGTAAAATTGGAGTGCCTTCTACTGATTTTCTGGGATTCAAAATTGATGCTACTGGGATTCACCCTGCTGAATCCAAACTGAAGGCTATTATGCATGCTCCTAGGCCAAAGTCTAAGGCCGAACTACAGGCTTTTCTGGGCCTTCTGAATTTCTACAATTCCTTTCTTCCACATAAGGCTAGTGTAGCTGAGCCTCTTCACAGGCTATTGGACAAACAGGCAGTGTGGCAGTGGTCACAAAAGCATGAAGCAAGCTTCAATGAGGTCAAGGCCTTACTCACTTCTAACAGTGTACTTGCACATTTCAATGAATCCCTTCCTGTGTGCATCGCTTGTGATGCTTCTCCTTATGTGGTAGGAGCTGTATTAAGCCACCTCAGGTCAGATGGAACTCAGGTTCCTGTTGCATAATACTCCAGAACCTTGTCTTCTGCCGAGCGTAATTATGCTCAAATAGACAGGGAGGCTTTAACTGTTGTTGCTGGAATTAAAAAATTCCATGATTTTTTATATGGCAGGCATTTCACGGTCTTCACTGACCATAAGCCTTTGTTGGGACTGTTTACCACTTGTAAGCAAACTCCCCAAATCATCTCCCCCAGAATGCTAAGATGGTCTATCTTTCTTTCTGCCTATGATTTCTCCCTATTTCACAAACCTGGGAAGGAAATGGGCCATGCTGATGGCCTCAGTAGGTTACCCCTGCCAGTAATAGAAGCTGACCCTGCACCAGCTATCAATCTTCTCTCCATTCAGGCCTTGCCCGAGTCTCCTTTAATGCCAGAGATGTAGCCGCTGAATCAGGCACAGATCACACACTGTCACGTGTCCTTTCTTGGGTTTTATCCGCATGGCCAGAGAGCTGTCCTGGTACTGAGTTTCAGAGTTTCTGGTCTAAAAGGAACGAGTTGTCCACCTTCCAGGGTTGTCTGCTTTGGGGAAGCAGAGTTGTCATTCCTACCTCAATGAGGACTAGGGTCTTAGGTTCCCTCCACGAGGGTCATCCTGGCATTGTACGCATGAAGGCGCTTGCGCGCAGCCATTTGTGGTGGCCTGGGTTAGATAGGGACATTGAAGCTAAGGTGCACGCATGCCACCTTTGCCAACGCTTGTGCCCCGAAATGCCCCAAGCTCCTGTACATAAATGGGAGGAATCACAGTCTCCATGGTCTAGGGTGCACATTGACTACCCTGGGCCCTTTCAGGGTCAATTCTTCTTGGTCCTAGTTGACAGCCATTCAAAATGGCTTGAGGTTGTACCTGTCTCTTCCACCACCACTGCAAAGACTATTCAAGTACTGAGGGGGATTTTTGCTGCACATGGGCTTCCAGACGTCCTCGTGTCTGACAACGGCCCTCAATTCACTTCTTCCGAATTCCAAGCTTTCTTACAGGCTAACATGATTCATCATGCCACCTCTGCACCTTTCCACCCGTCCACCAACGGTATGGCTGAATGCATGGTTCGCATCACCAAGGACGCCTTGAAGAAAATTACCTACGGAGACTGGCATCACAGTTGGCTGACTTCCTCCTTTCTTATTGCACTACACCGTCCACTTCTACGGGGAGAAGCCCAGCTGAACTTCGTTGGGGGCGCAAACTGACTACCAAGCTTGACCGGTTGCATCCGGACAGACTGCCTTCTTCTTTCACACTCCCCAGGACACCTAGACAACTACTTGTGGGTGCCCCGGTTTGGACTCATAATTATGGGCCCGGTCATTCATAGGTCCCCGCTACTATATCCAGGGTCACAGGTCCTCTGTCTTACGAGGTGTCCCTGGACAACGGTCGTGTCCTGCATCAACACATCGACCAGCTTCGCCCTAGACGGGACCTTCCCGCTGAGACTCCTGGGTCCTTTCCAGGGGGGGAGGGGGACCCCTTTGGGCAAAGGGAAGGGTATGGGCTGCTGCCCATCATTAATGAGGAAGCTACAGACAGCTTATCCCAAGATTCCGCGAGTGCTCCAAACAGGAATTCAAGGAGCTCAACTAGACATCAGACATCAATGCCTACTCCAGCCAGGGAGTCACCCCGGAGGCATAATCACTACTCACCCGCATCACTCAGTACTCCAGTCAGGGAGGATACCCGGGAGCATCCCAACAAACCATACCCCGCAAGAGAGCTGGCACACACTCCTTCTAGTTGGCCCGACACTACCCCTGTCCCTAGAAGGGGGCAAACATACAGGGAGGTGGTCGAGGAACCGAATCCCGACTACAACACCTCTGACTTCACTCAGGGGACAACTGAGTTTTGGGACGGCACTGAAACCCCCACAAGCCCGGGGACAGAACGGGAACCAGGGGACAGACAACCTCCTGACAGGTCTTGGACGGACCTAGGAGGTTCCACAGAATCGCCCAACAGTGACAGTCACTTAGAGGGGCCAGAGAGCCTGCAGCTAGGCAGGACAACCAGGTCAAACAAAGAAAGAAGCCCTGGCCTGACGAGCCCGGTGGGCAAGCAAGCAGGCCAGGCATTGGAGCACAGCCCTTGGGAACCACCAGGGTGTAATAGGGGGGACAGATACGCATCACCCCTCAGTGAAGGGGTACTTGGCAGGTACCCAGAGGTTAGGAGGTCACAGAGAGCCAGAAGATCCCCTAAGTATTTAGAGGATTTTGTAACTCTATTGGCAAAACAGAGTTAACAGAGAACATTCCTGTACACAGAGGAAATAGAACACTGAGACTGATGGGAACAAAAGAAATGCATAGCATGAGGTTGTATGGTGCTACTCTCGCAATGGGTTATGTGTTATTATGACATGATCAATAGACTTAGCCCGGGGGGAAGGGGTGTTATGTCTTGAGCCTGTGCAAGCAGGCTCGGGGCATTGCAGGCGGTCCCGGGCAGGTGCAAGCTGCCCGGAACCAGACAGGCTGTCGCCAGTACTTGTGCGCATGCGCAAGTGCTGGCGCACCAAAAGTTGCAGATTGACCCGGGAATGGCCTATAAAAGAGGCCGGGAGTTTTGGGCGTTGTCGGTGTTTTGTAACCAGTATGCTGAACTGAAATAAAGAAGTTTCCTGAGAACTACAACTGCTTCTCGTGTCTTGCCATTTCGCGAAGGACGCAACAGGTTGTCTCCAGCTTTGCGCGCATGCGCAAGGTGGGAGAATGCCGTGGAATGATCGGCTGACGCTGTCCCTGCCAGGGGACTATAAAAGGGCTTGCGCCATTTTTGTTCTCTGTTCTGTTGGTGAATTGCAATAAAGGAAGACTGTTTTTGTTACTTCGCTTCGTCTCCATGCCTCTTTTCTGGGAACAGAACAGTGATGATGCTAAAAGTTGTAATCTAAGACATCTGGAGAGCAGCAAGTTAGGAAAGGTTGAACCTACAAAGAATGACTCCAAGGATTTGGTTTCTCTCTTACATGTATATGGATTTATTGTTTGTTGTGACAGTAACATAATGCAGACAAGCAGTACAGTTGTATGACAAACATAGTTTTATGACACCATTTGAACAGTTTGTTATTTGCTATAGTAACAGATAAAACTTTTGGAAATATCTTTTTGTCCCATAATTGTTTTGTCCCATAATTGTCCCATTCTTTTTATTTTTAATATACAAAAACTAACACTTTAAACTCTTCCATGTGTGTTCTTTTTTGTTTAGCTTGTGGGAGTTGTGTAATCACATTGCTGGAGGATTTGAGTACAATGGGAAGTGAGCTCCGAGTGATTGAATTTCAAATGCAAAGTATCAACACTAGTGCTCAACTGCTAGGCCAGATGAAGCACCTGGAAGTCCGTAGCAAGCAACTGGAGGTAACTTGAAAAAAAACTGGCTTTCCATGGGATTGGGTACACTTTCCAGAGGTTGAATACACTTCTGAAATGTGCTTTAGAAATGTCATAGTAAATGCTCTTATGGGGCTGGAATATGATTCTGAATTTTGATGAGACCCATTCCATTGCTCTTTCTAATGCCACTTCAGAAGAAAGACCCTAGCAGCCAATTCAGATTAGACTGTTGGAATGTATTATTTATGCATCTGTCTTAGAAGCCATCTTTAAAATTTAACTCAGCCCAATTCCTGCAAAACTTCTGCTCACTTCGTGGAAATGTATTCTTGGCAGCAGTTTAGAAATGGTTTGCCATTGCCTTTTTCTGGTTAGTTAGTCAAAAGCATAGTGCTAAAGCTTTGCTTGAAATGGAAATAAATGAACTTTTAGCCTTGGGATTTGATGACTAGAACTGTTTATGCCTGCAGAAATACTGCGTGCTATGTTTTATTCTAGTTCAAAGGAGCATTGTATTCAATCCTTGAATCTGTACCAAAGAATGTTGGAAGTTACTCTTTTCTACAGCTTTTTGTTCCTTCTTGGCTGCACCCCCAATTTTGCTTTTTCCCTGCACCCTTTCCTTTCTTCAACTTTATTTTTTTTCATTTTTGTATTTTATATTTTTGTTGAAGTTCAATAAAGTTTTGTGGAAAAAATGCATCTGCTAAAATTACCATCTGGGATATCTTGTGAGAATAGTCAAATCAACTGCAAATTCATTTCCAGCACAATTCATAAAGACCATACATGATTGGGAGCCAAGTCCTTTACCTACTCTATCTTCTCCTATATGAACATCTTCTGAATTATTTCATCTTTGAAAGCACTTTCATGCTACTCATAAAAGATAGGCAGAAGATAGGCTGGAGAAACAGAAGAGACGATCTTTTTGATTGCAGCCCTTCACTTTTAGAATATCATCAGATAGAGACATCTATTCTTTTGTCTGCTTTGATTTAGCAAAGCAGGACCTTTCTAAATCATTGAAACTTTCTAAATAACACTAGAAATGTTTCATTCTGCTCTTGCTAAGATCTTATTGTTTCTGTTTTTACTTATAATTTTAAATACATTGCTATGACATTGATTTTATTTAAATGTTAATCATAGCCTATGAGTTTCCTACCTGGAGGAATGTTGTCCATGGGGTCGCGATGGGTCGGACACGACTTCGCAATTAACAATAACAACAATGAGTTTCCTTCAGAATAGAAATATTATACATTTAAATAAACAATGTATCATTTCACAGGAAATTGCAGCTATTTATAAAGAGCATCCACTATTGTTCATTGTCCACACAGAATTTGATAGATTTTTAAAGCTGTTGAAATCAGCATGTTTTAAAATTCCATGCATTATTCTGGCCCCATTGCAGATGAATTTCTAACATTTCCCTTCTTTTTCCTCATTGCTATCAGAGTTTGTGACTTGCAAGTCTCAGGACACCCAGGCAACATTTTTCTGTTGAATTCTGTCTTACAATTTAGTAATCTCTTTATCTACTAATGGCAGTAGGAGCTGATTTGTAAAGTTTCATTCCAGCGCTTTTCTGGAATTTTTCCTAATTCCATATTGTATTTGTGTTCAGTTTGCTGATTCCCATTTTGTTTTGCCTTTATTTTCAGAGTCTGTTGAATCACTCTCGTTCTGTCATTAAAATGCAAAGTTCAAAGGTAGATGAAATGGAGACAAGTTTATTTCACCTTAATCAAAATATTAATTCTCTGAAAGAAAAGGTAAGTGTTTAAATCTTATACATGTTGGTATCAGTCCATGGCCTTTTTATAAAAGTTTGTGTTTACTGATCATATTTCAAGGTATTTCAAGACCATGTCTCAAGGTATCTTCAATAAATGGCAAAATGTTACCCTAATGTCCATATTGTGTGGGGTGGAGAAATGCAGCTCAGATCCAGAAGATCTGAGTTCTGTTCCTGCCTCCTGCCGAAGGTATTCCCTTCCATGTATGGAAGAGAAATGACATCTTTTGGCAGGCAGTTTTTTTAGCCAACCCTTAGTGATAAGAGGGACCCCAAATCCAAACAGAGAGTGGAGAGGCAACATAATATGAAAGGCAGTGCAGGTGCCTCAGATGGCTAGGGGAAGCCTGGTGCATACTCCACCTGACATCTCTCACTCAGAAGATGAAAACTCTGCATGGATTTTAGCAGGGAGGATTTTCAACTCCTAAAGGGAGCTTCCAGGGCCTCTCCCTGTCCTGAGGTATCCCCATTCTGTATCTAGTACTCTGTCAGCTTAATGACCTTCATAATCATTTAACAACCACAACCAGGAGTGCCAGGATTGCAGTCGTTGAGCAAAGCAATTACATGGGCAGTCATGTGACATCTTCCTTAACGACCACTTCACTCAACATTTGAGATTCCAGGCTCAATTTTGGCTGCAAGTCAAGGACTATCTGTAAGCACCATTTGTTTGGTGCAGCCTTAACTTCAAATAATTGCTGAATATATTGTTGTAACTTGAGGATTACCTGTAATTGTATCATTTCTTTTATATTTCTGTTTGTTAATGTAATTGACCAGAGATATAAAACCTATAGAAGTGTTTCACTTGGGGTATTCTCTCTGTCCCTGTTGGTGAGAAACTTGGTGATCATCATAGAGTTTCCCCCGAAAAATATACTTTGTTGCATCTATCCTCCAAAGCTTTGATTTCTATCTTGAGTAAGCAGATTTCTCACAAGTTATCAATACTTGTTTTTCCATAATGTTTTATTTATGTGTTATTATTAGTTGCTTATCTGTTCCTTTGCTTTTGTATCTTTATCCTTGTGTAATGTCTGTTTAATAATTCTGGTAAAGTTTATGCAATGAATACATTTAGAAAAAAATCTTTTAAGAATGGCTAAAAAATGCCAAATTCATCCTTTGGTCTACCAAAGACATGTGTTAATGAAGTACGATGATACATAAACACCCAAATAAATCTATAATATTAACTACTTTTAAATCAAACTTTTACTAATGTTATCTCATTTTAACTCACTATCTTAGGCTGAAGATAATTACAAGAAAGCACAGACTCTTTTAAATAATTTTAGTAAAACTAATCAAAGAGGAAGAGCTTTAATTTCAAAGATCCAATCTATTCTCATCCATATCAAGGGTAAGAGTAATGCCTTTTCTTCTACATCAAGGTTGGGGAAATTATATCAGACTGTGAACCAAAATAATTCGCCAGTACCATAGCAGGTAGTTCTCAATTTGTTTTCTTTCATGTATACAGGGATATTTACACTTCATTTAGGCTTTAACCATTTTCTGCTTACATCAGTGGAAGCTGTTTAAAAACCTTATTGCAGTAGCATTGGGAGCAGTTTTTGAGGTCAGTCTTAGTGAAAAATGTTTATTACTATCCTCCTCAGTACCTTTCACTGCGGTAATAAAGTTTTGAAGCAGCTTCTATTCACAACAATTGAACTTATTTAAAGCCTTATGCACCCCCTCGAAAAATGTTTGTGCATAATACCTCCAGGAAAAGATGTGGAGGGTATTCTGTAAAATGTCTTATGGCTTTGCCCTCTACGTGCTGTTCAAGTAGGAACTAAAAATCCAGGAGAACTTCCAGATTGTAAACCAGCTCAGTATATGTGAGTATGACCCTACCCAGAGCTAACATATAGGTAGAATATATCTGGTTTCAGAATAATTTCAAATCTACAACTATGCCATTGTAGTAGGGTTCAACCTGGGTCTGTTCCTTTCATCTATTTCCTAACCACTTCCAAGCACTGGGTTAGGACCTTCATTTCCTGTCTGCCCTGTCAAAAGTAGAGACATACAGGAAAGCTGAATTTGTATACCAATGATGATAGGTTACCCTATATTGACAGGTGATCTAGCAGCCTAAATTAAATGTTAAATCATAAGGGAAAATGGCTGAGTTTTGCAGTGTCCTATAATACAATGTGCAAGCACTCAATTTCTATGCCTCACCAACTGGAAGTACCTGCTCAAGAAGGAGGAGAGTCCCTTAGTCCTTGTGTTTGGCTTAGAGGGATACCCCAGTCAATGCTGGGTTTCATTCCTTCATCCCTGGCCTTTAAAAGGTTATTCTCTAGGATGACCATTGCAGTTTCCTTCTGATACCCAGATCTGAATTCTAGCTGTTATGATCTAGAGACAATCCATTTCTTCCAGAGTTCTCTAGATAGTTGCTAACTTACCACCTTCTCTACGATCTTCCCTAGAATGTGGATATTGGAGAATAGTTGTCTAAAACAGCCCAATCATTTGTTTTAAGACATGAGGCAATTTCCCTCCCCCAAGGATGTGTTTGACACCTTCATGATAGCCATAATATCCATAGACTTTTTATCTTTGACTTGTGGGTTATCCTCTTAATACATAAAAGTGTCACACCTTGCTCATATGACTAAAAGGAGAGGGATCAGCCTAGGACATCTATCAAGGAAGATATATTATTATTATAGAGCCATGTATTCAGGAGTAAGTCTCATTAAGCTAAATTAACTTTACTTCTGAGAAGTCATGGATAAGACTGCAATGTTTTGATAAGCTTTGTGAACATTGGCAGTTTCTATTGACTGAGATAAATTAGAATGTTATTAATAATTTACTTATAATATATTGAATGGAAAGTTCCATCTTTCCATTCTGTATTTCTGTATTTTATCTGATTTTTGATTGGTTTGCTAGGGCTCCAGTCCAAGAAGTGGTCAAAGCAAGACAAAACCTATTATAATTAATGTAGTTATTTCTCATATATTTAATAAATATATTTAACAAATTCCCACAAATTGATGTGACTCCTGGAGAGACCTCCAACTGCACTGAAGAGCACATACTTGCAATCCTACTTTAAAAATACACCACATATCTTTGTAATAGGGTTTGGTAAAAGTCTCTTATTTATTCAAATTATGTTTTTCTTGTCAGTTCTCTTGGGACAGATAGACGGCACTTCTACAGAAGGAACCTCTGTGCCTACCAAACCCTCTGCAAAACAGCTTCTGGAAGCTCAGCAAATGATCGATGAAATGAGAAGCCATAATTTTGACCAACAGCTAACGGAAGCAGAAAAGGAAAAAGGGAAAACCCAACACTGTAAGAACTATAAACTGTAAATATTTTGGGTAGAAATGGCTTGATTGGGTGAGGTGGGAATAGATGGAGAAAGACTGCTGCCTTATCTGGAAATGCTCACTGAGTTTGTGATGGGTGTGAAGGTAGTTGTGGTTTAATAATGAAGAAAACTGCCAATAGTCACTCAAAAATATTGTACTTTGTTGCTGCTTGAAACTAGTTCAGGACTTGAGTTGAGCTTTTGCAGTCATATAGTCTTTACAGAAAATTTGGAAATATAATAATATACAGAATGGATGGATAATCCCTATCTATATTTACACTTACTAGGCCAGGTGATTTACTCAACTAAAAATAATTTCTTGATGAGAAATTAATTTATAGAAAGACTGTGAGATAAAAGGACTTGAAGGACCTAATGCTCATAGGATATTTAATTTATTCCTGTTTTGCTTTATTCATTTTGCATAGTGCTAGATCGAATAAGGAATGAACTAGAAAAGCGTAAAGCAAACAACCAAGGGCTCATTAAAATTGTGAGAGATTCACTAAATGAATATGAGTCCAAGCTCAATGATCTTCATGAATCTTTGAGAGAGGCAAAGGAACAAACCAAGCTAGCTGAAAATTTAAATAGAGAAAATAAACGCCTCTTGGAAGAGATTAAGGTAAATCTATCTACCTGTCTACCTACTTACCTATCTAGGCTTATGGTCTTTATGCATGTTGCATTAAATAGGGAAAGTTCCATAATTTGGAGAAAATTTGGCAAAAACTATTGCAAGTGTTAATAGATCTGTTACCTTTTTCAAGACAATTCTGTAAAAGATCCTGTGAATTAGATTTCTCCTATGGTTTTTTTTTTTTTTTTTTGCTATTTTATTTTTTTAGAACGCTATAATATAGTTTACTTAAAGACATATTTAAGCAAATGTTTAGTCATCTGGCATGCCCCAGCCCATTCTTTTTGTCCTGCAAGTACCATGACTGACCCAATCATACCAGGATATGTAAAAATTGTTATTTCATGTTCTGTTTCCTTGCCAAATACCTAAGATATTCATCACTGTTCAGTAAAAGAAATAATTCTTCAGCAATGAATATAAGATAGGTTTTCTGCAGAATAGCGTTTTCTCTTGGTTGCCAAAGAGACTCTTTTCAAAGAATAGATCTCCTCAAGTGGGAGGTCTTTCCTTTTGAAAATAGGCAAGAATGAGTGAGGCACTGGACTTATCTAGGAGCTAAATTCAGCCACAAAGTTGTCCTTTAAGGGCAGGACACATTAGGCACAGGGCTGAATGGATGGAAACGTCACCTCTGATATCCATGTCTCTGTGCAGAAAGACAAAGCATAAATAAATCATGCACTAAGTGGGTTGATTTTAGGGGATAAAAGGGACCTCATTCAAGTCCTTGAGGACCATATGAACCCAGATGTTTGGTAATTTAAGCACCTAACAGCAGCATATGACCAAGGGAGAAAAATTCACAGATATTCTCATAAATCAGGTTTAATGCCAGGTTACAAAATTTTAGTAACTAGAAGAGTATGGACCAGTCCTAGTTTGTTAGTGGGTACATGAAGATGGAGTGTTGATGAACTGTTTGAACTTCTTTGTCACTGAATCCCTAAAAAATGGATTGACATCTCGCTTAAGTGGCGAGACTGAAACATCTGTCTTCTATTTAGCTGCCATGTTTTGAAAACCTCTCTCTTCTTTCCCAGACTCTGAGAATTCCGATACCTCACAGAACAATGCCTCTGTTTAATTTGATTATTTATTTGCTGAAGATGTTTCTGAGGAAATAGCTCAAAAGAAAAACCCTTCGCTTTCACACCTCATGATCCACTGTCATTTTATACCAGATCTACATTTCCACCTTCTTAAAAAATGTTATACCATATCACCAAATGAGATTATGAGTCAGATATTGGCTGAATTGCAAACCTTCTAATGCTTTGCATTTCTCTTCTGGAATCAGCCCAGCCACTTTCACCCCAATTATATTGATATTAACCATTCCCAACTACTGGGAGAGCAGCTGGTAGCCTTTCACTATTTTCAGGAAGTTGTTTTTCTATTGTTGGCCCAGCGTCTGAAATGGCTTCCTATGAGAAATGTGTTTGGCCTCAGTGCTGATAGAAGCTTTTGAAACAAAGTTTTAACAGAAAGCTGACATCAAATCTTTTGGAGTTTAGGATTGTCTGTTGACTTTATTTTATAAAATTTCTATTGTTATTGTTTTTCTTTTTATACTTTGAGCTACCAAGAGTCTGCGTATGATTGTGGCAGTATATAAAAATCATATTTAAATTAATATATAAATAGTAATTATACTATGCCACAGAACTTATTTTTGCATTAAAAAGGGGAATCACTTTTTATTTTTCTATCAGAAACAGACAGAAGAGATGACTGGGCAACAGAGTGCTATATGGGATCTTCTGAATTCCGCTAAAACATCGGTGTCTCAAACAAACAGTATATTTGAATTGTTCCAGAAGAGTAAGGAGGTAAATGTGAAAGAATTAATGCTTGTATAAGGCTGAAAGGAGGAAAATAACATTCATATTATGATGAAAATAAGAATATACTACCCATAATGACTTTTTCTTGTAGATAGTAGTAACTGCTTGCAAAATATAGGAGCTGTTACTACTCACATATGAAAAAAGGCATCTCTAGCTCATCTGCTGTATGCAATCTTCATATTGTGTTCAAATGCACAGCCATTTGGGTTTATATAAGAAATTAAAGCAAACAAAAGCTTGCCACTTATTTCTTATAGATATGTAATGCATATTGTTAGTCACAATTCATAAATTTCTCTTCTAATTCCAGGAATATGAAAGCCTAGCTGCCAATTTGGATGGAGCAAAGAAAGATCTGGATGAAAAACTGAAGAACCAATTCTTATCGTCCAGTAAGGAACCTTTGGTAGTGAAAGCGGAAATGTATGCTAACTCTTTACAAGACCTGGCAAGAAAGTTGGATGAGTATGTCTTCAGTTTTATAAATAAATTGTTTTAGAATGGTTTATTCCTTGCTTGAAGTGTTTTATACATTGGATTATGGTTCCTTTCTGTTGGAAAGGTAAACTATCTAGTTATACTGAAACTGATTTAAGAGGAAGAGGGTGGTTGCTGTACTGTACTATAGAGATGAATGACATTTAAAGTACTGGGGGCACAATTAAGTTTCCTGAAGAGGGGCCCAAATAAGGAATATTTGGCTAATAATATTGATTCTGCAAATCCCTGAACTTTTGGGAGACCCAGGGGTTCTTGAACCATGGTTTAACAAATACTGGTTTAGACTATGCCCTCCCCTAGTTAATCCCATCCATTCCCAACCATCCCTCCGAGAAATAATCAGGGATGAAACTAGACACATTTCCATTTTTTAAAAATCTATTTCCTGAATGGATTCGTTTTTATTTCAAATTGATGATAGTCTCTTCTTTAAATGGCAGTACAGTATTTCAAATTAGCCTATCATACAAAATATGCTGTGTTCAATAAAATAGCAAAGTGCTAGATTATCCATCTCTCCCTTTTTCTTTCTTTCTTTCTTTCTTTCTTTCTTTCTTTCTTTCTTTCTTTCTTTCTTTCTTTCCTTCCTTCCTTCCTTCCTTCCTTCCTTCTTCCTTCTTTCTTTTCTTTTCTTTTCTTTTCTTTCTTTCTTTTGACAGTAATTAATGAAAACCAAAGTATCAACTAAAATATTTTAATTTTCCTGACACCTGTACTATATTTTGGCTTCCTCCCCCCCCCCCGCCACACAGACTCAAGAAGAATGCCAGTAAGAACGAGATAGTGACCTGTGCTGTGGGAGCTGTTAACACTTTTGAGAACATTACTGATATTATTAGAGCAGCAGAAGAAGCAGCCAACAAAGCATCAAGTGCAGCAGATTCAGCTTTATCAGTAAGAGTATTCTAAATGCACAGCATACAGAATTGCTTTATATTTTAATATAAATAAATTCAATGAAGGAAGTAGATCTGAGATGTTAGCATTGTTTGGGAAGGCTGGGAAGGCCAACTGTAGAAACCTAGCCTGCCTGTATAAATTCTGAAGACAGGATTTTAGTTGTCTCCAATGAGCCAACTGCCTTAATGTAAGATGCTAACAGGCTGAACATTGTGCTACACTGTAAGAGTAAATGAGCAATCTTAGCAAAAGCTAATTCTTTAAGAGGGGTACCAACCAAACTATAAGAAGATCCTCAGAACATGAATCCATGTTAATGGACTATTTTAATTGATCTTTTACTTCTGTAGAAAAGAATAGTCACTGCAAGCCTAAATCTCAAAGCAAGATCTGGTCTAATTATGACAAGGTAATGGATGTAGAACTACTTTCAGACTGTGCTCTTCCTGCCCAGTAGAAAAATAAACAAACTTAACATGTTATCTATTGCATTGTAGGTCTGTAACGTATTGAGACAGGTCCTAAGACCTCACATAACTTCTAGAAACCTGGAGTGCAATTTCTGGAGATTTCCCAAAGTTGGCACTAAATTGTGATTTTCAGTGTGACCCTTGGGAGAAATGATTGGAGACCAAGCATATTAGATATATGTAATTGTTCTCATCAGAATGCTGTTTAATTAGTTTTTTTGTCTTGGCTTTACAACTATGTACCTTCTCAGTTTCCAGATAATTACTCTGCTTCAAATGAAATTTATTGGGGAAAAAGATAACATTAACTTACATTTGTAATTGCCATGTTTTTTTTTCTTCCTACAAACAAATTCTTAAGAAAAAATAATTGCTGTATGATAGCTTTGGTAGGAAACACTAGAAACATCTTAGATTGCCAGGAGATTTGTGAGGGATGCACATTTTTTTTTGTTACAAAATAGCTACTCTGTGTGTGTGTGAGAGAGAGAGGGAGAGGGAGAGGGAGAGGGAGAGGGAGAGAGAGAGAGAGAGAGAGAGAGAGAGAGAGAGAGAGAGAGAGAGAGAGAGAGAGAGAGAGAGAGAGAGAGTGAGTTTGGCTACTTAAATAAACTTCAAAAGAAATAGATTTTTGTATTGTAACAGCTCTGTTTCTGGAGCATATTGCTCTGTCCTAGCCCTCTTTCTGTGCCACTTACTTCATTTTGCACCAACCTCCAGTTCCAAGTCTTCTGAATTCACACAAAAAAATTACAGCAATTCTGCTACTGGTGGCTTGGATGATGAATTTGTACTTCTTTTGCTGTACAAACCTTTTACCTGGCAGTGCTTCATTTTCAGATAGTGGATGAAAAAGATCTGTTTGGAATGGCTGAAAGACTGAAAACCAACAGTGGAAAAGTGTTGAACAAAGCACGAGAAACACAAAAGACATTGCAAGGTATCTTCAGCACACCATATATTGCAAGCATTACAAAACACAATATAAAGCTTTATGTTTTCATCCTCTACTATTGTTCCAGGCCTGATCTTGTTAGAAGCTAAATTATATTTACCACTGACTGACTCCTTTTCGGAAATTGGCAGTTTTCACATCAGCCTAGATCACAGTCACCACATTTGATAAAAAGAGTATAATAGTTAGTAGTGAAAGTGCTTTTCTTTCTTTTAAGATGGCTTTTCAACAGAATGAGTTTCAGAGAAACAGACCTTACAAAACTCAAGCTAGTAAAAGCTGCGTGTGTGAGAAGGGAGGCTACAAAATCTAGTGGTTTCTACTTGCACTAGTCTTTTACAGTATTGGCAGCTTTAAGATGTATGGAGTTCAGCTTCCAGAATTGTTTGAGATGGATTCCTTCCATTGACTACCAGTAACTGTAAATGATCTGGGAAAGGCTCTGAATCAATTCATGTGATATTTCTAAAACGCTCAAACCAGTCATATTTCAATGTAGTTAAATTTGCCTAGTAGGATTAAAGTGAAAATGAATTTGACTGTGATGGATTCATGGTTTGGCAACCTGGGCAAAAAAATGACAAGAGGAAAGCAGAGAAACCTTATCAGAAAGCAGTGAGTTATAAGAGCATGAATAGTAAAACTACTATTAGTATTAAAATGAGAACAATCCATAATTATCAGGATGATTTATAGTGGATTATTTTATAGATCTCAGTCCAGCACTTGATGATATGAGGAGCAAACTTCAGGAAGCCGAACACAAAAAAACTACAGTACAGGGAGTTCTTAGAGCATTCCAAAATAATCTCCAGGGAATAAAGAGAGGTAAGTAATAGAATGTGGGTTTTTACTAATGTACATTTTGTTGGATTTATTGTACACATTATTTTTTTTATAAAAAAGCATTAAATAAAAAAAGAAAAGAAAAGAATTGTATAGAAATTACATACTTACTTACAATAGTGCAGAATCTAAGCCTCATGTATTTCAGTAGAGAGCATTTTACATTTCATTGTATTTTAAAAATAAATGTTACCCTGAATTTATATGCCACTTTATCTGCCTACTAGATAATATAGAGAGCTTAATCACAACTGCAAATACCATGATTAAGAATGCCAACAATATTACTACAAATGTACTCAGTGAACTGGACCCAATTAAAGCTGGAGTTGAGAACATAAAGCAGACCTATGAAAATGTACAGATTACTGATTTCAACAAGGCTTTGAGAGAAGCAAGCCGTTCAGGTAGCTTTTTTCTTTTACGTGGATTCCTTAAACTATTTTTAAATTAATGTTCAAGTTTGCATATGATATTTTTTATGAAAAAGGACAGTTGTTAAAACTCCTATTGAGTCATCACTTAGCAGACACACCCTGTGAGTGTTATGGAACCAAACGTTGTGGAGAATTTTCTGGAATGGTCAAAACTCAAAATAATTTAGATTTTCGCTGTAGAATAATCTCTTTGAAGAAGTTGCATAGCAACACCTGTCAAAACCTAAATAGCATAGACATATGGAAGGCAGCTCTAGGATATCTAATTTTAGAGAATAAGAGTTTGATAAAATCTAAGCAGGAGTAAAAATATTTGAATCCCCTTCCTCCATTTTAATGTCATAGTCATTGGATTGAAACAGCTGGGAATACAGCTTGTCATGATTTTAGGAATCAAGTCATGGGTAGGTTTAACTTCTTGTGGTAGGTTTAGGTTTAACAGATCACAGGTAGGTTTAATGTGTTAAATTGAAGAAAGTTTATATGGTGAAGCAACTCTGTCACTTCCTGCATCAGCCTCATTTTGTATATAGGAAAAAGTTCCACTTTCTGTTGTATAACGCTGTTAGAGAGCTGTAGTGATTATTGGACTTATAATACAATACTAGTCATGTTTCCTCCAAAATAATAATTCTGTTTCCCAGTGGGTGTTTAGATGAGTCTCAAATTCCTCAACTTGAATGTAGGGTATGGGTGAATAATGTTTGTAGTTCAAGAAATTTGGAGGATGTGAAAGACTGGAAAAGGCTTCTCATACGTTTAATCTTAACAGTGTAGCTATTCCTTCTAGTTTGTGTTCTTGAAAACAAAATAGGGCATAGGAAGCTAGTCAATTATCATTTTCCTTTCTGTGCCCACTTGGGTTTAATACTTGACAAGTAATTAAACTAGTGTATTTTTAATAACTAAAAATTAAGTTTATAGTTATGTTAGCCATAATTTTAATAAATATGTAGACTGGCAAACACTATTTAATATGTAATATCCTATATTTCTCCCTCATTTTAAAATGCTTTCAACAGTAAATAACTTAACAAGCATGCTCCCAGATCTGTTTAACAAGATTACAAATATCAACCAGCAAGTCATATCAACAAGCAATATAACTGAGAATATAAATCGCATCAGGGAGCTCATACAGCAAGCCAGGGATGCTGCAAATAAGGTGTGTGGCAAAAAATGTCTTGTTTTCTTTTTAAAAATTATTCTCACATACTTACCTAAATATTCCTAGGTATCTTAGGATGCCTACATGGGTCAGGCCAATGGGGACAGGAGTAATATTCACAAAACTGTGTAAGTCCAAGTTGGTTGAATTGTTTAAGAATGATATACTGTAAATACTGAATTCTGTGTAAATTGAAGTTTTGTTTTGCTTCCTAAGTTTGTAATTACTTAAAAAACCTTATTTTAGGTGGCCATCCCTATGAAATTCAATGGCAAATCGGGAGTTGAGGTTCGACTTCCTGATATCCTGGATGATCTGAAGGGCTACACGTTCCTTTCTTTCCTTCTACAAAGGCCTAATAAAAAGGAAGACATGTCACAACCGCAGACATCTGATATGTTTGTCATGTATCTGGGTAACAAAGATGTAAGCATTGATTATTTCTTATTGAGCCATTATCATAAATCTATAGCCAAAATATATTTTATTTTATTATAATTTATTCATTTTTTTCTGCAATTTTGAGTTTAAGCCTAAAACTTTTATTTTTTAATTTTGCCTTTAATATTGCTTCTGAGGATTGTTTTTTTTTTTTAACCCTGCTGGTCATTGACCATAATTAAATAAATTGAGGTGAAGAGAGGCATTCTGCTTGTTGCAGAGGCCATCTCCTCATCTTGGGGAAAGTCATGGCTATAACATGGTCTCAATCCAGAACCTTTAAATTATTGGATTCTCTTATCTCTAAAAGCTCTTCATTCTCCCCCCAAAAAGGACCCTGTTGTGGATTGCTACGCTGTATATGAGCTGGAAGCACAATGTGTTTGTATCTTTGAATATGGCACTAGGCACCTTCTTCACTGCTGTTTAATTTGAGATAGCATTTTTAAAATTGTATAACCTTAATATGCCAAAAATGATAAGGAAAAAAAATCAGCAAACAAAACAAGAAAAAGAAAAAAATCAGGAACAGAGGGAAAATAACAATAAATAATATTGTACTATGTATGGAGAATCATAAAGCTTAATTTTTAAATACATCCTTGAAGATCACATGCAATAATAGCAAGCAATATTGATTAGATCAATAAAAAATTCATAAACTGAAAACAATGTAACAGTGTTCCAAAATTTTAAAAAAGAGTCACTCTGTCATGAAAGAAATCATATGTAAACAAAATGTCAGTCTACTACAGAATGCAGAAAGTAACCTCTATGTTTATTAGGCAAATCCTAAGACTTCTACTGTTTTGAATCAAAATATTTACTTTATTCTGGACCTTGAGACATCAGTTCCATGTTTACGTAAGGGTTTTCTTGGCCTGTGTGTCAGTGATCATGTCTCACCAGTTTTAGGCACTAAACAATAAGCTGGTCTAAAATATTAATAACCATACTTTCTGTGACTTCCTCCACCCCAATAAATTATTTACTTGTTATTTTCAATTTGGGGTTTATCATATGAATAAACGTTCAAAATTATCTTCCAAATATATCGTTAATGCAGAAAATAAACAGAATTATAGCTAAAAATAGAGCCAAGCTCCTGTCATTATGTCAAAGCAGGCACATAATTACTTTCTAAAAACAGCAAATGTGTACTATCATGAATTATTTAATTACCCATCCTATTTTAATTCTTCTAATTGGTTCTTTGAATATAATGTTATAATCCTGTTGTTTCATGCGAAGCTTTGGACATTGTGTGTTTTCCATATGCTGTGAACCATGTATGAAACTTTTAGACACATATATAAGTCTGATTCACCTATTAAAGGACATTGGCTGAAATAGGCACCACTTCATCTCTTAATCTGTTAATCAGGGTTTACTACGTGTGCATTTGTGTATATACAGGTAATCCCCGAGTTAGGAATGTTCCCTTAGTGAATGTTCAAAATTACTCAATAAGCACCACCTAGTGTTTACGAAAAAGTCCCGAAATTATGAATGTTGCTGCACCACAGCAGTCATTCACCCTTACAAATGACCCTCCCCCCGCCCTGGGTCTCCCTAGAGAGCCTTCACTTCTTGGCTGTTTTGCTGTTTCAGGCCTTCCGTGTGTTCACAGAGAATGGAGATGTAAAGTACTGCAAGATCACACGAGATCTCATCCTACTGATCTTGCATGACCTCACAGTACTTTAGGACTCTGTTCTCTGCAAACGGAGGCCTAGACGAGATCTGCAGCAAAAAAGCTTTGCAAATGGAGGTAAGTGCTAAAACATCAAAGCCTTCCATCCATTTGCAAAGCCATTTGCCATCTTTGCAAAGAGCCTCTGCTGCCAAGAAGAGACCTCTGGAGCCATGCAGCCGCCATTATGACCTCTGTTCTGGGCATTGGAGGCCTGCAGGAGGTCTCCCTCGCCCAGAACAAACCGGAGACCCACTGCCACTGCTCCCAACTTCCATTCTGGGCAGGGGAAGCCTCTGGGCTTCCCCTGCCCAGAACAGACCTCTGAAGATCTGTTGCCGCGGCTCCCAACCTCCATTCTGGGCATGGGAGGCCTCCGGGCCTCTCACACCCAGAACGGAAGTCAGGAGCAATGGCAGTGGGTCTCCGGAGGTCCATTCTGAGTGGGGAGGCCTCCCACACCCAGAACAGGTTGGGAGAGGCAGCAGTGGATCTCTGGAGATTTGTTCTGGGTGGGGGACGCCTCCTCCTGGCCTCCAACACCCAGGATGGAGATTGGGAGGAGCGGCAGTGGATCTCTGGAGGTTTGTTCTGGGCGGGAGAAAGCATTATCTATCAGATAATTAGAGGATTGTAAATACCATGGGTTCTGTGGAGAATTTTAACCATCCAATTGAATTGAATACCTATACTGAATTTAGATTTATCTCTAAGGCAGCTTTTGTCCCAAGGTGAACACAAGCTTATGTGGGAGTTTATTTATTTTTTTTTAATCTCAACAGACTGAGACAAAATTGAAAACAAGTACCCGACCTGATGATCTTGCTTGCATACTCCTCCTTTGCAGGTGTTATATTTGCTGATTTTTTTAAAAAAGGATTATATAATATGTTGTCTAAAGAATTAACTTAAGCTTTCGTGTTCAGCGTTCCAACTATATTGGTATGGCTATTCGTGGTGGTCATCTTATTTGCGCCTATAGTCTAGGAGGCTCTGAATATGAAATACGAGTGACGGAAAAAATGTATGAGAAAAACACCAGGGACATAGCTTTGGATCAAATCACATTTAAGAGGTATGGACTCTTAAAATAGATCCTTTCCAATCATTTTGCACTCATATTGGAAGTTTTATGCATTTTTCTTCTTCTCTAGAATTTACCAGTATGCAGAATTAGAATACAAGCATGCTGCACCCTCAGATTTGTCAATCAAATATGAACCTTTTCAAATTCCCAGTAGGAATAGTAACACTCTTCTTAACTTGGATCCTGACAAAGTAGTCTTCTATGTGGGAGGATATCCACCAGAATTTACGGTAACAGCTTTATGTCTTATGCAAATATTAAAAAAAATAGATCATTATTTTTTGTAATCCAATAAATGACTCTTCTCATAATTTTATCATATTGTTCTTACAAAAAAGTACTTGGAAAGAATATCTCCACTGCATGATATACCTTGAGAGGTTATTATGTTGTTTATTTTTGATCAAATTTTGTGTCAAGCATTATTGAGCTTTGAAACAAAGAAGCAAACTTTTGAAAATGGAACAAATTAGTCAGCTTCCATGATCTGTTTGATTTTTGGAGTTATAGAAAAAGGTTAAAAGAATGTATAGATTTGTCAAACCTATTGCATTTTTATTTTTTTAATATAAATATAAAATCAATTTGATTTCAGAAGCAGATTTCATCAAAAACGAGAATACTTCAGTTTCTTTGAAGCCTCTGAAGCATCTGCTTAAGACAGGCTTCAGTTAAATTATATTACTCCTGTGGTATATTAGGCAAAAAAAAAAAGTGTGTGAAGCCATTGAAATTCCTTAAAATAATAATTATAAAATAATTGATTTAAAGTTACTATTTCAGATTCTGCATATACTTTCAAGTAAAGTAAGGCCATCTATTTTTAGAGTAAAATTGAACATGGACAATTCACAGAGTTTTCTTGGCCACATTTTTGGAAGTGGCATGGCATTTGCCTTCTTCCAGGATGTTAGAGAGAGGCTTCTAGCTGGCTTCATGCCTAAGGTAGGATTATAACTCCTGGTCTTCTGTTTCTAGCCTAATACCTTTAACCATTACACCAAACTGGCTCTCAAATATAATTGCAATCTGTATAATTAAAGAAGGTAGAAATCCATATCCACAAGTAACTTGCTTTAGAAAATTAATCTGAACCATTTCAAAAGGTTTTCAGCTTCTAAAGATTTTAATGCAGCAGAATCTAATACATCTTGAGCTATGTCCAAAATATCTATTAATAAATGTAAATTCTCTGCTGTCTAGTTTTAATAAATCTGGACTGAGATGGATAAATTATGTATGTTAACACTCACTGCAATGATCTAGCCAACAAAACAGTTAATAATGTCTACCTTAATTAATGATATGGGTTTATACCTTTCCATACAATTTAGAATCTTTATCTGATTTTAAATTCAGTTTATATAAGCCTCATAAAAGATAAAGGCAATTAATAGTATGTAAACTATTTAATATAAATCTCTTAGAATATCAAGCCCCAAATATCTATAAAATATTTATACCATTTAATAGAAAAACCATCTAGGCTGGAGGCTTTCTACTTTTCACCAGCTGAACTGTCTCAAATATCTCTTAAGTTTCAAAGCTGCTTTCAAAATCCCTGCACAATCCTGTAGTAACAGTTGAATATCAAATTCACTCAAAATATTACTCATTTGCTGTTAATCTGTCATATCATCAAGATCATAAAATTACTTGTATTAAAATACAATTGAAAAATTGTAAATTAATATATCTGTGATTCTTTGCCCATTGTTTCAGTGATTACATCTTGTGTTTCTCTTGTTTTAAATAATGTGCTTATTTAGCACATTGCCATCTTTTTCATTACTTTCCCAATATTCAACTTCAATCTTTTCAAAGAAAATTTAATCTGAACAATCTAAAAATTATCCATTTGCTACTTGGATGAATGTAAACTGTGGGATTGTTTGCATATTTCAGTAAACATTCTTTAACTATATTTTCCATAAATTTGCAACCAAGAATTCTATTGTTCTTTATTACAGAGACAATAACCCACTTTATAAGCCTTATATACATCTCTTACAATCAGTAGGCTAGTTAGAATCTCAATTACATTCCAAAAAACTCCTGTTTGCTGTTTGATATAATCAAAAATTGTCATCCCATGTAAAAAAAGACTTAAAATATCATATACCATTAGCTGGAGTACTGTCTGTTTTCTTTCTTTCTTCAGCATGGTATTAACAGGAATGCAATGCTCTGATTACAGATTATTGAGCTCAAAATTTCCATTCCAACTTCATTTGTGAATGAGGGCATGCTATTAACTGTATTTATTTTATTTATAATATGAAGTCAGGGTGGGGGGATTGTGCTTATTCTAGAACACCTCTTCCTTCCCCTCTCCTGCCCCTGAAGGCAACTTCAGCCTCCTATTCCAGATGTATGTTTGTTAGCATCCTTTAGGATTTATTATCCCATTTCTTCCACTTCATTTATCACTCTAGCTTGCAACTATGGCTAAAGGCTTTGTGAGAAGTATTTGATTGCAAACTTGACTTGATACCACACTACTTTCACAGTTTTCCTATACTGTAAGGATGACAACTTAAGAGCCAGATCTTTATTCCTGTGAGAAATGTGTCAGTGTGTGATTTTTTTATTTATTTTGCAGCTAATGAGAAATATGTACTAGATAGAAGAACTGCTCTCAATCTATTTTCTTTTCTTTTTGCATTACAGAGTAACAGGGTTTTGTTGCAGTAGTTTTAGATGGGACACTGAGGGGATAATTGATTTTGCATACCTATTGATCAGCTGAAGAGTAAACACCAATTGTCTCATGATTTTCTCTGCCTGCTTTCTTTATTCTGAAGAATGAGTATAACTGCATGGTTGACTTCCAAATAAGTTGGAGGAATTGAGGAATGTTGTGTGGAAGTGAGATTTTTAGTTATTAGGCTGAATATTCAGTGAATCAGTCAATCCCAAATATTCAAAATTATTTTTGCAATCTTAAAAGCCAAAACTTTTCTTTTTAAATTCTTTTAATTAAGAATTAGAATTTTAAGGATATGGAATTTTGAATATAGTTATAAATGATTGGGTATGTGCAATGCAATAATGAAAATGCATTGGGGGCTACAGAATGTCATGACAATTGCAATTTCTATGTTTATATAGTATTGAGCATTATAGAAATATGCTGCTATTTTTTTCTTGAAGAGTGTTCTTATTTTTACAGCCTCCTAGTACACTGGACTATCAACATTACAAAGGCTGCATTGAATTAAACAGCTTAAATGACAGAGTTTTCAGCTTATACAATTTCAAGAGGACTTTTAATCTTAACACTACTGCGGTGCAACCATGCAGGAGGTAATTTTTTTAAAACTAGATGTGCTTTAATTATTATGGAATGTTATCAAGCACAATCTATGACATTCTGTTTCTCCTATTCAGATATGGATAGTTTTTATCAGCCTTCAAAAATCTCTATGTATCTTTTAAAATCATATTCAGATTTTAAGTTGGTCACGTACATAGCCATGCTACCCCTTGTCCTTCCATCTATTGGGATCTGATCTACAATAAAGTATTCCTCTCCATTTAGTGAGGTATTATTAGTTATCTGTAAGATCAAATATAGGTGGCTGAAACTTTGTTATTATGATTTTTGAGGATCTACATGGTGAAACTATGTAACCACCTCCCCCCAAGGGCAAAGAAATATTTTCTGACAAGTGATCAGAATTAATATTGAAGGGCTCCTTTTAGCTTTGAGCTTGGGTAACTTAAGTACCCTCTGGAGTCCTTGACTGACGCACCCTGAAATGGTAGTTTCAAAATATCGTTCAGAGTGTACTGACTCCAGTGATGATATCTTGGAGATGGAGTCAGTGGCATTAATGTAGAGTCATATGGAAAATTGATAAAATCTGTATGGTGCCAATGTGATGCAAGCCTTAATTTTTTTTTCTACATGTATCGTGACAATATGTGCATGTATTAAAGGGATGAAGTTCATGGCACAGAACTGCTCTTGTCTTTTTTTTATGACAGAGGTAGATCCTATGGATGCCCCTGGGTTAGGTTCATTTTTGAGGAGACCAGTGCGTGATGTAGGCTGGCATTGGCTAGGCATTTTATTACCACTTGAAGAATGCAGTCAGTGAGAGCAGAAGGAATCAGACTAACAACAGTTAAGCTTATTCTCCACTTTTTTTCTGTGTGCCAAAGTTCTCCTTCACATGTATAGCATAGAATTTATATTTCAATTCCCACTGAGCTTCAGTTAAAATATTATGTGCATTCTCTGATACTTCCCTTATTCTGTGGTTGAGCTTTCACATTGCATTAAGCAATGGTTTGTTTGCTTTTGACTTCACATGTATCATCCTTTGCAAGGTAGTCAGATGAGAAGCACACCCAGAAATACTAGTTCTATCTTTATTATAAGGTTACATTAAGAAAATCTTGCAAGTCTGAAAATACATCTCTCCCCCCCCTCACCTTTACAATCCAACAAACTAAGGAGGGTCGCTTTTGAGATGTTTGCCATATCTACATTCCTTCTACTGGCTGAGCTGCCTCTTATTTAACACTTGTCTAGTCTGCAGCTCTTCTCCCTGTCTCTCCAAGATCATTCATACATGCCATTACAATGTGTTAGGTAGGACTTTGCATAAGCAATTGGATCAAAACTTGAAACTGAATTGCTGAATCGATTTAAAGTGGCGGGTTATGTGGATCCCTTCAAATAGATTTAGACTTTAGATTAACTCTTGTGCAGGTGCTATAAGCTTCTTATTGAAGCAATGTGATACACGCACTTCAAATCAAAGTTGAATTACAAGTGTATTTTATTTATTTGATATATACTCCACCTTTCTTCAGGATTATATAGCACTTTTTCCTTCAGTTCCCTTCCCCTCCCAATTGCCCTTGGGTACTGAAACACTGTAAGTGGTCCCAAGTCACCCAGAGAACTTTAGTGGCTGGAAGTGGAGAACCTGAGTTCTCCTATCCTAGTTCAGTCTTTGAGCCATTGTCCCATGCTAGCTCTTTGAATCATGTCTGAGGTTCTTAACATGCTCTTTATGAGAACCCACTGATCATGATTTTGAAATGAGGACTGGTGCTTAGCATGATGTTTGAATTGTGACTTATTCAATAAATACGTTTGAAACAAAAATAGCTTAGTGCAACTTGTGAAGTGAGTTTTGAAATTCAAGGAAATTTGTTCATCTATAGGCTGAAGAAAGATAAAGGAAGTTTGGTTAACTTTCAATTTCTTATCAGACACAGCTTTATTTTATAATTCAAAAAACCAAGTGTAAGCTATTATTTAAACTTCATAAATGTGCAATTGGACTGTTAAAAAGAATAAAAAAACAAACTGACGGAATGATTGTATCTTTAACATATAGTTTACTTCCTTGTGAAGGGAAACACAATTTTCACTTAGTTTGACTGTTTTCTTTGTTTAAAACATTTCTTGATATATCAAATATGCTTGGTAGGATGGTAGTATTTTCATCCGCAGATTTCTTTATTTCAGATACAGAGAACAATCTGCTGAATTTTACTTTGAAGGCATAGGTTATGCACAAATAAAGGCTTCTCCAGGCATAGGAGTCATAAGATATGAACAAACCATTCAAACTGCTTCAGATGTCGGGTTGGTTTTCTTTGCAGCAAATCAGGTAATTAATATTCATGTAAACGTTTCCAGGCAAACTGGAAGGTGGCAGAGAAGAAAAAAGAATGAAATTAGGCACAGGGAAAGGAAGATCCATACAAATAAATATTTCTGAAGCAATGTAAATACGTCAATACTAACCCCAAATTTGTATCTATTAACTTATAATTGAAAATAATTTGAAACACATATTCAAATAACCAGTCATTTCAGATTCCAACATATACTGTATTGTACTGTTGGAAAAATTATTCATAAACAGTTTTGATAGTTTTGTGATATAAAAAAAATAGACTTGGTGGAAGTGCATCGCAGAGATCTATTTTATAAGTATGTATGTACACAATGTATTTGTATAGTATGTGTGTATACGTATTTATGTAGTACATTATACTCTTCAACCCAAGACCTAAGTTTCATCAAAGAAAGAAGATTATTCTTAATTCATTTAAATCTTTTTTTCTCTTATTAAGGAATGATGTTACCTTAACTTAAATGCATCTGGAGGAAGTTTTAAAATACCCAATTATTTTGTTCATAGTTTAAGACTTAAAGAAACAAGAATAGCTGCTTAAATATTTTTAATGAAAACTTACAAAAATGTCCAGCGAAGGAGTGATCTCATCTTATCCAGATTCCTCATTCATTCCACTATATGGAGTTTGTTGGTGGGTGATGTTGCCTTCTGAGTTGGGGCCAGCTGAGTGGGAAAACTGAACTATCGGTTTGCATTTTGTACCCATCCCGAGGGTCTCTTCAGTAATATTTTATTTAAACAATAATAAAGGCATCTCATAAACAGTTTATGTATTAACTAGCATAATCCCAAAAGATAGGGAATAGTTTTTAAAATATTTTAAATATAGGTATACAGATATTGAAATGTTATTCTGGACATGTTGAGAATTTACTTTCTCAGCTGTAATTTGCTAATATCTGTTAACTGCAATAAATTGTTTTCATTGTTTTTCTCAGTAAGCTAGGAATATTCAAATATCACCTGGAGAGTTATTTAGCCATAAACTGTGGAGTGCAGAATTTATGTTTTCCTTTAGGTTACAGATGTGCGGCTTAGGTTTCATAATATTTTCTGAACCTCATTTTTCAGACCTTAATATTGTGTCAAGCAGATCAGCTTAGTAATACTTCCTAGGCCCTTATGATGCTTTGAAGTTTTTGGAACATAACCTTAACTTTCTCACAACTTTATGCTGAGTCTTTTGGGGGGGGGCTAAATAAACAGAAAAATGATCATTGTAGTCTCTGAATGTAGCTATAAAGATCAGACTGAGCACTCAGATCCAATCCCTGATGCTTCATGAGCTACTGCCTCACTTGAAGAAAATGAAAGATATAGGGATGGTAGCTGGGCTTGAATGGCAGTAAGCAAAATGCAATATTCACCTGTTAGAACCTCTGCCCTTTTAATTCATATATTTTGCTAGTCTTGGCCTGTGCTCAAGCAAATGTAGGGCTATTGTTGCCTGTATTCATGAGCATATATAAAATTCCTATTTCAGGTTTCTGATTTTCTAGTTGTCTGGTGATAGAAACAAGCAGCCCGAATGACAAAGCAGAAAGATGCATTATGGCTTTCTCATAGAATAAAAATGAAAAATAGTTGGATGTTGGATTTGTAGCTGGATTTATAGTTGGATGTGAAAATGTTGGTCTTCATTGGCTTCAATCAGTCATTCCCAACAATACTCTCCAGTTGTTGCTCAAAAATGTTTCAAGTTGTAAATCTGTGGGAAAGGATAGCCCTCTTTCTCCACCTAAAAAGGAACAATGCATTTTTTCTTTAAAAAATGAAACCTGAAACAATCAGACTATTAGGAAAAGATTTAAATATTATGATATTTAGAATAAAAGAAAATATGCCTGTTTCAGTTAATGCCTATTTCTGTATTATTTTGCATAAAACATTATTTCTGGATTATAGGACAAGTTTATTAGTTTGCGAATCGAAAATGACCGCCCAATATTCACATACAAAGTTGATTCACAACCTCCAAGAGAAATAACAAATGGAACTATGAGCAGTGTAACAGAAAAACTGGTAAGTTTCTCTGCACAAAACGAATCTCAGGCTTGTTATCATTATGAAAATGCTCACACACGACCCTTTGCAATGTGCTAGCTATTTTATTAACCTTAGCTACACATATAGAAATTTTTAAAATTTATTCTTAAAACAAATATGTGAGATTGCTCCCAAATATATATGTCAGCATAAGGGGACATTATGTAGGAGATTAAGACTGTGTGTCAGTCCCACCACCAAATTTGTCATACTCTGGCTTTGCCCCTCCAGACAAAAGGTTCTCAGGAGGAGGTTGGATTAACATGTTTGGGAGCTTCCATATTATCAGAATGTTGATGTCAGAAGGTTCTAAGACAGTCTTGCCCAACTTTACTATCTTCTGGGTATGCAGAAGATGGGAGGGTTCCAACACCTAGGCTTCTCCGCAATGGCCATGCTGGCTAGAGAATTGCAGGAGTTGAAATCTGCATTTAGGTTGGGAAAGGCTAAACATGATTAATATTCAGCAGAGTGTTTATGTAAAGATTAGGAAATCAGCCAGCAATGAAGAAATGTCTCAGGTAGCAGTTGATGGAGAACAGGAATATCCTTTGCTTATTCCTCCTGAATAAACAAAGCATTTTCGGGTTGTTGAACCATCACCCTGTTAACTACAAGCCCAGTTGCTCTTTTTTAATATAAAAAGGCAAGGGGTGTTGTCTTTTTGTTTGCCTCAGGCAGCGGAATGTTTTCATGCAGATCTGAGAAAAAAAGATATCTTATTTAAGTTGCTGCCAGCGGATATTACCCCAGCTGCTTATGTATCCCCTGCCTGTAATGTTCAGGCCTCATGCCTGGTTATCTCTGCAAGGATTGTGGAGTGGAACTGCCAGTCAAAGTTAGCAATGCTGAGCACTCCCTCTTAGCAGGAGGAGAGAATTACTACGGAGAAAGGGATTTTGAGGGATAGTCTCAAAACCCACGCCTAGGAATACCTGTCAGGGAAAGAGGGTTAGGAGTCATTTTTAAAGCTGGAGTGGGGTAGCAGTTATGAGATAATCTGTGGAAATCAGTAAATCTCTTTTCAAATTCCATTTTGTGGTCATTATTTAGCAAAAAATCCATTTATTCTTTTATTGCTATATTAATCAAGGGTCTGCACTATCTTACATCTTTCCCACATTCAGTTATATTGTCTTAGAGGTTTAAAGAATGTTAAATCCTCATTAGGACTTGATGGTATCAAAATAAAAGGTAATAGCAGAAAAGATTGGTATAATGCAGAAGCTCCCATGTTGTTCAAAGGAAACGTTTTTAAGTTTGAAATTTGAAAGTAAGCAGGGGGGGGGGAATGAAAATGCTTTGTGCTTGTTGGCCATATCAACATTTTCTATCTTTTAGAAAAGAACTGGAAGCTAATATATATTTCTGGCAAAGTTTGTGTTGCAGCTTTTTTAAAAAACGTCTATTTTAAAAGAGAACTTTGGGTTTCTTCTCCCCTCTTGTTGATTTTGTTTCCTGTTGACTATATTTTAGTATTGTCTTAATTTTTGTTTCTTACCTATAATATTGACTGTTCATTGTTTTAATTAATTATTAAAAACTAATTCAAAAAACATAAAAAGGCACAATATTGGAAATAATAAAGATACCACTTGTAAATATAAATGTTGAAATCATAATGAAATAACGAATAACACAAAAGGCTTTAAATCTGATTGTTTTATTTGTTTCAGGTTATTTTACATATTTCCCCCAAACAATATATTTTTGGGGTTGACAAACTTAGATTATATGCCAGCGTGAATACATTTCATTTTGATTCATATTACTTGGGAGGAATTCCAAACTCTCTAAGAGAACGGTAAGTGGCACCATCTTGAAGATAGGAACTGGTGCAGAGTAGTAAGGATGCATGTTAGGCCTTGGCCATGCTGAATGCATTCTTGCACCTGGATTGTGGTTTAGCTGGAGACTTTTGCCTTTCTTGGGTTTGGTACTGATGCTTGGTATGGTTATTGTCAGTCATCTAGAAGCAACATTACTGTATATAATGACTGAGGTGCATTTGGCTTGATATGTTATAAGTTCCTCAAGCTTGATGTAAGTTAACAGAAAGAAGATCCAGCTGGATGACTAAATAATTCTTTCCTTCTTCTAAGCTGGAATGAAAAACTTTTTAACTAAAACTTTTTCCTTCTGGAAATTGAGCTTGCCATTCAAATGATCTGGGGATAATATACAATCATAATTTTTTTTCCAAAAGAAGTAAGAATGGGGATGCTGCTATTTTCTATAGTTTCTAAACCTACGGTTTTAGAATATGTATGTGGATTCCAGAATTTCCCATAGTATACTTTTTTTTGTACAAAAAATGCACTTGGTATAAACATGTATAATTATAAATAATAGTAAGAAAAAAACTCTTTATTTTCTTTGTATAATTTAAAAAATACGTTATTCTTTGAATAAATATATATTTTGAAGAGAAACATACAAACATAATTTAGAGATGAATAAGAATTGTTTGTTTTCTCCTGTATGGTGAATTCTACTCTCAACAATGCAGTCATCACAGACATTAAAGAGGATGTAAATTCTTTACCATGGCTTTACAGCAATTGGAAAGTTTATTCATTTATTAGATTTTTATCCCGCCTTTATTATTTTTATAAATAACTTAAGGCAGTTAACATACGTAATACTCCTTCCTTTTCCTATTTCCTACCACAACAACTGTGTGAGGTGAACTGGACTGAGAAACAGTGATTAGCCCAAAATCACCCAGCTGACTTTCATGCCTAAGGCAGGACTAGAACTCAGGGTCTCCTGTTTTCTAGCCTGCCGCCAAGACCAAACACTAGATCAAAGTGCAACCCTTTTCTCCCTGTATAGTTTATGGAATTCTTTCTGATAGTGGAGAGTAGTTTATCTACCCCAAAAGACAAGAGATTTGCATAATATCAACTTTAAAGCTGTGGTTTGCTGATTGCTGTTATTTACTTATTTTTTGGAAGCAGGTTTAATATACCCACACCACCATTTCGTGGGTGCATGATGAATATTAAAACCTCATTTGAACGTTCCATAAGCTTCTCTGAAAGTTTTGGTGTCAGCAGAAAATGCCCGGGGGATTGGAAGGTAAGTAATCACCACTTCTTTTATTACTTGGTATTACTCCATAATGTTCACAATTCTTTAATTCACAATTCGTCTTCATTATTTAATCATAATACCTCTAAATATTTCTAAAAATATGAAACATCTGTTAATCTTATTATAAATAATAGAGAAGCAAGCAAAAAAAAGATCACTCACTAGTTTTAAAAAGAAAGTGTTTTATCATCTACTTGTATTTTTTAGCTGGTGAGAACTGCAAACTTTTTCAAGAATGGAGTTCTTGACTTAGATGATAAAGATTTTCCATTTCCTGATAATTTCCAAGTTGGATTTGGTTTTCACACATTGGCAGTTAATGGAATGCTATTAAGTTATAAAATACGGGTAAGAAAGATAAATTATCTTTTGTTGTCTTCTAAAATACAGTCAGATTGCTTTCCTACAAAATCTAAAATCTCAATATTCAAAAAAAATGTCTGTTTCTTTTTCCTTCTTTTAGCTTGCTGATTTTACTGTTTTCCTAAGAAATGGCTATGTAATTGTAAACTTGGCTGATGAAGAAATCCAATCGAGCAAAAAATGTGAAATTGGTTCAATGCATTACATAACAGTGATAAAAGAAGATGATACGTATGTTTAAATGATTATTGTATTGAGTAATGCTTTGGTCAAAATATAATTGTATTGTTTAATTTGATGCTTGGTTATAAAGGTTGTGAATGTTTAAACTGTATTAGAAATAATAAGTCAATGGATCTGGATCCTGAGAATGATTTGTTTTTCACAGAGGTATTCTTGAATATGACAGCATTATTAATAATAAAATACAAAATTACTTTGTTTGGAGGGTGGCAGATTCTAAGACAAATTACATAGTGATGTGATATATAATAGGAACTTTGGTAACAGTTGCTGGAAGGGAATGTACAAATGATATAAGTGAATAATAATTATTTAGTATCATAATAGTTTTGCCATGATAATTTCACTCTCATATGCATTTTTTGTCCTTCTAGGCTGACGTTATTAGTTGATGATATGCCTAACTCAAAAACAGTTGTAACACCTGAAAGGAAATTAATAAATCAACCAATAAAACTGGGTGGGAATAACTTTGAAGGGTGTATGTCCAATGTCTTTATAGAAAGGTAAATATATTATGTAATCATATTCTATACATGGTGATCTATTTACTAGAGCAGCGGTTCTCAACCTATGGGTTGCGACCCCATTTGGGGTCGAATGACCATTTTACGGGGGTCGCCAAACAACGCGATCCACCATTTTTCCCTCTCAGGGGGCCGCGCATGCGCGCCGCACATGGGGGCGGCACCGCGCATGCACACCACGCATGGGGGCGGCACCGTGCATGCACGCCGTGTGACCAGGGTTCACTGTATAAAAAGGTTGAGAATCGCTGTACTAGAGCAAAGCACGAAATTTCCAACATGATTTTTGAAAATACTAAACAATCCATGATCCATTGGGTCATTCTTTCAGATATATTTGAAAGTGCAGGGACCGGTGGGGATTGTATAGATGTGGGAGCAACTTGTGACCTTTTCTGCAAAGTTTCCCATTGACTTTCTCCCTGCAAGCTTCCCAGAAAGGAAATTGCAAGTCCAAATCCACTAACGTGTTGCCGCCATCAGCCGCAGTCACATGAACCCTTTCTCTCTGTAAGTTTCCCAGGCTTCCCTATTGACTTGTGGGAAGATGTTAGGGAATGTTGTAAATGAGGATCAGATGACTATGGTAATGATGGTGTACAGTAGCAGCTAGCAACACTGAAACAGCAAGAACTTTCCAAAATTTCACTTCAGTGAGATTAATTAGTCCCGGCATTCTGTAACTTAACCCTTTTGAAGTACTTTGGTTGAAAATGTTTTGCCCTATGATACATTGTTTCAACCAGTTAAAGGTTACAGTCACAAGAATTTTACTGGTATATAGATTTTTGTGATGTTTTTAATGACCAAGCAAATTTACAATAGCATAACATATTGGAAGAAGACAAAACTATATTATGTAGAATGTCAGTCATCCTTATTTTTTATCATTTGTATTGCTTCTGTTTTCCTTACTGTTTCCTAATCGGCAGGATAGGTGATTCAGGAGAAAGTATACAACATACATGTGATTTGTACTGCATCGCCTCATCAAGTACATTTTTTAAAGTGTATCTTAATCTTTTGTCTCTACCTATTTACTTTGAGTTTAAATCTCCAGGACCAGATAGATTTTTTTCTTCTTTTTAAAAAATATTTATTTAATTTTAGAAAAATACTTTGTCCTACTCTGGTCTTGGAGACTTAAACTCAAAATATCCAGGACTTTCTCCAGGACTTTCTCGAATGCAAGCTATGGTCCTTCACTTTCCAAGTTTGCAACTAATATATTATTCAGATAAACAGCTAGTTCATTTATTCTTTTCCTTTTATTCTGAATATATTGAAATAAGCCTTTTTTGTTATTCCTACATCCTTCTTTATCCACATCATGCTTTGCTTTCAGCAAGTTTTATTCTTAACCAATTTATATAAACAATAATATGCTGTATCGTTATTCTTTTATCTCCATACTAGTTCAGAGCTACCTGCTCAGGTTCAAAATTTAACCGGTTCTGTTAAGAGAGATGTGTCTCTAGGGTTCTGTATGATTCCAGAACGACAAAAGCCAATGCTGTTGAAAGAATTGCCAGATGCACACCATCCAAAGATTTCAAAGGTAGGGAATGAAGTTAAAGAAAACTCTTTAATTTTTCTGTGTTCTGTTATACAACCATATATATAAAGTTTGCTACCTATTTTTATCATGAAAAATAATACAGAAAATAAACAATAGGGCCATGAAAAATTACAAGCAGTCAAAAAATACAACAGCAGCAGTGACAATTCAGGCAAAATTTGGAGGGAATAAATCTTCAGCTGATAGTGAAAGTTTGTAAACCTAAATACAGCTAATAGGGGTAGAATTGCACAATTAGGACACATATATTCAGAATGCTCTTTGCAGCATTGTCCCATAATGAATAGCAAATTATGAATATTAAGGGAGCATCTCCATTAGCAGTCCATGGAAGAGTAGCTAGAGATAATTCAATATAATAGGTATTCTATATCTATGCACTGATTTAAATGAGATGGGAAGCATCCTCCACCACTTGTATTGCAGAGAACAGCTTGTTCTTTCAAAGATGAAAATGTCTTAAGATCTGTGACAGGAACTAAGAAGTAAAGTAATACAAATAGTAATAATAGTGGTTACCCATCCTGCGTAAAGGAGAAGTGAATTCATGATTATTATAAGAAACACATAATCCTAAATGATTTTCCCTCTTAATAAACCTCTATCTTGTATTCCTGGAATCGTCAATTCTAAATATGTTGTTGTTGTTAACTGCGAAGTCGTGTCCGACCCATCGCGACCCCATGGACAACGTTCCTCCAGGTCTTCCTGTCCTCTACCAGGACAGGAATACTAAATATATATATATATAATTTCCATTTCCAGAAAAGGAAAACTATTGCCTATTCGACAGATTCAAATAGACAGCAGAACAAGAATGACTGTCCTTCGCATGCTGGGTTAAAATTTGTCCCTGAAGCCTACCACTTTGGCAATAATCCAGGAACTTATTTATTGTTTACAGTATCCCAAACATCAACAGACAGGTAATGGGATTTATTTTTATTTTGTTCCAAATAGAAACCAGTACCTGAAATTTAAGCCTTAGGTAAAGTCCAAGCTTTTGATTCATTGGAATATATAACATATATGTATACATGATCGTATGTGTGTATGTTCTCTCTCTCTTCTCTCTCTCTTATACACACACTTGAGTGTATGTTTATATGGGACGGCTGGCAACTAGGTCCTAGATTTAGTCTCATTGTGATACACAACGTGTCTACATGCTGCAGTGTGAACTCATGTTTTGTGTTCTTCATTACCTTATGTAACAAATTATGCTTAATAGAAGTAATATAAAAAGATATATAGCATTTGATCATTTCTATGATAATGTAGCTTTGACTTTATGATTGCAGCCAGTTAAAATGTCTGTTTAACCAAGAATTTCAGTAGATAATTTTTTAGCAAACCCTAACCATCTTTTACAATAATAATAATAATAATAATAATAATAATAATAATAATAATAATAATAATATCATCTGAAATAGAATCGCTGCTCAACACTGTCCGTATATATAGCCAAGATATTGTAAAGGAGTTTGGCTTGGACAAATGTGCCACTTACTATCAAACAAGGAAAAATAGTGAAAACTGAAGGAATCAAGATGCCCCACGAAAATAACATTAAGAGTCTGGATGGGGAAGATTACTACAAATACTTGGGTATCCTTCAAGCTGACAACATCAAGCACACTGAAGTCAAGAAAAAGATTAGAGGTGAATACATCAAGAGAGTGAAGAAGATCTTAAAATCCAAACTCAATGGAGGAAATACCATAAAGGCAATCAACACCTGGGCAATCCCAGTCATTAGGTACACAGCTGGAATAGTGGACTGGACTCAAGCAGAACTAAAAGCAATGGATAGGCAGACCGGAAAAATAATGACAATGAATCATGCCCTTCATCCACGCAGTGGCATTGATAGACTTTATCTACCAAGGCAAATAGGTGGGCGTGGAATGCTACAAGTACATCAGATGGTTGAAGAAGAAAAAATGGCTTTGGAAGAATATCTGAAGAACAATGATGAAGATGCACTGAAATTAGTATATCAGGAAGGCTTACTAACTACTGGAGAGACCAAACTGGCCTACAAGAAAGACCAAATGAAGAACAGAATAGAGGCATGGGAAGACAAAGCACTACATGGCCAATACATGAAAAAAATAGCTGGGAAAGCAGATAATAATAAAACCTGGCAATGGCTAAGAGCAGGAAAATTGAAGAAAGAGACCGAGGGACTAATTCTGGCTGCACAAGACCAAGCCTTAAGGACAAATGCATACAAAGTCAAAATTGAGAAGACAGCAACAGACAGTAAGTGCCGCCTATGCAAAGAAGCTGAAGAAACAGTGGACCACTTGGTAAGCTGTTGCAAGAAGATTGCACAGACTGATTACAAGCAGCGGCATGACAAAGTAGCAACAATGGTGCATTGGAAGATCTGCAAAAAATATCATTTGCCTGTAAGCAAAAACTGGTGGGATCATAAAATAGAGAAAGTCATAGAAAATGATAAAATTAAACTGCTCTGGGACTTCAGAATTCAAACAGACAAGCACCTGCAACATAACACCCCAGACTTAACAATTGTCGATAAGAAAGACAAAAAAGTCTGGATAGTGGACGTGGCAGTGCCTGGAGACAGCAGAATAGAAGAGAAAGAACTGGAGAAGATAACAAAATACAAAGACCTACAAATAGAAATAGAAAGACTGTGGCAAAAGCAAGCAAGGGTAGTACCAATAGTAATAGGCTCCTTGGGTGCAATCCCAAAACAACTGGAGCACCACTTGAACACCATTGGCATTGACAAATTCGCTATTAGTCAATTGCAAAAGGCGGCCTTATTAGGAACTGCTTCCATCCTGCGACGATATCTGTAATACCATCAGACATCCACATCTGCCTATCCCAGGTCCTGGGTAAGGACTCGATAGGTAGACAAAATGCCAAATCCAGTCTGAACATCTGGCTGACTGTGCGATGATCAATCAGAATAATAATCAGAATACAAATCAGATAACAACTATAGAAGCAGAGAATTAATAGTAAAGCAATGAGAAGTAAAACACATTCTATTTCCACTTTGCTTTGTCTTTTTCTGCCTTCTCTTATTCTTATTTTTTATGTTTGTATATTCAAGATCCCATTTTGCTGTTGATATTCGTACATCATCATCTAGGGGAATGGTCTTCTTCATGGGAGATCAGATGGGGAACAGATATGTTGCTCTTCATCTTTCAAAAGGACGGTATGTCCTTGCAGTTGCCTATGATGGAAAAAAAATAAAAATCAAGAGCAAAGCCAAATACAATGATGGACAGTGGCATACGGTGAGGATGGGTTGCTTGTGTTTTTCTTTCTAAACAGTATTAGTTGTTTTGTTAGAGTATATCAATGTATCACATGTCTAGATACTCAAGACCAGAAGTCAGAAATGCTTTCACTATTGGACACAATTACATTTCTTCTTGTAAAGTTATGAGCATCTTTTTATTTAAAAAAATTAATTAAAATTAGGCTTTTTTTTCAAAAATAGATTAATCAAAATCTGTCTATGTTGCAAATTTAGAGATTGATTGATTGGTTTTCATTGACTCATTTTCTAAAAGAGTCTTTGAAAGTATCTGTGGGAACCACGCTGCCAGTCACTATTCTATCTCGTTTCTTCTGCCTATCCAGTATGCTGGGGCAGAGTGGATATGCTCCTGGTCCTTTTCTTTAGTTGGGACTAAAGGAACATGTCTTCTCTGTTGCAGCTCTGCCCGCCCTAGAGATATGTATGTCTCTCACTCTCCAAGGAAGTCTCTTAAGACCTGGCTCTATTCCTAGGCCGGGTGTTAGAGCAGAGGCCCCCAATCTTTTGAACACCAGGGACTGATGCTGTGGAGAAAGGGTTTTCCGTGGACTAGAGGGGGCGTGGTTTTGCAAACTGCCTGCATCCCGCAGATGGGACTTTGCTTGTTTGTGTGGCCCAGTTGCGGGCATGCCACAGACAGGTGCTGATCCACGGACCGGGAGTTGGGGACCCCTGTGTTAGAGGATTTGGGGTGCCCTGTTTCCTAAATGTTCCTGATGTGGTTCAGTGCAGGCAGCCATGTTTCTTGTGTTTTGTATTTTAAATATTGTAAGCTTCCCAGAGCTTTTTTGAAATCAGGTAGCCTCAAAACCCAATACCCAGATAAATGTATTAATAGTTTTTGCTTTCAGTACACTGTGAATATTCTACAGCATGCCATTTTTTTGTTTGTTGAGTTTATTTTTAAAATGTGCTTTTTTAAGTCTAAGGTCAATTAAGTATTGCTTAATCACCATTTGAGATATCAGTTTAAGATTATGTTTCTCTCCTGAAAAGGTGGTATTCAGCATTAATGAAAAGAAAATGCGCCTTATAATTGATGGTTTGAAGACTCGCGAAGGAAACCTACCATCTTCTTATCCTTATTCCCAGATTGATGCATCAATATATCTAGGAGCTGTTCCTTCATTAAATATTCAGGTAAAATTGAGAAGTTGTACTATATGAATTTAAATAGTTATGTACACTTTTACCTCAGATTATCTATAATTGCCAAGGCAGTAAATGTTTCTTTTTCTCTTTCAAGTCCTTGTTATTAATGGAAAACTAAAGTATAATACTCATGTCATATTTCCATCTTGACTGTCACTGGGAAATGAAGATGATAATATATAAACTCAATTCCAATTTTGAATAATCACATTCAGGTACTTTATAGCCACACAAAACATTATGTAGCATCAGAATGGAAGCTAGGCTAATAAAGAGAGCAATGTCATAGTTACAGATTTTCATCCAAAGAATATTCTAGAAATATTTTTTTGCATGTTTTGTTCATGTGTGGTGTTCATAATGTTATTGAGCAAATCACTGGAGGTTCTTAAACAAGGGCTTGCTCAACCTGAAGTAATTTGCTCCTCATTAAGGATTGTCTTCATTTTGCTGGACATCTAGTACCTTACCATATACAGTAGGCTACATGGGGTGGTAGTAGTGATATAATGTATGTAATAATATTATTATTCCAATCTATATTGGGTATATGTATATTCAGAATATTCCAGAGAAGAGTTTTGTGGGCTGCTTGAGAAACTTTCAAGTTGGGAGAAAACACATGTATACTTACCAGCAAAATAATGGTGTCCTGCCTTGCTTGGACAATATTTTGGAGAATGGTGTTTCATTTTTCAACGAAGGGGGATACATTATGATTGGTGAGTATAATAGGATAAGTTATTTATTCTGATCTAAAATTCTGTATGTATGTTGTTATCCTACCACATGAGCATAGCGCCATGGGCACAGAGAAAGGAATCCATAGCACTTCTCTATTTTATCAAATAGCTACTCAGAGAATTTTTCTGGAAAGCAGTATGGAACTGGGTAATACTTTTAATTTTCTTTTGAACAAAACTATTTCCCCCTTTTTAATTCCAGAAAACACTTTTTTAATAAGCATGGAATATAGGATTGCATTTAACATCCGCCCAAGAAGTTTCACTGGCATTTTAATCCATGCGGGCAGTAGTCAAGAAAACTATTTAACTCTTTACATGGAAGGAGGCATGGTAGGAATGATTTTTGTCTTGTTTCCTCTTCCTTATCTAAAATGTTACATTGTGCTGTGGACTGAAAGGGAGGGAATGATTCTGGTCTTGAATTCCTGAAGTACACTACCATTTGTTATTGAATCTCCTTTCGGAAGATCTTTTATAGCTGTAATCGCCCAATATATCAATGGACATTGCTGGGGTGCCTATTATGCCCTTTGCTTCATCTGATTACTTAAAAGGAAGCTGAACAAAGGAAATCCCGCCGTCACTTTATTTCCTAGAATGCCTCTGGCTTTACATAGGCCTTAGGAATTCTTTAAAGAATGAAATGGTGCAACCTAGGACTTATTAGAAGGTGAATTCGGAAAACAATAGAGAGGAAATAGTAAAAAATATCCTGAGAATTTGACAATAGAAAATCTTCAAAGTTTGCCTCCCTGAGAAACAAAAATTTTGTAATTAGCTTTGTCTTCCATAGCAGTCCTTTTATTTGAATACCTACAACATGCAGTCATCATTCCAGATAAAGCCATCAGCCCCTAAGATAGAAATTTTATGGAGATGTGGTTTTCATATTCTTTACTTTTACAAACTGAGATATAAGGCCACAGTACACAAATCATACAATAGTATTATGACTGGTGTGACCAAAAAAAAAGGGCAGGTGAAGGGTGGTGCTCTATAAATGGTATTTTGATGGAATTATACTGAAAGATTATTATTGAGTTTTATGCTTCAAGAATGAATGCTTCTGAGATTGATAAAAAAAATCTATCCCTTTCCCGTTATTGGCAGTACGAGTTAGCTTAGTCTCTTATATGTGTGTTATTGTAAGTTACCAGAGACAGGTAAAATTAGTAGTCTCAACCCAGGGAAAACCAGTTGAAAAACCCCAGGTTAGTGAAATACAGAATTTAGAAAACTTTTCTCGGGGAATTCTCAGGAGATGGTAACTTTCTTGAAGCATAGCAATCTGAAGAATAGCAGTCTGTTTCTAAAGCTACTGATAATATTAGTAAAGCTCAGAAAATCTGACAAAGATGTGTTCCTTGTGTGTATTTTTATATTTAAATGTATTCTTATTGTTGGTAGTCATTGAAAAGTTTTCTTCTTTTCACAGCTCACTGCCTCTGGAAATAATAGTGCTGGAGTGTTTTCTCTGTCAGTCACACCTCAGCAGTCTCTGTGCGATGGACAGTGGCACTTTGTAGCAGGTATGGTGGAGTTTCATTCATTCACTCTTTAGGGAGAGGGCAAAATGTAAGTCAATGTGAAAGAACTTTACAAAAGCATAGGGTCTTTTCCGAGAGACAAATTTAACTCTTTCAAAGTAATCCCTAAAGACAACTAGAGGTTTGCCTATTCATAACAAAGTTTTATGAAAGTTGGCATAATTGTTTTTGCTGTTTCCTTATAATGTATCCTCAATAGTTTTCCGATATATTTTGTCAGTCAAATAGTAGAGAAATAAATGAATGTTGTAACTTAAATTACTATGAAAAAACGAAAGTAGAAAAGTATGTGATTGAAGACCAAATGACATTGTACGTCATCTAAATATAATATTGGCCTAACTTCTATTTTCTCTTTTGAAAATTATCTTTTGAAGGAAGGAATATTTTGCAATAGAATAGGGAGAAATCCCTGAGATTTCTCCTTGATGAGCTTCTTTCTGCAAAAGGTTCAAGACTCAAGTTTTGCAGGATAAAAATATAACCAATTCCATAAGAGTAGTTGTAGAGTTGGACAGGCAGGTGGGCTTACAGTATGCATTTTTTTTAAATAAATAAACAAGGAAAAGCAAGTTGGAGGTAGAAAATGTAAATATGAGACATATTTCATGAAGTGTAGCATAATTTTCTTCTTAATTTCATGATTACTGCGTTTGCCCATCACTGAAGGGATTGACTTAGAATGTGACAAAGCAAATTATTTTCAGATACGTTGAGAAACAGAATTGAATGAAAAGCATTTATTGACAGTTAGTTATTTAGTTAGTTAGTTAGTTAGTTAGTTAGTTAGTTAGTTAGTTAGGTACCTAACTAGCTACTGTTTTGGGTGGGATATGGAACTGATTTTTTCATCTGATTTTTTTATAGTGTCTCAGAAGCAGAATATTATCTACTTAGATGTAGACACAAACAGAAATTATATTGCTGCACTATCTTCTAAGCTTTCTACCAGCCATGCTCAGCCGCTCTATTTTGGAAGAGTTCCAGGTATGAGATTTCTTTGTTTTGGAAAAAAAATAAGTAACTGTGATAATACTCATTTAAAAACAGCTAAGTTTCTGTCTCATCCATTATGAACTTTCATCTCTCTGATGATCAAAGCAAAATCCATTGTTAATTGCCTGAATGTATTTTATTATCTTTTTTAAAAAATAAACATATGCAAGAACTGGGGGTCAGAAATAATCAGACAAGAGCAGGAGTTTTATTATCATTTTGAGATATGGCCTTGTTCTTAACTAGCTATTTTGCATCAGGAAGCAAGATTTTATTGCTTCTATTTTTCTTTATTTGAAGCAACTTGTAGTGATGTTTCTCACAGGGAACAATATCTTTTGGGCACAGGTGTAGCAGAAGAATGGTTACAGTCCCCTCTAACCATGCATTCTAAATATTGATCAGGATTTCTTGAAACTCTAACATACATTTTTAAATGAGACATATATAATTATAGTGCTATTGTCATGTATGCACACGTAGGGAAAGGAACAATGTCCAGAAGTACCATAAGTTTTCTAAAGTACTGGTTCAAGATTATACTGTAAATATTGGGATATTTGATTACTTTTGGATGGTGACACTTTAAATTATTTGGGAGAATAAATACCAGAAAAACCTGATAAGGTGAAATTTCCTGACAGTGAGAACAAATAATTAGTGGAACAGGTTGCCTCCAGAAGTTGTGGGTGCTCCATCACTAGAGGTTTTCAAGAAGAGATTGGACAGTCATTTGTTCAGAATGGCATAGGGCAGTGATGGTGAACCTTTTAGAGACCAAGTGCCCAAAAACTGGCCCTGCCCCTGCTCCACCCCTTGCCCCACCCCCAGCCCACCTGCCCGCAGGGCCATTCACCACCTCCAGGGCCCGCTGCAGATTGGCCAGGCAGCCCAGCAGCGCCATGGCAGCCACGCCCTCTGCCCGTACCCCGCAGCATCAACTGTACGCGATCGGGCGTGAGGGCAGAGCCTTGTCTACACTGCCTGGCTGCCATGTCCTTGGCTATGCTGCTCTGCATGGGCCACGCTCGGGGGCAACTCTCCTCCAGGGGGGCTGCTGGTGAGGAGGGGGTCATGCGGGGAGGCAAGGCTGGGGCAATAGCAAGTGTGCCCACAGAGAGGGCTCCGAGTGCCACCTCTGGCACCCTTGCCATAGGTTTGTCACCACTGGTATAGGGTATCTTGCATGAGCAGGGGGTTGGACTAGAAGACCTCCAGGGTCCCTTCCAATTCTGGCGTTCTGGTATTCCATTAGTCTGACTTTCCATGTTATCACTGAAATTGTTTCATACTGTATTAGAAATCATTTTAGCCACCATTTTGCTGTTGAGGATCTTTTTCTTATATTAGTTACCAGGAGAGACTGGAAATTATACATGTCAGGGTTTGGAAAATATTCACAAATCAGGTTTGAGTGCAACATATAGCTTAATGGAGTCCTCTTTGCAAAAACAAGGAGCAAAATGTGTATCATGCTTGTCTTCGCCATAGGAAACCCATCCTTGTGCTTATCTGTATAAATATGCATTAACCCCCCTTCAGATCAACTAAAATAATATAATGTTTTAGTTATTAGAATTAATAATGTGGCTTTATATACCAAAGAATGAGTGAAGAGTTTACAGCTTTCCAGAAGCTACTGAATGTCACCTTCCAACTGATTAATAGATGGCAAAATTATTCTGGAAAATGTTCAAACATTTAGTATCACACATTCTTTATACTACTACTACTACTACTACTACTACTACTACTACTACTATTACTATTATCATGAACATCATCATTATCATTATTGTCATTGTTCATTAATTCTTCACAATGTTATCCAAACTAAGTCAGAGAAATGGCTCCTATATGTATATTATAGCAGACTATATCTAATATGTATTATTGCAAATATTAAGAAATGGTAATAGCATTGCTATGCATCACTAACATTTTGCTTTAAATGGAAATAAGAACAGCCTATTTCATTCAAATATATGTTAATAAAGATATTAACATTTCTCAGAGACTGTTATTTTCAACAATATCCAATTGTTCGTATATTATATATTTAATCAATGTTTATGCTTTGTCTTTACAGTTAATTTGGAAACACCATGGCTTCCAATTCAGGATGTGTTCCTTGGCTGTTTAAAGAATATGAAAATTAATGACAAATCTATTTTATTAAACAAAATGTCAAACATTCATGGTGTTGTCAGCCTGGAAGGGTGTCCTGTCTATTAACTGTTCCATATATATATCTTCTGAAGATAAAGTCATCTAATGTGCTATATGGATAGTCACAATATGATCTCTTTGATCTCTTTCTTTGGTCTTTTGCCCTTGTTACCATCACAGTTCAAAAGTATGTTTTCATAATTGTGGTCTGTATTGCCTTTCTTTGAGGTTTTTTTGAAGCTTTTGTTGTCCTGTGTACAAGCTGTCTATGAAAAAGCCACTTGAAATATAAAATGACCTTCTAATATAATATGGTGATATTCTGCTTTCAACAACAGTTGAGTATATTTAGAGCAATTGCATTGACAAAATGCTGACTTCTAAGACTCTTGAAATGAAAACAACTCCCAAAAGAATTGGAAGGTCCTTGGACACAAATAGAACCGAACTTCACAGAAAAAATGTGGAAAAATAAAATATTGTTGAATTGTTGAATTATTTTGTTGTAGGTATTGAGTAATTGATAATATATATATATATAAATTGAATACGAAGCACTTTAAAAATTGTGGCATATTGGAGGTGATAGTCTTAACAGTTCTATGACCAAATAAATGCAATTTTCATTTTGGAAAATTTTGGAAAATATCAGTATGTTTATTGCACTTACATACACCCATTGACCTTATTCAAAAAGCTTGACTGAATAAAGACAATGAGTGTATAGGATAGATTTATATAATTTAGTTTTTTCAATAAAAGCAATAATTGAACAGAAATTTTGCTTGTGTTAAGAAAACGAAGATGATTTAATCCTTTGGGAGCCTCAACCTGAAGTTGCAAGATCTGCAATCAAAAGCCTTTTTTAAAAATATAATTTTATGATTTGGCTTAGCAATTTATAAATATCCTAGATTGTGATTGAATGCAGGGTTTCTTGCTACTGTAAGTGGGGCGGGGCTCGCCAGCTATTCCTGGGCCCGGTGGCCAATAGGCTGCAACCTGGTACCAGGCCGCGGACCATTGGTTGGGGACCCCTGATCTATGTGTTCACTCCATAGCAGTGAGATTCGACATTATATTTTACCACAGGATAAAAGGGTCATGCCCCTACCAGTTTCTTTTGCTTTCTAATCACCACTGCCCTCTTCTCTTGTTCCACTTTCTATAATATATATACAAACATCTGGTGACTAGAAAAGGGGACAAACACATTCATATGCATCTAATGTATCATTAAACAAGTGTCTATTTGCAGCTGCAACTAGCAATTATTCATCCTACTATTTTCCCATGCTTCCTTTTCTCTAGTTTCCTGCTTCCGAAAGTCAGCTGAAATATTCTTCTCTTGTACAAGAAAAGCTTCAAATGCGCATAGAAAATTTACAATAGCTAAGTCACGCTATGAAAATTCAACAGAATATTGCAACAAATCCTTTCTGCTATGATTGTTCATTCTTTTGTTTCATCCAATAAAATCTGGCCATAACTTTTTATAAGGTTTTATGACTATTTTATCAACTCTCTAAGCATAGTTTCATTTATAAGGAAACTGGTAATTAAAAATGAGAAAAATGAAAGATGGCCAAAAAGAGTATTTTATTCTTGCAAATACTCTAATGGAGTACTTGAAAAACTGCTTTGGCCATCTGTATTTTCTCCAAGACAAGTCAAAAAACATTTTTGCAGATGTTTTACTGGAATTCTTATAAAGATGTGGGCTCTGTTTTAGCTTTCCTGATTTCTGAATTGGAGAAAACAAAAATTATCAAGGAAGAAACAAGAAAGAAAGAACAAGTTTTCCCTTTAGATAGCTGAAATGGACAGATCTAACAATTATATACATACAGTTTCAGCCCTGAAATGCAAATATTCTCTTTTCTTGGAAATTACATACATAGCTGGAGGAACCTTTGCTTAATCTCTTTCTGCTGATTTCTTGCCCCTTGAGTGATTCATTTAGTCTTGAACATAATAATTCGTGAATACTCAATCCATCATGCACTTCTGATATAAGGCAACCTATGAATCTGAACAAGTTGTTGCAGTATACAGATCATAAACTCTTAATGCACTTACTAGAACAGTGGTTCTCAACCTTTTTAATGCCGCGACCCCCAACTGGTCATAAGTTGAGGACTACTCAACTGGTCGTAAGTCGAGGACTACTCAAATGGTGCAGCACCGTTTGCAGAATGGGACTTTTGGCAGGCTCAGCAGAGCAGAGACAGCCTGGACAATTCCTATTGGCTTTTGAAAGCCAATAGAATTAAGACTCTATTCAAGAGAGTCTATTCTATTGGCTTTCAAAAGCCAATAGAATAAAAGGGAGTAGCACAGCTAAGGAAAAGGGGGGAAAAAATGGTGGACTGTGTTGTTTGGCGACCCCCGTGAAATGGTCGTTCGACCCCAAGTGGGGTCCCGACCCACAGGTTGAGAACCACTGTACTAGAATATCACAATTAGAATCTGATAAATAATAGTACTGAAGACTGAGAGTTCAAACTCCTTGATGGCAACTTAATTAGTGATATTGTTAAAGCAAGTGCCTTCATTTTTTGCATACACTGAAATAGTATTAAAGACATCATTCCATTTGCAAATTCCTTTTCCTGTACATCTGTCTTTCTATTTAGAGTTATTAACTCTAGAAAGGAACTGTGCATTCAGTAATTTGGTGAATAAAACATTGTCTTGAGGACTTGATTATGACTACAATACTCATGTATTAAATATCTTGTTTAATTATAACTTTTAAAAATACTTGAATTCAATAATGCTTTAGTGTAGCATTTCTCCGTCTTTTTTTCCTGCTCAACAGTGGAATCTTGATGCAAAAATCATGCACAAATTTGTTTTTCAAATACAACAGATATGTCTTTTTTGGAAGCAATGTTCTCTCAAGCAGGCTACAGCATTTGTCAGCTGTAGCCTCAGATTAAGTTCAGCATGCAGTTTCTTCTGATTTGGAATGACAGTCAAGATCAGCCCAACATATTTTGTTGTTTCAGGTAAAGGTTAAAATCCTGCTTCCTCCCCTCATCCTTTAATAACATATATAATACCTAACACGATTAGCAGGGGAATGTTATTTCATATATACTCAATACATTAGGGCAACATTAGGGCAACGCAAGACGTCTTTCAAAGTGGTTTGAATTACAGCTCCCATAAGCACTTGCAATTGGCCATGCTGACTGAAACTGACAGAAATCAAAAGCCCCACAAACATCTAGATTGATGTTTGTCAATCCCAGCAATTTAAAGTGTGGGCTTCTACTTCCAGAATTCCCCAACCCATATGCTAATAGGGGAAACCTGGAATTTGAAGTCCACACATCTTAAAGTTGCCAAGGTTAAAACTGACCTAGAGAGTACCCGTTTATCTATCCAAGTTTAGGAAGCAAAAGTCAGCGCATATGATATAAAAAAAAATTGTTGATGAAATCTTATTGCTCTTCTCTACCCTACGTCATATATTTCCTTGTTGTTGTTGTTAATTGCGAAGTCGTGTCCGACCCATCGCAACCCCATGGACAACGTTCCTCCAGGTCTTCCTGTCCTCTACCATCTTCTGGAGTCCATATATTTCCTAATGGTTTTATTTAACTACTGAAACTGCCAATTTCAAATAAAACTAGGGAAAGTTTTATCTGAAACCTGTGCTCTAGAAATAATATTTGGAAGAAGTATAATTAACATTTCCCATCATTTTGTGATGCTTCAAAGTTGCAAACAGAGAAGGAAATACACTTTTGTGCCAGCTCCTCTAGCACAGGGGTGTCAAACTGCCGGTCTGCGGGCCGGATGCGTCATGGCGAAACCGCGCCTACCCCATTGCCGGCAATGGAAAAAAAGTCACGATACGTCATGACATGTCATGTGACGTTGTGAGTTTGACAGCCCTGCTCTAGCAGGTTCTCCTGCTACAGTTAGTTATCGGTCGTGCTAATATTTGCTTTTCACCTACTCACAGAGATGTTTACATATACATTTCAGAGAGGAAAACTGAGTGCTGGAATAGAAAACCAGCAGAATGTAGTGATTAACAATTTCCCATTATATATTTTTAAGCCCTTTCTTTCCCTTAGTTTAGCAGGCCATTTGTCCGGAGAATGAAGGACAGAGTGCCATTGTATCTATTTTGACTAGTAAATCCATTTGGAGAGGAATAATTGTAACCAGCATTCTCTGCTGCTGCTGCTTTACTGCTGCTTTTGGCCTTCCATACCTGCTTTTTCTTTAATACCAGAACAGAAGAATATAGTCATATGAAGCTTAGAGTTTCAGAATGAAAGCAAGAAGCCTTGAGCTGATTATTTTAAGCATTAACACTCTGCTGCCTACAGAAAATGCTGTTGTTGAAATGTTCATGAAAATTATTATGTTTGAAGATGCACATTTAATGTATTTAGCTGAGGAAAATTCTTCCACTTTGGGGAGTTACTGAATAAAATGAGCACTTGCATCAGTTTCACCCCTAAATTATAGACTAAGCTTTATTATTGTTTCAAGCACATGCAGCAGAATCTGTAGAATGATATTGCCTTCAAATTATATATGAGAATCAGAAAGAAACATGCTTGCCCACTCTGGAGTTGTTTAAAAATTTAAAAAGAAAGTTTATAAATTAAAATAATCTAGAAAAAGTCCTTCCATAGTCAAGCAAATCTAGTACCGTATTATTTTCTAGCAGAAGACAATCCTTAGATAGCATTTTTGGGTGGCTTATGGAAAATGTCTGATACTTTTACTTCAAGTTGCCACATGTGACCACTTTTGACATGTTGGGGAGGAAGAATTTAGCTCTTTTTTTCAAGGGCATTTCCTCACTTGAAAGAATATGGACCTATTTCCCTCTCTCATATTTTATTCTGTGGCCTCAACAATGTATAGAGGAAAAGATAACAGAAATCATTAAAATATATCTAAGCAAGTAGCCATGCGCAAGATAGCTAAGAACCTCACAAAATACCAAAAGTTGACATATTTTCCCGTTTAAATTGCTATTAAGTTTTACTGTTAGATGTTTAGGCCTGGATGGTTTTATGCTTCTTGCAGAAGAATATAATGTTTGTCATTAACTTCTGCTGTTTTAGTATGTTTATTTCTCAACTTGTTTTATTAGCTTATATTCTATTGCTGTATTTCTTTTGATCTTTGTCAATGGATCAAATAGATGAAATAATTCCATAAACTTAAAAAAAGAATAGGATTCCAATTATAGAAATTTTGTGACATAGAGATCTTGTATTTGTTATATGAGAGTTCCAACAATACAGCTTTCCCCAAAGGACACCTACTTATTTATTTTTGGATGTAACACAACCAATGTTCACAGCCTCTAATGATAGTATCAACAACAGTCAGTGTGGTTATAAAAAGGGCTAAGAGTAAAAATAAATTCAGTATCAGTGTTAGTGGAACCGGCCTTGAAGAATACTTTGCTCCCAAAATGCATCTGTCATTTCCATTACAGCAGGGTAATTTACATTCCATCCAAATGTCAAGGGCCAAACAATCACATCAAAGACAGGATATCAATCAATACATTATATATTTGTACCATAGGGCTACCATATTACATTTGAAAATGTCTGGCTTGCAGCATGAAAATTGGTTTCACAATTTGGGTGAAGCATAAATACATAAATAACACATACACTGAATGGCCTCCTCTCTTTTCTTCATCCGAACTGGAAATAGAATTTCTGTATATAAGACAGAGCAAAAATAAGATGTCTAAATTACAAGGAATTACAAGAAATTTGATTGGACAAAAACAAATATGTCCTAATAGTAACAGCCATTTAGTAATGGAATAGATTTCATTGGCAGGGTGGTAGACTCTTCACTGGAGATATTTAAACAGAGGCTATATGGCTATCTGTTGGGGATGCAATAGTACAATCTATGACACTGAATTATTTCTCCGGAAACTCAAGGTGAAATAAATGGAGTCTCCCCATATTTTATCCCTACCATAAACTAGTAGTAGTTTTCCCTATGAGAGTCAGCTAATAAACCTAGACTGTTCAATTCTCAGGTGATGCTATAATGTGTAATCTCTACATTATATTGTCTAGAGCAGGGGTAGGCAACCTTGGCTCTTTTATGACTCATGGACTTCAACATAAAAGAGCCAAGGTTGCCTACCCCGGTCTAGAGATACATGTCCCTTATTATGTCTGCTGCCCTCCATCCCAACGTGCCTAATTTGATTCTGCATATAATATGCATATAAAACTATACCGGTGGTCAGTGACCAGATACTGAATCTATTTGCTATGATATCTGGAAATGGCTTGAGTATTGTCACCGAATTCTGCACATTTTCCCATTATTCCAATATACTATCTACAGTTTCACTGATAGAAAAACAATCGGATTTGTCCCAGTGTTTGCTTACCAACTGCCACCAAAGCTGTATGTTTGCCTAGCATCAAGCACAATTTAGAATTAATAACTGGATTTTGCATTTTAAATCATTGTTCTTTCATCACCCAATCAGTCCTTAAGCAAAGTCTGGAAGAAGCATAAAATGATGACATGAGGCCAGGGCTTAAAAATCTGAACCAATTATTTAGCAACTCAGCTTCTCTTTCAGGGCTGACAAGTGGATGGATTCCCTTAGATGAGAATTCCAGTCTTCAAGCAGCTTCTAGAACAGTGGTTCTCAACCTTTTTAATGCCGTGACCCCCAACCGGTCGTAAGTCGAGGACTACCCAACCGGTCGTAAGTCGAGGACTACCCAACCGGTCGTAAGTCGAGGACTTTCCCTGCCCGGGAGCACCGCGCATGCGCGGTGCCGCCCCCTGCACCGGCCAAGGCGTAGCTGGCAAGCGGCAGAGACGGTGCAGGCCAACCAGTGGCTGGGCCACCAGCCAGCCCAGCCCAAGGGAGGTAAGGTACCCACTGGGCCTCACGTGTGCCAGCAACCCTCCCTGCGCCCACCGGCCTCCCACCTCCCACCCCTGGCCCTCTTATATTTTTAGTAGTTGCTCAGAAGGGAGGGGTGGAAACTTCCAGACAGCTCGCCTTCGCTGCAGACAACTTGCAGCACCATTTGCAGAATGGGATTTTGGCAGGCTCAGCAAGGCAGAGACAGCCTGGACCTATTGGCTTTTGAAAGCCAATAGAATTAGACTCTATTCAAGAGAGTCTATTCTATTGGCTTCCAAAAGCCAATAGAATAAAAGGGAGTAGCACAGCTAAGGAAAAGGGGAAAAAATGGCGGACTGTGTTGTTTGGCGACCCCCGTGAAATGGTCGTTCGACCCCAAATGGGGTTGCGATCCGCAGGTTGAGAACCGCTGTTCTAGAATTTCCTATTTTCTGTAGCCAGCTGTTATTATTCTTTCCATTTTTTCACCAGGCCTTCATTGGGGAGAATGAAATACTTCATTTCATCATGCTCATCACATTTTATCTTTATTTTTATTGATTTTATCATAATTTCTTTGATTGATGTGAGCCTCCTGGAGTCAATGAGAATAGGGTGGCATAGAAGTTTAATAAGTATGGTTGGTCACAAGTCAGCCAGATGTTTAGATTAGATTTGGCATTTTTATTCACATATCAGGTCTTTCCCAAGGACCTGAATTTGGCCCAATAGTACTGTCCTGATCTATTATATACATTTCTGAAGAAACATGCATCGAGACAAATGCCATATATGGGGGATGTTTATGAGTATGAATTTTGCAAACGGTGAAATTACTGTTTGCTTTTGAGAAAATGTTCTGGACCAGTTCTATGATTCTATAAAGAATACTATCTTAAATTATGTGATAAATATTAAAATGTCACTATAGTGTTCCCAATTTAAATGAAGAACAGAGGAGAAATGTTTAAAAAAAAGCAAGATAGAACATGTGTCTCAAAGGTGCTTTTTTTTTTTTTAAAAGGCAACTGGACTGTTTTTTCCTTGAGAAAAAAGAAGTAAACATTTCGCTTCTCATCCAAGAAGCATAATCAGTTCTGATCGAGGGGAATGGAAATTCTGACAGGATGGCAACGGTGGTGGAAGGATTATATATCTTTGCAGTCAACTGGTGTTAGCATTCTGAGAGCTGTTGTGGATCCAGCTGTTTATCTGGATCCTGAGGGTCACCGAAAATCAGGGTGCAATTGTTTGTGGAATCTTCTTACCTGTGTCTCTGTAAACAGTCCTTTTCAATATATGCACTTTAAAAGAGGTGGGGCTTCAATTGCATAGTTGTGGCTGTAATCTTGACTTTTTTTAAATATCCCATAGCATATGTCTCTGGAAGAAGGGTAAGGAATAACAAAAATGAAACCACAAGTGAATTCAGCGCGTGGCTTGTTTGACCATAGTTTATTGGCTGGGTTGGCAAAATACAATAAAACTATTACAGTAGCAATTGTTTACAAAGCACAGCAGCTGAATTCTCACAGTATGCTGTGGCACAAACAAGCACACCAACTATAGCTTAATGAAAAACATAAGCCCATTGTTTTTAGAATTTATCTCTACTCTAACAGACTAAAAATAAACTATTAGCTTACATCTTGAGATGATTTGTACTTTATTTAGAACTGACAACAATCACATGAACAAATGTCTGACATGGGAAGAAACAAAAAGCATTTGAGATTTTACAGTACACAAAGCCTTGCAAAAATATTTCAGGAACCTATTGAATATTTTTGGTGCATTGAACTTAAAATTTGTAAATAAATAGTTTTTTTAATAAAAAAAAGTGCAGAAAGAGGACCTGTTAAAAATGTTGATTTAACTTTAAACAGTAATAATGTTTTTGCTATTGAATATCAAAACCCAACTATTCATTATGTAAAAGAACTTTTGTATTGGTTAAAACAGTAATAAAATGACCAATTAGCAATTTAAGAACCCGACTTAAAACGTTAACGGGATGCAGGATAAATCTGACTGCTGTTCTCACCGATAAAGCCACTGAGCATCTTCAATAAATAAAGCATGCGGCAGATTTTTTTTAAAAAAAATCCCGGCCGCATAACTCAAGTATTTCTCAACTTTCCGCTGTTCCTTTCCAAAGTCATTAAGATACGTCCTATGTTACTTATGAAGCTAGTGGAAATCCCCAGTGAATTCAATAGGACTCAGTCTCAGGTACGCGTGGGAGATGGCAGTTTCAGTTCCCATCAACGCGGCTTTAGATAAATGACTCGTACGCCCAGCGGCATCGCCATAGCTTAGAACGGATCGGACATAACTCCAAAGCTCGTAGCAGAAAATTACTTCCATACTGAAACTTCGGACAGGATTGTCCGATTGTAATCACATTGTTCATTACCCGATTTTTTTCTTCCAACCTTTTTCCCCGTAAAAAGAGGATCTGCTTTTCGGATCCACCGAGTGTTGATCCATTGGTTGCGACAGGGACCTTGTTGCCGAAGCCTCGTGGATTGAGCGTGAGTGACTGGCCCAAAGTCACCCAGCCGGCTTTCATACCTAAAACGGGGCTGCAACTCAGTCTCCTGCTTTCTAGACAGGTGCCTTTAAGCACTAAACCAAACTGGTTCTCTAATTGCCTATTACCTACTATGGACCGCGTACTGTTTTCGTCTTGCTTTGTGTTTTTAGTAAGCCGTCTCGTTTCGCCCACATTTTATATTGAAATATCTCCTTCGTTCCCCAAACGAAGAGCAACCGGGAGCGCACAATAGGGTCCCGCCCAAGACCTCTCCCCATGGAAAAGAGAGCAGCCACTCTGAAGCGAGCAACCTAGCCGGCGCTCAGGGCAGCCACTTCAGAGCTAGCAGCGCGCAGACTCCTGCCCTCCCGCGCAGGCGCCCTAGTAGCGGCAAGCGGCAGCCGCCAGCTTTGGCTCGAAGGTTGCGAGGTCTCTCATCAGCGGTTGGGCTTCTGGCCACGGCTGCGGGTACTACCGGAGCGGTTAGCCGTGGAGCGGCGGACCGTGCCCGAAGGAGCGGCAAGGCGCGAGGTGCTGCGACGCCGGGGTGGCTAGTTCTGCTCCAGTGTCCCCCGAGCGGCGGAGCGCCACGCAGCGGGCAGAAGCCTGCTGGGTGAGTCTCCCACCTGCGGTCGACCATGGCCGGGTCCGAGCAGGACGGCGGCAGCGGAGAAGCGCCGCTGCCCTTCGAGGACGCCGAGCTAGCGCTGGCGGGAATCAACATGCTGCTCAACAACGGATTCCGGGAATCCGACCAGCTGTTCAGGAAATACAGGTACTCTCGCTCTTTTCCTTGTGTGGCAGAATTTTTCAGCCGGGGCTGATTGACGGTCGGCTGAGTGGACCGCCTGTGTTCAAGGCGTGCGGATCCTTAATGAATTCCTTCCTCCTCGCCCCCTGCAATGAGAGCGTCACTGAGCAGAGTACCGCTCTTCCAGCGCTAACCCACAGCGCCGTTATATTAAAAAAAAAAAAGGGGGGGGGGCTTTGTCTTAGGGCCGCGCGGTCTTCACTTGTCAAGGGGTAGGAACGAGTAGTTCAGCCCTAACGAGGTTCTCTGCCGCCGAACTTGTTTTTTTTTTTTTTTTGAGACTGTCATTGAGACTGCCTTCCAGAAACCTTGCACTTGATCCTCTTTCTGTTGTCTTTTTTTCTTATTCCTGCTTGGTTGCTCTGCAGTGAATCTCTCAAGTCTCCACACATGCTTTCTCTTGAGGCAGTGAACCACTGGAACAGCTTTTAATTCTGATTTTTGAATTAGTGTTTGAATTACTTGAATTAATAGCAGTGCTTCTAAGCAGAGTGCCTTGACGTGGGTCTGGATGTGGAAATCTAGAATATGACTTCCAAATGAAGGATTGTTTTCTTTATGGGTGTTGTCACAGCATAGAAAAGATCACAGATTGTCTTAAGTAACCTGGTACTTTAACCACTATACCAAATCACCTTGCCTATTTGCAAATGTTACAGCCTATTTAAGAATTGTTTCAAGAAAAAAAATATTTTGATTAAAAGGTTTAAACTTATAGTAAAGAAATGCATGAACAGCAGTTTTAAATTAAATGAAATGGAATAATGCTTCAATGTATCATTGCTAGTATAATGAACTTCCATAATTCCAAGCACCATAAGGAAAAAAAGGAATAGTACAGACTTGTGCTTTATATTTATATTGCATAGGTTCTATGCATTCCCAGATGTTCTTGCTTTTTTCTTCATATGTTTATAATACAGTTTGATGCCCCTGTCACAAGAAGACCAATAAAATGGAAATGTTCTGCTGTTGTTTTCCTTTTGATTCTACTGAAACTCCTTCCCTCTGGGACACCTTCAGTTTTTCTCACTGTAGTTACTAGACTTGTGCTTCACTTACCCATAAATGAATACAAGAGTCATTGTCGTCATGAATTATTGCAGAAACCTTGTATTAATTTCTCTATGAGTGTATATACTTACCTTTCTATCTTCATCCATGTTTCCTTCTCATCTTGCCGATAGTAGTTTGGTGTTTAGACAGAGGTTCCCTATATACCATATTAAAGTGGTTTCCAGTAACATAAAGAGTTGTATTTGATCTAAATTCATTCTTCTGTAGGCTAGTTAATGTTCATTTGGAGAATGTAGTGATGTTAAAACCGATCATTTATCCTTTTGTTTTCCTCAGAGTTCTTGTTCCTGCCCTTGATTTGCTCTTGATATCAGATTCTGTCTTCTCGTATCATCTTTTCCTTCTCCCAACCTAATAAACCACCTAGAATTTCTTCCGTTTATTTTTTCAATTTTAAATACTATTTAGTGGAATGTGTTTATTAGTCTCCTTTTCCTGCTTTTCTAGAACAGCCTTTCCCAGCCAACTACCTCCAGGAGTCAGACTGGCTAAGGCTTCTAGAATTGTACTATCAGCATATCTAAAAAGCACCAAGCTGTGGAAGACTGCTCCAAAGCACTGTGAGTTAGGCTTTGGAGTATAGTATCCAATAGCTTGCTTTCTAGATAGAAATCTGTCAACTATTTTACGATCGTGGTTGCATTTCCACCAGATTTATGAAATTGGGACATAGAGACATAAAGAGGTCTTCTGGATTTCAAATAGCTCGGTTGCAATGAAAAAGTAAGTATCCCAAGATTCCTTTTAAGCTTCCTTTGTTTACTATTAATCAACCCTAGACTTAGCAGTTTTTTCTCAGTTATATAACAAGGGACTTATTTTGCTAGTGGTATTGTTAGTCTTAACATATCTTTGCAGTGGAAAATGGTTAAAATCTTATTTACAATTTTATCTGGTGCTCCCATGACACTCTTGGACAAGGAAACCTGTTTCTTACTGAACAAACTGCCATGTCATTTTGACTTCATTGATCCCATTTCTGCCCCCTCCTGACTTGTCCTTTGTTTTTATTAGTGTGTGTGGGTGTATTCTATTTCCTCTCTCCATATTCACTCACAAGATGTAGAACATATTGATGTTCTTGGTTCTACTGATGAGAAAGAAGCTTAAACACAAATAACACATATCTTGTTAATGAGAGCATTTCTCTGCTTTCTGCAAGTATTTGCTGGAAGAGTACTGTCATCTTCTATTACATTTTCCTCCCTGGTTCAATAGAGCAGATTATTTTCCTAGCCTTTTCCCTTTCTTTCTCTTTCAAGATAACTTTTTTCTATGCAGTCAAAATGAACTTGGCATATATCTTGAAATGTAATTTCCAGCACCCAGCCAATCTTGCTTAGTCTCATAAAGCTTTAAATAATCAAAATTGCTTGGTACACAGATGGGAGACTAGTAGGAAGTATCCGAGCTATAAACTAGATTGGGAAGTTGAAAACACATCCGAGAAAATAACAGTGTATGTTTGTTTTATTTCTACAAAAATGATCTGGATATGACCATGAACCCCCCAAATCAAGCTCAGACTTAAGAAAACATTACATTTTAAGTGCTTAAACCAATCCACTAAAGGTAGGAGATCCTCCAATAAGAACTTTAGCATGACATGGATGCCATTTTGAAAAATTTGTACCAAAAAGTTCTACAAAACTGTGTATCTTTTTTCAGAAGTTGCATATAAGTTAAGATTTTCTAAATCAAAGAGTTTTTTAAATCATTGAAAATGTAACATAATGTTGACATAGTCATTGCAATGCTTATGACACTAGTGAATATATATATATATATATATATATATATATATATATATATATATATATATATGTAGGTCTTTGGTTGTTCGGGTTTTCTCCCGCGTAAAATTGGAAGTGTCTTGGCGACGTTTCGACGAAGTCCCATTCGTCATCTTCAGGCTGGTGTTTTCAGCTTAGATGGTGGATTTCCTCCCCGTAGAGGTTCGATATTTGTTTTCTGAGGTTTTCGCGGGTGTTTGTATGTAGGTCTTTGGTTGTTCGGGTTTTCTCCGCGTAAAATTGGAAGTGTCTTGGCGACGTTTCGACGAAGTCCCATTCGTCATCTTCAGGCTGAAAACACCAGCCTGAAGATGACGAATGGGACTTCGTCGAAACGTCGCCAAGACACTTCCAATTTTACGCGGGAGAAAACCCGAACAACCAAAGACCTACATACAAACACCCGCGAAAACCTCAGAATGAATATATATATATATATATATATATATATATATATATATATATACACACATACAGCCTGTGGTGTGTTGAAACTGGCTTATAGAATAGAATTCATTATTGGCCAAGTGTGGTTGGACACACAAGGAATTTGTCTCTGATGTATAAGCTCTCAGTGTACATACAGGTAATAGTGATAATCATGATCATAAACAATATGAAAATACTTTCATCATAAATTGTAAAATACAACACTTCATAAATCATAAGATGCAACACTTAGTGATAATCATAGAGTACTAGCTAAACAAACAACATAAATCATACTAGAATGCTAAAAATATAAATTGTAAGATACAAGCAACAAAGTTATAACCATAAGATAGATAGGTAATAGGAAAGATGAGTATCAGAGTAATACAGCTTTACTAAGTAGTTTGATGGTGTTGTAGTAATTAGTTGTTAAGCAGAGTGATGGCATGGGGAAAAACTGTCCTTATGTCTAGTTGTTCTGGTGTGCAATGCCCTATAGCAGTGGTGGCAAACCTATGGCACAGGTGCCAGAGGCGGCACTCACAGCCTTCTCTGTGGGCACATGTGCCATTGCCCCAGCCTTGCCTCCCCCCCATGACTCTCTCCTCACCAGCAGCCCCCCTGGAGGAGAGTCGCCCCTGAGCGTGGCCCACGTGGAGCAGCGCAGCCAAGGACATGACAGCCAGGCAGTGTAGACAAGACTCTGCCCTCACATCCCATCACGCATAGTTGATGCTGCGGGGCCCGGGCAGAGGGTGTGGTCGCCATGGTGCTGCTGGGCTTCCTGGGTGATCTGTGGCAGGCCCTGGAGGCAGTGAGTGGTCCTGCGGGCAGGCTGGGTGGGGGTGGAACAGGGGTGGGGCAGAGGGTGGAGCAGAGGCGGGGCTAGTTTGGGGCACATGGTCTCTAAAAGGTTCGCCATCACTGCTCTATAGCGTTGTCTTGAGGGAAGAAGTTGAAATAGTTTATGTTCAGGATGTGAGGGGTCTGTAGATATTTTCACAGCTCTCTTTCTTGCTTGTGCAGAATATATATTTCTGGGAAGAAAGTATTTCATAAGCTGGAGATATCAGAGAATACACCTGCTGCCTTGGCCACACCAATGTATTTTATTATCTCTTTTATATTTTTATTGCTATTGTTAGCTGCCTGGAATTATGACACTTATGTTTCATGACCATATAAATATCTTAAATAATTTAACCTCAAGAAACTGGAATTACATTTATTGATACTGGCCTGTAGACATTTCAAATCATACATAACCTTGCAAGTCACTCCCCCCCCCCGGGACTTATACCTTAGTGAATCAAGAAGGTATCTACCTGAGCTACATTCGAATGTTAGCTTGTTCATCAGGCCTTAAACAGTATTTTGGTCTTCATTACCTAGGTAAGGTTCCTCCATATTTGTAGGAGATGACCAGGCTGAGCCTGAGGGAGGCATCAAATGCATCATCAATCTTGAGTCTCTTCATGCCCACAAGAAATCTAAGTCCAGCCTGCCTTGAATTCCATTGACTGTTATCTACCGCCAATTTGTTTTGACTATTAGTAGTTCAGGTTCTTGAGGAAAACATTAGCATACATTAAACCTATATTCATTTGAACTGCCTAGACTCCTGATTTCCTGCCACATGACACTATCTCTGTGAACATCATC